AAGCGAGTCGATTTCCTCGGGCACCATTGATCCTTCTCGCATCGACATTTCCCTGTACTTGCCGCCAAGTTCAATTAGCGCCCTCTTCAAATGCTCATTCTCTTGTCCAAGTGTACCCAAACGATCAAGCCATTCCGAAGCCTAAAATCTGTTACGATAACAAACGAGTAGCAGCTACATACGGTTTCCATGCGCCGTTCTTCGGTTCCGATAGCGCTTTCGCGGAGCTCATTTCGATCAATGCTTGTCTGAGCGTATATTGTCATTGTCAAGCTGGCAACTTGTTTTTCCAAATCATCTTTTGATTTCTGGACATTCTAAAGTGAATATTTAGAACCTAGCCTCCAGTCGCAACAAACCGTCAAAAGTCGCAATGCCTTCTTGTAGTCTTGGTCTTGCTCGCGGATCTTTGCATCTCGTTCATCAATGGCATGCTGGAGCTCGTCGATCTTCTCTTGGTACGTCACTTTGCCCAAATCGCCAACATCCACAGAGAAAGTCTAAACAATACAAAAAAAATCAAACAAACAAAAATCACAAACCTTATCTCCTGGCGCTCCTTTCACCGACCATTCATTCAATCTGGCCAAAGCCTCGTTGCGCTCGCGGCTCATTTCTTGGTTAGCTCTGAGGAGATCGGCTCGTTCACAGCCCAGCTCTTCGATTCGCTGCTTTAGATCGCCGATATGCCTAGAAGCACTTATTATATGTAGTGCCGACGGAAATAGCATACCGTTGATTGGCATCTCCAAAGATTGAATCGACGGTTTCGTCCATCCACGGAAAACGTTGCCGAGCCTCGTCAAGTTGTCGTTTTGTCTCCGCATACGCTGTCGAGATTTCTTCACTCCATCTGACTTGGTCCTCTTTTTCTCGCTCAAGTGCATCAAGCTAAAATTCATTATTAGTCATTGTCAACCAAAGGTCTATATACCTTTGCTCTATTTTCGCGGACATTTTCTAAAAGTTGCTGGTAGGCTTCTTCGATTTCTTTCTTCTCTCGAACGATCTCGACTTCGCGAGACTTCAGAGTGTGAAACTGAAAAGAAAAGTTGCGTGACACCTGAAAAAGATTACCTCTTCAGCCAAGTGGAATTTGTCTTGTCCGGTAATTGTCAAGATGATTTCTTTGAGCCGAATGATTTCAAGACGTTGGATTTGGTTGCGATTCTTCAGATCCTCGTTCTCGTTAAGTGTTTGGACGAATGGAATCGCTTGGGGGGCGATCTCTTGGCAAATCGGAGGCGGCTCTCATTGGTAGCTCGATATTTGGGCCTATCGAAATATCTAAAATAAAAATTCAACAGTGTGTCTTACAGTTCAACCTTGCAAGAATACAATGAATCAACTAAATATAGACGAAAGTTGTGGATTTTGCAAAAATAAAGATTAATTCCCAAAAAAGCGGTTAATCTCCAAAAAGAAAACCACAAGATCACTCGTTTCGATAGCAACGGTTAGGATGAAGCTAAGGAATAACGAATGCTGCTGAAATCATGTAAATTGCTAGAGCTTTAGGATCCAATTCCGATAGAATACTATTGTTTTGGATTCTCTTCATTCCCAAATGTTCTCTACAGTTGATCCACTCTTGAACTTCAAAACCACTCACCAGGAAAAGAGCGGCTTGTCGCATTGATCGTCGATCGGCGCTCCCAAAGCGGCGTCTCGTTGGCGTCAACAAGGAGGGTCGAATCATCGTCAAACATTCTAAAAAAGATAATGCATTGTTTCATTGACAAAAAGGCATTGATACCAAGCTGCTACTTGAAACTAAAGAGTCAAATCAAGAAACCAAGTGAGAAAAAGGTAATGGTGTATCAACCAGAAAGAAATTTAAAAACTAGCAAGATTTCTATGAGTGCGTAAGTGTGAGCAATTTTTAAATTTTTAACTTTAATTTTTTTAGTTATTTTAGAGAGGCTAAAATAGGCCTTTCCCCCGCCGCAAGTCAGTATTTCGATTTTCAGACCTTAACCCGTATCTGGTTTTAAGTTAGAATTAGTCTGATTTTTTTAATGAGCGAATTTTGAGTTTTTAGCAATTTTGACACAACAACAAAAGCGCTTGTTTTGGATTTTTTTTGCTCAACTCGGAAAACAATAAAAAAGGAGACTCTTCTTCAGGAAGACAAAACAGTTTTTTTGCCTAACTAACTATGTTTCTAATCCTCCCCCTCCCCCAAACCCTTCCCTTCCCCCCCCCAATTTCTTTTCTTAAATCCTTTTCTTTTTTTTTTTTTTTTTTTTTATTTTTTTTTTTTTTTTTTCTCTTTTTTTTTTTTCTTCTTTTTCAAAAATTCCCAAATAATCCTTTTATTCATCAATTTTCAAAATCAAAAAACAATCAAACAAAAAAAAAAATCCAAAACCCCTCCCCCCAAATCTATAAATTTCCCAAAATACCTTTTTTTTATATTTCCTTTTTTCTCCTCTTTTTTTCTTCCTCCTTTTTTCCCCCCTTTTCCCCAAACCCCCCATTTTCCCTTTTCCGCCCTTTTCCCTACCCTTCTCCAAACCTTTCCCTTCCTATTCTTTCCCCTCTCCTTTCCCTTTCTCATCCCTCCCCCCCAATTTCCCCCCCCAAATTCCCCCACATTAATCACCAATATTCTACACACCCCCCTAGTCACACCACATCCGGCCCGACCCCAACCCCCCCCCCCCCGCCCCCCCCCCCCCCCCCCCCCCCCCCCCCCCCCGCCCCTCCCCCCCCCCCCCCCCCCCCCCCCCTCCCCCCTCCCCCCCCCCTTCCCCCTCCTTCCCCCCCCCCCCCCCCCCTTCTCCCTCCTCCTTTTTTGCCCCATCCCCTACCCCCCCCTCCCCCCTTATCCTTTTTCCTTGGTGAGCCGAATTGGTCCATGGGATCAACCCGGCTCCCCCCGGTATCCACCCAAAAAAAAAATATTCATAAATAAAAAAATTTATAACCATCAAATATTTTCCCCCCCCCCCTTCCCTTTTCCCCCCCCCAACTTTTTCTTTGGTCGCCTTTTCCTTTCCCCTATCCCTCCGCCCCTCCTTTCCCCCGGCTCCCTTTTATTGGTTTTCCCTTTTTTTTTTGGCCTTTCTTTCCTTTGGCCCCCTGTTCCCCCCCCCTTCCCCCTTTCCCCCCTCCAACCCCCCCCCCCCCCCCCCAGGTCCTCGCCCTCCCTTCGTTCCCCCCCCCCCTCGCCCCTTCTCCTTCCCCCCTTTTCCCTTTCCTTTCTTTTTCCTCCTTCCTCTTTTTTTTTTTTTTTTTTCTTTTTTTTTTTTTTTTTTTCCCCTTGGACTCCTCTCCCCTTTGACTCTCTTTTCTCTGTCCCCTTTTTCCTCCTTCCCTTCCCTTTTTTCTTTTGGGGGGGGCGGCCCGCCTGTCTTTCCTCGTTAGGGAATCTATCCATTTTTTTTTTCTTTTTTTTCTTCTTTCCTCCCCCTCCCCGTCTTGGCTTATTATCACCCCCCCCTCTCCCTCTTTCCTTTCTTCCTTCCTTTCTTTCCCCTCTCTCTCTTTCTTGGGGGGGGAAGAAAGAAAGACCCCCAAACAAAAAAAAAAAAAAATAATAAAACTTTGTTAGGTGAAAAAAAAAAAAACAGCAAGAAAATAAAAAGTTTGAAAAGGGGGTAAAGACTTTTGTCCACCTGTTTTGAGGGTTTTTTTTTGTTAACGTCGTTCTTTGTTGCCTAAAATAAATCGTTGTTTCTTTTGGTTATGGGATATAAAAACTAGAGTAAAAATGCTACAAAATACTTTGAAAACAATTTTTAAAACTTGTTAAAAAGTTGAAAAATTTTGCGTTTTAAAAGCTGACCTCGGTAGGGGTAAAGACTTTTGTCCATGACTGTAGTTGCATAAAATGCTTTTAACTTTATTGAACATCGAAGCATTTCGTTTTTATAGCTTAAATGTAGCTAAAACAATTGCTGCGCAAAGGCCTATTTTAGCCTCTCTAAAAATAACTAAAAAATTAAAGTTTGGGTATAAATCGAAAATCTGTTTTAACTGTTATAAAATAGGGGTATATAGCTAGTATAAAATAAATACAATGGTGGAAAAAAGTATTGCCCCCCCTTGCATTATTCTAGTCTTAAAGTTGTGATACTGTAGCTCTACACCATATAAACAAGTCAAGACTTGGCAAACCCAAGTGATAAACCCAAGAGCCAAGAGGATTGAACTTAAGCAAGTACTCGGCTCACTTCAGCTTTTTTCTCTGATCCGTTTACTCAAGATACAAGATGTTCGGCATTCAATCCTTGACTTTGGAACAGGTAAATTGTATTTTTACCGTGGCATCTAGACTAAACACTCTTTAGGTGGTGGCCTTTTTGAAGAAGAAAGTCAGCGAAAATCTCCTTTCGATCAACAATGGATTCTATCGAGTGGTGAAAGAAACATAATTATGATTCGGGTTATTTTGCACGTGTGTAAATCTATGCCTCTATATTTTATGTCATGTTTGAACGTTTACGGGTTTGATTTTTGTAGATTTTGTAGATTTGTGATTGTAATAAAAATTTTAGCTTCAGGGAGGAAAGCTTGAGAAAGAACACTGAAAATCATCTGAAATCGCTTTCTAAAAGGCAAAGGCTTTAGAAAAATATCGTGATCCTCACCGGCGTCACGTGAAATTTTCAGATCAATTGGATCAAAATCAAAAACATCATCAAAATCTACATGTTAGCCAACCAGATCTTTGAGGGTCCAACAAAATTCACCCCGAATTTATCTAATGACCTCATCGAAATGTTGAATTTGAGATATTTGCTGATCGGTCTTTTTTTTCCATATTTGGATAAGAAGCGATTATTTGAAACATGATTTGGGATTAGTCTGACTAGAATTGAAAAACATTGAAAGAGGACCAAGAGTGATCTTGATGGGGCCATATTTGTACAGCTTTCACGCATCATATGAGACCAGTCTAGAGAGCTGTATTTGGATACAAACCATCCGGATGACCTGGGGTATATAAGAATTTCGTTGGCTGACACTCATCACTTCTTATAGCTCCCGCAGCCATGCTCCGAGCCTCACTCATCCTCTTGTCGCTTCTCGTCGGCGCGTCGCTTGGCGCCGACTATGTCAGGGCGTGCTACTTCACCAACTGGGCAAAGTATCGGTGAGTACTCTTCGTGGATCAGACTAATAGAGTCAGAGCTAGGCTAACTCAAGCCTGTCTTCTACCAGATCAAAATAGAAACGGACCTGTATGGGGCACTCGTAATTCTTTCAGCTATTTTCGTATCTTGTACGCTATTTTTTCTTCCAGGCAAGGTCGAGCTCAATACAACGTGACTCGCGACTACATGCCCGGTCTCTGCACTCACATTCTCTACGCTTTCGGCTGGATGAGCAACACTTTCCAGGCAATGTAAGAGTTGCGAAGTTCAACAAATCATACAAACAAATCAAAAATTGAGCTAATCAGAACAGCTCGAAACCAATCATAAAATGCCGTGAAATTGAACAATCTCGCTTCCAGCAACAACGATCCCACCGACTTGCCAACTAGCTGGGCCCCGGTCGGGCAATATGCGCAAGTGAACGCACTGAAATCCGTGGACACGAATCTGAAAACCCTGCTTTCATTTGGTGGTGCCAGTTTCCCGTTGTGGCTCCTACAGGTGTGTTAGAAAAAGTTGAGAAGTGCATTCTCAAAAAAAAAAACTTCGGTTTTTGACAAAATCCTCTTTCAGCAAATGGCCTCCACTTCAGCCAATCGTCAGACTTTCATTCAATCGGCTATCTCGTGGGTTCGGCAAAATGGTTTTGATGGGATTGATATCGATTGGGAAGTGCCACAATTGTCCGACAAGGCTAACTATGCGGCTTTTGTTACGGTGAGTTGAGAAAAAGTTATACTTGCCGTACTACCAATGTTTTAAATTCAGGGTATTTAAAAGTAAGACTTTTATAAATCAAAGTACATTTCCAGGAGTTGAAAGCGGCGGTGACGGCCGAGGCTCAACAAAGCGGAAAAGCGCGTTTGTTAGTGACAGCGGCGGTAGCAGCGGGAAGCTCGAATATGGTCGGATATGATATGACGACGATGGGAAAGTGAGGGGTTTACCGTAAACCAAATAAACAAGGGAATTTGTTGATCTGAAAAACGGGTCACTTCAGCGCTCTCGACTACGTCTTCTTGATGAGCTACGACTTTTGGGGCGCCTGGTCAAATCAACTCGGAATGAACGCCCCATTGTACCCGGCAAGCACGCAAACGTCGCCCAACAATCAGTACAATGTGGTGAGTGCTAGAAATGGCTATTGGAGTCTTCAGTAATCTAGTATTGTATCTAGGGAGTCTAATCGAAATTACATACTGTAACTGATTCAAAAAAAAACAGTAACCATATCACTAGTTTGTATCTCAGAGTTCAACAAAAATTCAATTATGATCAAAGTTCAAAAGATACAGTAATCACTAGGTCTAAAAGATGCGTACTGTAGCCTAAGACTTACTATAACTAGCTTTAACCTACCTAGCTTTAACCTACCTAGCTTTAACCTGCCTAGCTTTAACCTGTTCGAAACTCCAACTCTTCAGCAATGGGCCGCAAACGCTTGGGTGACGGGTGGTATCCCGAAATCGAAGCTCGTCATCGGTATGCCAGCTTATGGAAGAGGATGGACATTAGCGGTAGAGTAATAACGTGATCCAATTGAAGGAAAACTTTTAGAATGCACAGAGCATCCAACTGGGTGCCAGTGGAAATAACCCAGCGCCTGCTCAACCGTTCACCCAAGAAGCCGGGATTGGAGCCTACTTTGAGGTCTGGACTTTAACTTCAATCTGCTTAAAGATCACATACACTTTAGGTGTGCAATCTCTTGGCAGCACCTGGAGCTCAACGGTACTTCCAAAGCCAGATGGATGTCCCGTATTTGGTGTCCGGTGGACAGTGGTGGTCGTACGATGATGTGGAATCGTTTAACGACAAGGTTGGCTAGGATTCATTGATCATTGAACTTCAATTGTTAGTACTGATGCAATTTTAGGAAGTACTAGTAGCTCATTGTGCTGTTTGGTAGCCTTTGGGGTTGACTTTGAATTGGAAACGCACCCTTTCTGGTACACTCTTATCTAAACTTTCACTCTTCAGCTCAACTACATCAAAACGAATGCTTTTGCCGGAGCAATGGTTTGGGCGTTGGATCAAGATGATTTCAATGCACAATGTCCGGGAGCTAATGGCGTCTACTATCCATTGATCGGCACAATTGCGCAGAGTCTAGCTGGAATCAACATCAAAGTCAGTGTAAAACGGATACAACAGTACTGTATCCAAAGCTTTTCAGGGACACAATGGGCCAGTTCAACCAGTTCAACCAGTTCAATCAGTTCAATCAGCCTCATCCACCAAAGCATCAGTTGTCTCGACGAAATCCCCATTCAAGACTCAACCACCAGCAGCAGTCACCACTCAAAAAGCGTCACAACCATCAACTGGTGAATAGACTTAAAGCTTAAAGCAAATAAAACAGCTTTCTGTAGTTCTCCAAAGCAAATAAAACAGCTTTCTGTAGTTCTCCAAAGCTATATCCTCTGAAATCTAAAGATCATTCAGGTTTCTCATGCACGGGCGTGGTTGATGGCTTCTACGCGGATCCATCGAGTTGTGCTTCGTACATTTGGTGTCTCCAGGGTGTCCCAAATCGTTTCACTTGTCAGCCCGGTCTCCTCTACGATTCGTCGTTGAAATCGTGCAATTGGGCCGCGCAAGTGACGTGCTGATTTTGGGATTTGATTGTTTGTAAATACAGAATGGAAATGTGCGAATGAAGAGTTTTGAGTGATGTGTTAGAACAAAGAAAACAAGAGCTTTTCCACTAAACACAAAATTGTCTAGTACACGCAAAGTAGTAATATTTATTTGAATTGTTAAAAGTTACCCAAGTACAAGAAGATTTGCGAACAATTGAAATGAAACAAATTTCACTAAAACACTTTCAAAAATCACACTCAAAAATTACAGTACTTTACAAGTACTGTCAGCTAATAAAATAGATTAAAAATCAAATCAAATCAAATCAAATCAAATAAAATCAAACTTTGAATTTGTTCAAAGATAACTTTAAAAACAAAAATTCAATCCAAAAAGAGTCACATTTTGTGAATCACGAATCAATGGCGGAATGGTAATCGAGAACTCGTTTGAATTAAAGCGATGCTTTAAACGAAAGAGAATCGATAACTTCTCATCTCTCGTTGTTTTCATTGAGCAATGAGCCTCGATGAAACCGAACTAAACAAAGGAAAACATAATTGGAACGGTACAATGCAATCTACTGAAAGGTAACTGAAGTTAGTTAAGTTTTAAGCAAATAAAACAGCTTTCTGTAGTTCTCTAAAGCTATATCTTCTCCAAAGCTATATCTTCTCCAAAGCTATATCTTCTCCAAAGCTATACCGTCTCCAAAGCTATATCCTCTCCAAAGCTATCCAAAGCTATATCCTCTCCAAAGCTATATCTTCTTCAAAGCTATACCGTCTCCAAAGCTATATCCTCTCCAAACCAACCGTATATTTGACTTTTCTCTTCATATCTTCTTCATATTTCGATAGACTTCTCCGGCCAAGAATCGCCAATTTTGGAAGGGAAAATATCTCAATTTTCGGCTCACACTTGAGAGATTTGAGATCAATACATTTTGCTTTATCAAAATGCTTCCGAATCAACGGCCGTACATCGGTAAGTGTCGGTTTTTCTAGGGAAAATAGATTCAAATATAGAAAAAAGCTCACTGATAAGCTGCTGAGAGATCTCAGGTTGGCAGAGACAAAACACTTCGACGACATTGTTCTCAAGACAGCTTCGCGTCGACGGGATTGGCTGAATCGTTTTAGAGTTTAAAAGCTAAGGGAAAAAGTTGTATATTGTACTGTAACTAGTAACTGAAACCAGGCTTATCTGATTAGCTGCTTACCAAGAATAAGCTTGTCCCTCTTGCGTCATCCCGTCTCTTCCTCTTGTCACCAATTTTTCCCTCAATAAAGTCGAGTAGCATTTCGTGGACATCAAAATTACTGAAAAGTGGTAGACTTGGAAATTGATGAGTTATCTTATCAATTGATGAGTTATCTTATCAATTGATAAGTTATCTTATCAAATTTCTTTCTCGGATCAATCGCTCTTGTAAGATGAGCTAGTTAAAGATCTAAACTGACGAAGTGAATCGATTACTGTTGTCGAGGAGTGTTTGGCTTTCTTCTGGGAAGAGTTCGCTGAAAAGTTGAAATTGAAAACCTTTCAGCTTGCCAAGATTACCGTAATCTCTTTGGCAAATAGATGGCCATCAGCGGGGTGCGTTCCTCGATTCGACCAGCGAACGTTTGTGTGGCGCTGAAATTTCTCTTCACTCAAGCTCGGCATATACTCAGCAAGTTTAGCACTCACCCATTCAGGCGTTGCCCGTGATCACCCATGATCAAAAGTACCGTATTCTCGAGGGCATCTGAAATGGGTTGAATGGTTGAATGATTGAATGTAAATCTTTTTTTTGCAAGCTACTAACACAATCGATAGTGAGATTCCGATAGATTTTCGGGCACTTTAACCATTCAACTTTCAACTCAAGTTCAAAAAAAGACTTTAAAAACAAACCAGCATTATCCAAGAGCTCTAATCGTTTCGCTAAGTATTCATCGATAACTTGAAGGTTGTTTGGATCGTCGTGCGTCATGCTGAAGTCAATTAAGTCAATTAATAGTCAATTCTTAAATCAATTCTTAAATCAAGAGATTCAAAAGTTCAAATACCTCGTGATAAAGTTGAAACCAAAAGCGTATCGATCAGCAGTAAAGCGAGTGAAATGAAACCACGGATCGGCAAATTCTTCAGGCATTTGCCGACCCTCGTAACAGATTTTCCAGTGATTTTCAGTTTCCTGAATAAATGTTTAGCATTTTATGGTATTCAGCTAAATATTAGGTTGATGCAAAAGTCTTTTTCATTTTTTCGTACTTCCGTTAAAAAGTAACAAATGCACAATTGAACAACGGTTTATTGCATTCGAAAGGCCAATTATTTTTCTGCAAAATGACATTAAAACAAGTTTAAAATGTCTTATGTCTAGATTTTTTTGAGAGCCTGAAGTCGGGTAGTCAAAAAGGCGACGGCTCGATGATGCATTTTAAACGCTTTAGCTAAGGAAACCAATCTTGATGTTAATAAATAAAAGATAGAGCACAAAAAGTTAGATATTTTTTCAGATTTTCAGAGAAATTGATTCAGCCAATTTCTTTATAGAGGTTTTTATAGATTTTTATGAAAAACCCGTTTTCACTCTCGAATTTGCTTGAAAGTGAACCCAAATTGACTTAAAAAGATGGGAAATTCAACAATAAACACTTTTCATTTAGAGCAAACCATAGGTTAATTGATGACTTTGTTATTTTTCAAAAGAAGTACGAAAAAAATGAAAAAGACTTTTGCATCAACCTAATAAATCCCAGTTACCGTATAGAAATTCGTATAGAAAGGTCGATAATAGTGATCAGCTGGTGGACGAGAGAAGCCCGGCAAGAAGTATTTGGCCGGATAGTGGAGAATCCCGCGGCTTCGATGCATGATGTCATCGTTGAAGAGAGTCTCACAACCACGAGCTAAACATACAACTTATAAAATGAAGCCGGTGAAATGAAAATCCGGTTTAATAGCTATCATCTAGCAAGTAGTATTTTAAAAATTGTCAGCCTTGAATCAGTTTTTTTCCTTTTACAAACCTTTCATCTCTTTCCAGATGAAATCAATCGTATCCGGATCGATCGACGCATTGATAGGCAAAATTTTTGCCAACTCAATCTGTCCATCTTTTGTCAAAAGTGGATAAGATTTCGTTACGGCAAGTTGATGAGCGATAATCGGTAAAAGATTCACGTTACTGTTGTCACCAACCTAGAATAAATTCCTCGACCTTTACAGCTTAAAAACTCAACAACAACAACAACAACAACAACAACAACAACAACAACAACAACAACAACAACAACAACAACAACAACAACAACAACAACAACAACAACAACAACAACAACAACAACAACAACAACAACAACAATCCAAACCTTATTGTATCCATTGAGAATAACAAATTCCATGTCATTCATTTTCTTCACCGTTTTCGGAGCATGTCGAAGGAATTGAGTTCTCGAGGTGCTGTCCAACACCAACATCGAGATCGATAAAGATGAGAGATCAAATTGTCGAGGATTTGGGAGAGGACGCTTGCCTGAATGATGATGAATGAGGATGATGATGATGATGATGAAGAAACGAGATTGTCTCCAATTTTGTCTCCAAATTTGCTGATTCATTGTTTGTATCTATTGCTTAAAGACAAAGTGAAACTAGAGCACAAATCTCAACATCAATCATTTCACAAACCGGGCACAACTTTCCGCTGAACAGTCGTATCAGTGACTCCCATGAATTGTCGTCTGAATATCGTGCTCAGATTCGCGTTCCCATAACATGTAATCAAGAAATTGTCTGCATTCACCCAAAACCAATCGTTTTTTGGTAACTAGACGAATAGATTTAGAAACGAAATTTAGAATTTTGATGATCCTACCAAAAATCGTCCATTCTTCGTGAAACGAAGAGCTTTCGGGCGAAGCGCTCCACCCAACTCGCTCATATAACATTGCATCGAGTTTTTCGTGATCTCTTTTGACTGAAATTCGTTTTGATTGATGGATAAAGGTTAAAGGATTGATTGAGTGATTGATTGATGATTGATTGATTGATGGATTGATTGATTCATTGATTGATATGATTGATTGATCGATTGATTGATTCATTCATTGATTCATTCATTTATTCAGTAATTCATTAATTCAATCATTCATTCATTCAATCAATCAATCAATCATTCATTCATTCATTCAATCATTAATTCATTAATTCAATCATTCAATCATTCATTCAATCCCTCATTCATTCAATCAATCAATCAATCAATCAATCATTCATTCAATCATTGATTCATTCAATCAATCAATCAATCAATCAATCATTCATTCAATCATTAATTCATTAATTCAATCATTCAATCATTCATTCAATCCCTCATTCATTCATTCAATCAAATCAATCAATCAATCAATCATTCATTCAATCATTCATTCATTTAATCGTTCATTTAAACCCTTTCGACTACAACAATAACACTACAACATCCAATAATAATCATAGAAATATCCCATCTTTCTAAAAAAACATTTCCATTCAAAAACCAAAAAATTCTTTTTGAATTATCGACTTTAGGAGATTAGTCTGTTATAGGAGACTTTTGAATGAAAATCTCCTCTTCAAGACTGAGCCAGCTTTCCCGTTTTCTTCGCTTCGCTATGCCCAAATTTTTGAGATTAATTCCCCCAAATTCGTTAGTATTTTTAACAAATTCTACTTCCCGTCGAAACATCGTTTCACTCCAAAATACCAAAATTAGTTTAACTTTCCCATTCCACTCAACCTCGGCAAAGTAGAAATTGCCCATTTCATCCTTTGTCATCACTTGCAAATACGGATTCGGGCACGCTTTCTGCGTTTTGTTCAACTTTATGTACTTCTAGAAATTGAAATTCAATTATAGTACAATTTCGCCGAACTTTCAGACTCTCATCAGCCGATGAAATGGTAGGGAATTTGCAGGAATTCTCCAGCATATGAGTGGTTGAGGCGGGTTTTGGAGAGGAGATCGTTTTCACCTCAATCAACAAAAGTTTCCCGAGAATCTCTTGCTTTTTCCCCCAGAATTTGTAGATTGTCGAGAGGAGACTCACGACAAGGAAAACTTTCTGAAAATCGATTGATTATTAGAATTTTGAAAAATACGGATTAGGGTTGAGCATGACCGTTCATTTGGGGGAAATTTTCAACGTACCCCGGCAAACTGAATTCTGATTTGTGAAAAGAATTTGGTATGCTAGATGGAGTGCGTTTTTTGAAAGGTATAACTCACCGCGACACTCGTGCAACTGCGGGTCAAACGCATTTGTGAGTTTACATTTAGAAATGGGGGAAATTCAAGAGGAGACAATTGAAGTTAAACTGTAAAAATTGAGATTTATTTCATTCTTAGATTCAATCAATTATTTGTAATGAGAAATGTGTTTAAAAACTGTAAAAAGCCATAATCGATGTTTCAAAATGGGATTTGAGATCGAGATTGATGATTTGGGCGAGAGTTTGGAAACAAGGGGAAGCTGGGGGATTTGGAGGAGGATTAATGGGCGGTTGGAGAGATCAATCGCAACTGAAAATCGAACTGAAAATGGGGTAAAAGGGTAGAATTATATCATGAAAATCATACTTTCATATGTTTTTATATGAAAAAAGCGAAATAGAGTCGTGCTCGTGTGAAAAGCGGAAAGTTAGTGCTTTTAAAGTCAAAAGTTAGTGCTTTTAAATTCATGTGAAGACATTTGAATCCCCTTTCTCATTCAAACCTCAGCATTGTCTAATATGATCATATTTTTTGGCAAGAGATTGTGTCTGGCAAATCGGATAATCCTTTTTCATATCATTCCATTAATCATTGTCAACTATTGTACTTCTCTTTTGCCTTGTTCTCAGCTGCTTTTTTAAGTAAAGCAATGGTTTAACGGGGTGTGAAATTTGTCGCAAAAATATACCCAAATTAAAGGAAAAAAAAATCCAAAAGGAAAGCTTCTTATACAAGAGCGGTTTGCCAGATTGAGAGCGATTACGCGCACGCACGGAGAACACCTCGTCAGTCATTTACGCCAGTCCTTTGTAGATGGTAAAGATATTCAGCTGTAAATTTGTACCCAGGGGTTTTCGGAACCGGGCAATCGATTGGAGGTATTCATTTTATTGAGTCTACCAATTTTACTCGGATTTAATTGGCCTAAACTTTTAGAGAGCTGCACCAGCATCACAAGAGCATCACAAGAGCTGCACCAGCATCACGTTCTTTTCTGTTCTGTATCGAGTGATGCATCTAATTTTTTTCAAACTCTATTTCCCATTGATAAATTCCATTTATTACCCTTTCCCAGTCTCTCTCCAAGTACAAGAGACAAGCTTTAAATGGGAAAGTGATAAGAAAAAGTTATTGTCTTTTCCCGCTTTTTGCAATGCGTTTCTTGATCTTGGTTTTCCTCTTCACAGGTTATTGAATGAAATGTTTCGAGTGAATGAAAAACTTGAGGTTTTTGCGTGGCATTTTGCCCAAAAAACTCAGTGAACAACTCACAAGGGGATGGCTGTTTTTCCGTGCTCGAACTAGCGACAACGTATGCACGAGCGGAGGAGTACTGCGAGAGGTAGAATGCGGATAATCTTTGCCCAAATCAAAAGCTTAGAATCAATGTTCAGGCAAAGCTTGACTTAACTTGGATCCAAGCTCAATTCCCCAATAATCCCCAATTGCAGTATCAACTCTTTCGCAGCCTCTGTCCACAACGCTTTCGACAATCAAATCCTTCTTGATCGAGCTCGATATGTTCTCGGGGTTCAATAGATCCAGATCTCCTTACCAAAGCGAGTTTTCAGGCCCAACTCCCAAGTGCGGACGCTTTCTGGCTTGGTGGCTACTACGATGGATCGACGATTCGTTGGGCTGACGGATCACCAGCGGACTACACAAATTTTATGACCGGTAGGTGGAGAGTTGGGGTTGTTTAAAGGCTGTAGGCTTGATCTGACCTGGCATTGCTGCAGACTTAGCCTTCAAGAAGTCTCTAAGTCTCTTGGTCTGGCAGACCCTGGCCTTGCCTTACTCCTTGCCTTGCCGGGCTTACAGCTCCTAGGTTCCAGTTTAAAAATCATAGGTGAAAAGGAAATCGAAAAGTTACCAGTCAAAATCTTGTAGGTGTCAACGGTTCTGGGAATATCGTCGCTCAGCTTCAGGACGGGAAATGGCGAGTCGCAGCGTGGAATGAGCAAAAGCCATTAGCGTGTGTCGGAAAATATGAGGTTAAGAATTGAAGAGACTTCAAATAGTCCTTGTCGTTTCTTAAATGCATTCAGAGTGTTCAATGCGATGCTCCATGTGATACAGAATGGTTCTACGCGAAACAGCTTAAAGCCTGTTACAAGGTTCGTTATCCAGTTCGAAAGTTCGAGCTATTCTTTGACTTTTGTAACACGTGATGTAAATGTTAGGTTGTGGGCAGCACAAACGGGATGACGTGGAACGAGGCGGACACGGCTTGTCGGAGTGCTGGCGGGATTCTCACCTCGATCACCTCGGACGAAGAGAATCGAATAGTGAATGGTTTGTGGGAAAGGGGATAATTAAAGAAGAAACTTTCAGAGATCGCCACCACCAACATGAAACTCGGGAAAGTGGAGTGGCAAACGTGGACAGGTGGAGTGAGGGTGCGTCTTCGTATATCACTATATAAAAGATCAGTGTCTGCCCGTCCGTCTGTACGGGCATGGCCGTGTTTCGATCAATAAAGCTTTCTTTAGAAAACCTTAGAATCCATTGTAGTTGTGGTATTTGAAAGAAAAAGAATCCAAAAACAAGCCGCAGTGGCACTACAGGGGATCGAACCTGGATCTTATGGGCTGTAGACAAGCGCGCTCCCGACTGCGTCAAGGCGACAAGTTGACCACCCAGAAAAATCAGGTATTAAGCGAGCGGGTTGCAAAATGTTGAAAAAAGCAAAAGCCTGAAATTACGATACTTTGACTGGAGTTTAGCGTGTGTTTTCCCTCAACTAAAGCGTAAACTTTTGAAAACTACTGTACTCTTTTGCTTTTATTCAATCCATTAACTTCTTCACCCGCTTTTCAGACGGGCCCGAATCCGCAGGATTGGCGTTGGATTGATGGAGCACCATTCAATTTCACCACGTGGGCCCTTGGTCAACCAGACGATGGTAAAGGGATTCAGAATTGTCTCCAGGTTTGTGAAAAAAATGAATCTAAGGCTCGCAAGTGCGTTTTGAGTGAATTTTTGAAAGTTCACCATTCAAGTATACTTGTTTTTTTTAATAATTTTTGAATTTGCTCAATTCTCAGGTCTACACATCGGTTTTCTCAGGTGAGTTCAAGAATGACGCGGACTATTTGACGAAATGGGACGATCTTCAATGTGATGCGAATTCCCTGAATGGAGTGTGCAAGAAAGTGGCGAAATATTAGATTTGAATAAATGAAATGACAATGAAATGTGATTGCTTTTCGTTTATTTGTTTTGTAGAAAAAAAAAATAAAGACAAAGACGTCTTTGACCGTCAAAGAACGATCGAAAGAATCTCGATGTGCTTAGATTGAAATCAAAAATTGATAGACTTTCTTTAAAATGAAAGAAAATGTTCGCCAAAGTGTTTGCCGACTTTAAGACTTGAAAAAGTTAAAAGCATCTCAAGATCTGAAGAAGTTAAATACTATTTTTCTTTTTGTCTTCTGAAATGTTAAGATTATCAATAGAACATGACAAGGTTTGACAAGTTTTTATCTTTAAAAAATTTATCCAAAAATCTATATCTAAAGTCTCAGAGAACGGTAACAGCTTTGAGCATAAAGTAATCAAATTTCTGGCCATCCACACTGTTTTACCAATGCTAATGTCGGGTACGGCTTGTATGGCATTATTGACAATGAATGTTGGTATCAGCTTATAGCTAGTCTAAACCAAAAGTAGATAGATTCGAGGAAAATATGGACAAGATTACGGTTGTTTCGAGAAAAGGTGGCAGGATTCGAGAAGCCATAAGCCTAACGCCTAAATTTGCATTGATACAAAGCACTAGAACTTTATAATATCTTTTTAAAACAACTCGTGTTTAGGTCTCCTTCATCCACACTCTCGTCGCCTTCATGTTTTATTGATGCTAATGTCGGGTACGGCTTGTATGGCATTATTGACAACGAATGTTGGTATCACGATCACTTGCATGGTCAACTCGACGGCAGTTGCTCTAGAAGCCGCTCATTCAGCTTATGAGTGAGATAAGGAAAGAATTTGAGTATCGATTAGATTTAGCAATGAATCAGTCTTGTTGATGGAGGTGACAAGAGAGCACGAGCAATGTCATGCCGACACAGCGGCTTTAGTTGTCGACTATGGGGTGAGATGGTTGTAGAGAATAAACTTGAAAGATACCATAAAAAGCATCTCAAGCATCTCAAGCATCTCAAATCTCAAGATCTCAAGATCAAAGCATCTCAAGATCTGAAGTAGTTAAATACAATTTTTCTTTGTCTTCTGAAATGTTAAGATTATCAATAGGACATGACAAGTTTTGACAAGCTTTTATCTTTTAAAAATTCATCCAAAAATCGATTTAAAGTCTCAGAGAACGGTAACAGTTTTGAGCATAAAGTAATCAAATTTCTGGCCGTATTTCAAAAACTTACTCATAATTGCGCAATGATGATAATGATGATGATGTATTTGAGGGTTTTAATGGTTTCAAGGAGCTTTTTGAAGCTTTGCTTGATTTGCTGACCATAGAAAATGTTTGAAGAAGAGGAAAGGGGCTTAAAGAAAGAGAAAGAGCTGGGAATGTTCTCTCTCTCTCTCGTTTTCCTCCAATCTCTCCTCGAAAAAGGATCATCTTTTCCCTCTTTTCCCAATCCATTCTCCGCTTTCAAAACACCGCTTTTTGCAAAGGGAATATTTCTTTGTTTCACCACTCTTTTTCGTTTTTTTTTTTTTTATGGTGCAATTTATATTCGTATAGTATCCATTTCTTGAGCTGATTATTCATTTTTTGATTTCAATTTAAACCAAAAGAAAAGACTTTCTTTTGTAAAATTTAAAATAAACCAAATTGAATTATTACAATAAAAATTTATTATATTACTTTATGAATATACTTTTTTTTTTTTGAGTTGCCTAAGTCTAAACTAAACTTCAGACCAATCCTCAAAGGCTGAGCTCAAACTCAAAATTCCCATTTATTCACTGATGAAATTTAGGTGTCGTAGCCGATCTTGAGATTCAGTTCATTCAAAAACTTACGCTCCTTTTCGCAGCTCTTCTTCTTTGTATTGTGATTTTGTAGTTTTTTTTTTCTAGATTCCCCAAATCTCCATGTTTGTAAAGCATTATGATTCATTGTTCGTGTATCAAAGAAAATCGCCAGCACCTCCATTCATCCTTTATTCTTTATTTTTTTTCTCTCTCTCTCTCTCTCTCTCGTTGTTCACTCGTAGAACCATTCCGATCATTTTATAGTATTTCTGCTGGTGCTTTTTTTGACGTTTGGAAGTTCTCGAATTGAACGGCAAACTTTTCTTCATTTGATCGCAACAGGCTTCAACAGATCGCAACATTTGACCAGGCACTTCTTCGGCTTCTTCTAAATTAGAATTAAATTAGAAATATGTAGATAGAAAGCAGGAAAACTATAAAAACCAATAACAAAAGTCAACAGAAAAGTTGAATTATGTAAATAAATTCTAAAGAAAAAGTTCAAGTTGAATTAGCTCGTCTTTCTGTAATCTTAAATTAATTATAAATTTTGCATTTATAGGCTGTCGCAGAATCGGTTAAATCTCAAGATTGTCTATAACATAGACAGATCAGTCTATAGATCAGTCTGATCTACTAGCCTAACCTGGAATAACATACCGTCTTCTCTCCAATAGTAGTGCACCCAGAGCCTCACCTAAATTCCTCGAAATCTCGAGAACCGCTTATCAGAACCGATCGATGTGGGGTCGGAAAATGTAGCTGACGATGAGATCTAGTGGGGGATTTGAGTGTTGGACTTCTGGGAAAGCTTGGGAACCGTAAAATAGTGACCAACTCGGCTCACCGGAATGCACTGCTATTAGAGAAAAAACGGTATTTAAGAAAAACATTATGTTTTTAACTTTAACTTTTATAAAATTTAGCTTTAAAACTATACTTATTTCTCTTCTTTAAAAGTATCATCAAAATTTTTGACTCAAATTTCTTTGTGCCAGAGCTTTAACGACTCTTGCTTAAAGATTTCTAAATTAACTTCGGAAATTCTTTTTTTCTTTTTTTCTTTTTTCTTTTGTCAATTTCTCAATAAATCAATAGTCAATTTGTCAACGTTTGTCAGTTCTCAACTCAACAATTGTCGACCAGGAAATGAAATATTATCAACTAGATTTTTGCGCACTTTTTCTAGAGAAAAGAAAAATTGAAAATAATAGATTTGACCGGAGATACGAAACAGAGAGCGATCATTTTTCTAAAGAAAATCCCCTCAATTTGTATTTAGATTCACGTTTTTCTATTCAAAACACTTAGGACAATGAAAAAATTTTCAATTTTCAATTTCTAATGAGAATTTCAGAAATTGAGAATTTAGTTTTCTGAAATCTCAAATTTAGCCTTTTGCCTCCATGGTAACGAGCCATTTTCAGAAATTGCTGAGTTTTTCATTTTTTTTCAAGACTTTCTTCCAGATTTTGTTTTCTTTTCCTTAACGTTTTGTATTTCTCTAACAATTTTAGCCGAAGAAACATGGCTAAAGACGTGGAGCTGTTGAAAGGAGAACAAAGAGGAGATAAAGGTATCTTTTGACAGTAAAAGAACACAGATGGACAAAGACAAAATATAGAACACAGATGGACAAAGAATAAAATGTAGAAACTAGAGTACTACGGCAATGGCTGTACTGTCCTCTCATCGTTCTAATATCGTTTTCTCTCTCTTTCTCAAGTGCTCTTCTATTACAGGCAATTACGGTATGGAGTTCTTCTCTATTCCAGTTATTCCACTTTCGTTTTCTTTGCCGATTTTGTGGTCGATTACTCTGAAATTTTTTCTAAAAGCTGAAAATGTCGATTTCTATTTGTAGACAAAATATCAGAACAATTAGCCAAGAGATGGCTGAGAAAACGAAAGTGGAATTAGGTTCGGGTTGGAATTTCCCCATGTCAGTATGGAGTACACTTGGTTATCGACGATTATCGACCGATATCAGATCAATAGCCAGAACTTCTGAGCTTATAGCTAGTCTAAACCAAAAGTAGATCGATTCGAGGAAAATAGAGACAAGATTACGGTTGTTTCGAGAAAAGGTGGCAGAATTCGAGAAGCCATAAGCCTAACGCCTAAATTTGCATTGATACAAAGCACTAGAACTTTATAATATCTTTTTAAAACAACTCGTGTTTAGGTCTCCTTCATCCACACTCTCGTCGCCTTCATGTTTTATTGATGCTAATGTCGGGTACGGCTTGTATGGCATTATTGACAACGAATGTTGGTATCACGATCACTTGCATGGTCAACTCGACGGCAGTTGCTCTAGAAGCCACTCATTCAGCTTATGAGTGAGATAAGGAAAGAATTTGAGTATCGATTACATTTAGCAACGAATCAGTCTTGTTGATGGAGGTGACAAGAGAGCACGAGCAATGTCATGCCGACACAACGGCTTTAGTTGTCGACTATGGGGTGAGATGGTTGTAGAGAATAAACTTGAAAGATACCATAAAAAGCATCTCAAGCATCTCAAGCATCTCAAGCATCTCAAGATCTCAAGATCTCAAGATCAAAGCATCTCAAGCATCTCAAGCATCTCAAGCATCTCAAGATCTCAAGCATCTCAAGATCTCAAGATCAAAGCATCTCAAGATCTGAAGTAGTTAAATACAATTTTTCTTTGTCTTCTGAAATGTTAAGATTATTAATAGAATTTTAGTTGTCGACTATGGGGTGAGATTGTTGTAGAATTGAAATAAACTTGAAGATACCATAAACTGTAGTAGTATCGAATATAGAGATTTGTTTAGGGTGAATTGTTGTGGTCAGAGCAATGGCAGTCATATGTAAAAGGAGCAGCTTTTTTGGGTGGTCTTCTCGCTGTTTTGCCGGGCGGAATTGCGTCGGATCGACGATCGGTTACACGGATATTGCTTGTGTCAATGGGTTTGTTTTGCTTTGTGGAATTAACAAATCCTAAAACAGTAGCCAATATCCAACAATGGAAAACTTTGTAAAGCCAATGAACGTAATTTTTCAGCACTGATGTCACTCTGCAACGTTCTCTTCCCAATTGCTTCAAAATTCAACAAGCGAGTTCCAATTTTAGCAATTCTCCTTCGTTTTGGGATGGGTTTGGGAGAAGTGAGTCTTTGATCTGACTCACTAAATAGTAAAGATTGATCTTTACTATTTAGTCATTCATTTCCAATTCATAATCACAATTTTAGGCGTTTTTCTTACCAGCGCAAAACGCGTTGATGGTTCGGTGGATTCCGTTGAACGAGAAAGCTTCAGCAGGTGCAATAACTTTTTTCTAAAGCTTCCTTTGTTTCTAAAGCATCAAAAATCTGGTGTAGCTATGTAAATGAAGAATCCAATGCGCCAAGAAAGGTTGATTTTTCATCACAAAGTAGATCTTAAACAAGGCTAAAGAATTTTGATAAACCTTTAGGTGCAATCTATTCGATTGGCTATCAAGTTGCGGGCATTCTTGGTGTTCCGTTGTCAGCTGCTCTCTGTCAGAGTTCACTTGGATGGCCGGCCGTTTACTATATTTCCGGTAAGCTTTGAAAGAGGTAATGTACACTACTGGACAATGAAATATGATATTTGAAAAAAGATCGTCACTTTCGCGCGTCTATAACTCCCTTGTCTTTACCGTATTTCTAAATATTAATATTACCATTGTGTAGGCCTTGAAAAGAGCTTTCAGAAAATGTATAACACTAATAGTTTAAACGCAAAGACAAGGGAGTTACAGACGCGCGAAAGTGACGATCGTTTTTCAAATATCATATTTCATTGTCCAGTACTGTATCTACTACTTATCATAAGCCTTATCATACTTATCTACTTATCATAAGCCTTATCATACTTATCTACTACTTGTCATAAGCCTTATCATACTTATCTACTACTTGTCATAAGCCTTATCATACTTATCTACTACTTATCATAAGCCTTATCATACTTATCTACTTGTCATAAGCCTTATCATACTTATCTACTACTTGTCATAAGCCTTATCATACTTATCTACTACTTATCATAAGCCTTATCATACTTATCTACTTGTCATAAGCCTTATCATACTTATCTACTACTTATCATCGCACTTTATTTCTTTCTAAATAAAGTCTTTATATCATACATAAATCCCGAGAATTTTATTTTCAAAAACTTTCAAGAACTCAAAGACAAGGGAGTTACAGACGCGCGAAAGTGACGATCTTTTTTTCAAATATTTCATATTTCATTGTCCAGTACTGTAAGTGTTAAATACAAGATTTTCTTTCTTGGATAAGTCAATCAGATAATCTGAAAGTCAAAGTTTGAAACTGTTTACTGCAAAGTAAGCCTTCCGAACTTGAGAATGCTATCAAATAAAGCTGTAAGATTTATTTGATAGCATTCTCTTAGATTTAAGCATATTTTCAGCTCTTTTTGGTTTCTTATGGATTGGTGCTTTCAACTATTTGGCATCGGATTCCCCGTCGATTGCCCGTTGGATGAGTGAAGCAGAAAGAGAGTACTTGTCTCGTGAACTACAACATCTAAAGCAAAAGAAGCAAAAGGTAACTCGTTTTCACAGCGTTTTTACAGCGATCAACATCGATAGTTAGTTTGATTCGAGAACGATTTTGTGATGCGATCCCTTTCAAAAAGTCATTAATGTATTTTCACTAAATCTTTGCAAAATAGTTCTCAAATTTCATCAAAACAAACTCCAAATATCACGATCGTTTCCCCGATTGCTTTCCCCATCCTTTCCCATCCTTTCCCATCTTTTCCCCAATCTCATGCCTTTTTTTAGATCCCCTTTCCCACTCGTCATGTTCTTCGCTCGGCCGCCATTTGGGTGTTACTTTATGCGTCGTTTTCTGGCAATTTCGTTATCACTTTCATCCAATTGTATATACCTTCATTCTTCAAAGATGTACTACTGATGAATGTGAAAAAAGTTGGTGCATGACTTTGATGAGAAGTCAAGATTGTTTAAAGCTACCAAAATTCAATTCAAAGATTCTCAAAAAGAGCAAGAGGTTACGTGAAATAGAAAAGACTACCAGTAAAGCAAAGTAATACTTTAAAAAAACTTTAAAAACAATTTTCCTATTTCTAGTAAGCTCTAATAAGAAATTCTTTTACATGAGCTGGCTACAAGGCAAAGTGTTCAAAGGGTGGCTGGAAACTTTTGTACTTTGCTTCTGTACTGGCAGGAAGCTTCTGTACTTTGCTTCTGTACTGGCAGGAAGGTTCTGTACTTTGCTTCTGTACTGGCAGAAAGCTTCTGTACTTTGCTTCTGTACTGGTTTACCAGTACAGAAGCAAAGTACAGAATCTTACTAAAGGTTAAGGTCTATGCTTAACTTTTCAAAGATTCAAAGTGCTTCTGTACAATTTTGTCACTAAAAAGTCATTGATTTAATCTTGAAAGAATACAAATCACAATTTGAATTGAATCTTTTTGATTGTAAAATTTTTTTTTGCATTTCGAGGGGATAGTATAAACAGCAGAAAGGTAAAAAAAATAGATAAAAACAGTAACTTTTTTTTGTGCAAAACATTTTGGCATATAGGGGAAGAATTTTATTTGTTTGTTGATGAAAATTTGATAGAAATATGATGAAGAAGAAAACAGGGGAAAAGGCGAATGTTTTGACTAAAGAGGAAAGGAGATGTTGATAGAAAAATTGAGAAAAAGGGAAACACTTAAAGACTACTGTGGATTTACTTTAGTATAACATAAAGCTAACGATGTATTTACCGTAAATACTGTAATAGTACCCCACCCCCCTCGTACAGTCGCGTAGTCGCAAAAGTTTTTGAGTATTTCATTTTTTGCAAAGCGTCCGTACTTTCAAAAAATGTGCTTTTGGTATCAAAAAATAGCCCTGAATTTCAGCTATTTTTTGATACCCAAGCGTGCATTGTAGCATAAACCAGTGTCAAGAAAAACTCGTTCAAAGCTAGACTACGCAACACTCCGCACCGTCATTATGCGGGTGGGGCACTATTACAGTATTTACGGTAGGTATTGTTTATCAAAGATTTTGTATTAATAGATCATAAACCAGCAAGTACAATGAATCTATTTGAGTTAAAATTTGATAGTGCTTGTTCTAGAATTGCTAGAAAAGGTAAGATCTAGAGACTAGAGCCAGATTTAACTTTTTCAGGTCTTAATCTAGCTTCTAGCTTGCCTCTAGTTTGACTTACAAGCTCTAGAACTTGGTTAAGTATCTTTATAGGTTGACTACTTTAAAACAAAGCTTTTCAGAAACTTTTGAAAGTGATTTGCAAGTGAAATGATCAAATGAATGAAATGAAATAGCAAATGAAAAAAAAAACCCTTATTTTATTTGGTAACTTTAGACTTATTCAATTAGAAGATGAATTTGCGTGAAAGACTTAGTACTCAATCGATATTCTAGAATGGTCTTACAACAGCGATTCCACATCTCTCACAAGTTGTCGCCAAATTCACGTGGAGTACGATGATCGACCGAGCAAAAAGAAACGGCCTCTCGCCGACGCATGCCGTTCGAATCAGTCAAGCTGTTTGTAAGTGATAAAACTAATTTATAATAACGAAATTTTTCCTTACCAGATACCAGACACCAATCTTTTTCAGCCTGCATCGGTTTGGTGATCGGTTTCTTCTCGATTGCTACTTTTGCCGATTGCACGAATCCGTGGTTGGCTATTGGATTGCTTTGTCTTGTCACAAGCTCTTTTGGGATTTCGATTGCCGGTTCGAATCTTCATTTTCAACATTGAATCCAGTTTTCTTTTTTTACAGGTTTCGTTTGTTCTCTCTTGTCAATGGCTCCAGCTCATGTGGGCACGTTGACGAGTCTCACGCATGCTATTGGTGAGTTTTAAAAGAACGTTTTTACTAACAGTAAACAAGGAAAAGAGTTTGTAAAGAGTTTAATTATTTAAAACAAAAAAAAAACCAAGCTTTACTTCTATAAATCCGAATTTTCAGGTTTCGTCGGTCGATGGGCTTGCCCGCTCATCGTGCAACACTTCAAAACGATTGTAGGTTATTCAAAAATATACATTTCTAAAGCTAAAGTCATTTAAAATCTATTTTATTTAAAATAAAGTCAAATTTCAGGGTACAACCAGTGAGTGGAAACAAATTTTCTACACTTTTTCGGTGATTCCGCTCATTTCTCTGCTAACATTCACCTTTTTCGGATCAGGTTTGTGTCAAATATGAGTATTTCTTTTAAAAAAAACACTTATCACAGCATTTACACAATAATTTATTAAAGCAAGAAATAGAAAAATGATTTGGGTTTTATCCGTAGAATGGTCCACGATCTTGGCATGCTCTTCCACCGCAAACTAATTGAAAAGGAGCATCGTAGATCGAGTTGCCCCAGTATCTAAATTCTTTGTCTTTATTTTATGCCAATAATCACCGAAAGCTTAGGATTACTGTAATAGGTTGGATTACTGTAATAGACTGGATTACTGTAATAGACTGGATTACTGTAATGGACTGGATTACTGTAACAGATCAAAGCTACTGTAACAGAGCAGAGCTAAAGTGAGTAGACGAATCACCAAAAGCTTCGAATTCTCAGAGAATAAGTGCTAAAGTTCTAGTTAATTCTCAGAACTGCAGTAGCATTAAATTATGCTTTCATTATTATTAAATATCTACAGAATTAGGACCTAGAATACTCCCACAATGTTACAGTACCCGTAAAAGTCTTATCACTCACTGTGCCTCAACCACTCCAACCAGCAAACACAGCACCATCGCCAAAAATAGCCAGCTCATTTTAGCAAAAGAAAATGAAAGTTTGGAAAAACAGATAAGGGAGATTTACGAAAATGGAGCCAATCACCGGCTTAATATAGGCCCGAGTTTTTTTTGGCTTTGGCAAAACAACATAAAGTGTGTTTGTGTCTCATGATTGTGTTTTCATTTGGAGGGATGAGATGGAGAGATCTTTCTTTTAACATCTCGGTCTCATTCTCATAGATATCTTTGGAGATGAGATGGAGAGATCTTTCTTTTAACATCTCGGCCTCATTCTCCTAGATATCCGGCTTTGGTGTGCGAATGAGAGGGCGGAACTAATATAGACCTGTGCCTGGAAAGTGAAATGGGCGCTAGGTACATACACAGTACTTTGAGCTACAGTAGTTCGTCTAAATAGTTTACCAGGGGTTTTTAAGAGGAATACTGTAGTTTAGTAGTTCGTCAAAGACAAACTACAGTGGTTCGTCAGTGGCCATGAACCTCTAAAAAGGAGTGCTGTGTGTACTGTGTTTGTCAAAGGCACCATAATTCAAAAAAGCGTATTATAATGCAATAGAGGAGTACTTTAGTTTTTCAAGTTTACTTTTATTAGCTTAAGTTATAGTAAACTGTTGTCAGGAGTACCGTTGTCACAAAATAGAGTTCAATAGAGTTCAGTTTTGTTATGTTTTGTTATGTTTTGTTTTGTTTTGTTCAGTTTTGAGCAAAATAGAGCTCTATTGAACTCTATTGAACAAAATAGAGCAAAATAGAGCAAAATAGAGTTCAGTCGACATAAGGTCACCGAAAACAAGCAAAACGTACCCATAAAGTACCCATAGACAAAGTGATGAAAGTAAATTCATTGTATCACCAACAAAATATGACAATTTGTTCTCACAAAACCCAAATTTCTCAATGTGTGCTTTGATAAATCAAGAAATGATTTATAGGTGAGATCCAAACGTGGGGACGAGTGCCAACAATGGAGATTGAGCTCAATGAGAGCTCATTGCTTGGAAAAGGAGAAGGAAAAGATGGAAAAGATGGAAAAGATGGAAAAGGTGACAAAGATGAGATGGATGAATCAAAAAAGGAACGCATTAAGCTCACCAATTAGGAGAAAACGGAGATTCTTTTGGCGTTTTTTTCTTTAAATTCGTGATTTCAAAGAAATTTTTGTGTAATATTCGATTTTTGACTTTTTTTCGACGATTAGAATATTTTAGAGTAGAATTGTGTTTTCTAAAAGTTGCGTTTCAGAAAAAAAAAACTTTTTCATTCTTTCTTCACAAACTTGTGCAATTCTTCTCTCTATCTCGGGTCAATAATATTATTTTTTTTGACGTATATCTTTTAGACAATAAAAAAATGCATATTGTTGGTTATGCATATGATTGAAAAAAAAAAAAACTAAAAACAAAAAAACTTACTCTTTTTACATGTATTTTGATCAAATAAAAACGTTATTTGATACATTGATGTATCAATAGATCATAAGCCAGCAAGTACAATGAATCTATACAACGATCCGCACTCCCCCTTCCCACAAAGTAATTACACTTACAGTAGCCCATTGGGCACTCTGAGTTCGATCCGATTTCAGGCCAAGTTCTTTGTGCGGAGTCGAAAAGGAAAGTTGAGGGTGAAAAACAACAGCGATTTACCTTCTCAATTATGTTTTCTGCAAGACTAGGCGTCGGTTGCTAACGAGCAAAACACTTACAAAAGAAATCTATTAAAAGCGAACTCTTCGTGGCAATGAACGGGGCACTGAGCGAGGGATGGCGACTGGCACCTCGGCAGGCACTTTCTTTTTGGGACCACGGCACATCTGTACTAATCTAAATGAAAAAGTAACAGTTCGAGTAATGCAAATGGCCACTATATAAATGTTCTAAGTCAAAAATTTCAATATCTAAACCAAAGAAAGGTAAAGCGTTACTTTTTCGTTCAAAATCTGAGGGAAAGATAAAATAATTAAATTTCTATTAAAAAACTCACCGCAAGGATTGACTTTCCAAAATTTAAACCAGCAAAAGAGAAAAAGAGCAACTAGAAATCGGGAATAGAAAATAAAAATGAATGTTTGATCGAAGAAATGAGAGGTGACAGTAAAAATGACTGTCAAATGCAAATTTTTCTCATATGATGCCATGATTCCGCCGTTTTCCACTTGCTAAAAGCCTTTTTCACTTCTTCAAGCGCACTTTTTTTAAGACTTTATTCAATAAAACAATCTGTAATCTAAATCTGAGCACATAGGCATACCCTATCATATCACAAAACCCATTAAAAAATACATAGAATTTTCTAAAAAGATGGAATTTTTTCAAGAAACAAAGCTCAAAGATAAATGATTATACACAACGAATTTAAACTATACAAGTCGACAAAAAAGAAAAAGTAAATACAAAAAAAAATAAGGCTAACCTATATGACCAAATCAAAGTGGAATGTTACCATGCTTCCGTTTTGGATTCTTGAGCTTCTTCGACTCGAGTAAATTCAAATCCTCGCAGATTCGTCTTCTCGTAGTTGATGGCACAATGATGTCATCGACAAAGCCTCTGAATGGAAAACATTAGCAAAATAGATAAACTCGGTTTTTGTTTAAGATATGTAAAAGTTAATATATTTCTGTATGCCGCCTAAACGCCACCATTTGTTCATTTCAAATTGATTGCACCTTCGGGCGAGCACTTTTCTTGAGTCATTATTCAATGATCAATCAATTTTCGGGAGTTTCATGGTCCACCCACATCGTCGAGTGGGCCACCATCAAGATAATCTCCCAAAGTAAGAGATTCGTGTTATTTGCTTACATATTTTAAAACTAAAATTAACCTGACAGCCGCTGGGAAAGGATTCGAGAAAAGCTCAGTGTACTCAGCTTCGTGCTTCGCGTGATTGGCTTTGTCCTTGCGGAAGAGAATTTGAACGGCTCCCTGAAAACAAATAAGTTGAATCTACAGTAACAAAAGTAGTTCTAGTAGTAAAAACGAATAGCAAGAATTTATAATCAATTTTTGTTTACTTAAATTATTTTAAGCATATCCTCAAGTGTATAAGCTAAGAATTACCTTAGCTCCCATGACGGCAACTTCAGCTGTTGGCCAAGCGTAATTGCGGTCTCCTCTAAAAATTTTATCATTAAAAAGCTCCTAAGTAACAGCACCTCAAATGTTTGCTCGACATTACATCGTACGCACCACCATAAGCTTTTCTTGTGATAATCTAAAGAGTCATTTAAAGTTGAAAACCTCAACACTTTACCGTAATCTTGGGCACTGTAGCCTCAGCAAAAGCGTAGAGCAGTTTGGCTCCATGACGAATGATACCACCATATTCCTGAGCGGTTCCTAAACAAAAAAAAGTCGAATAACACATGAATTGTTTACCAGGCAAAAATCCGGGCACATCCACCAAAGTGATGATCGGAATGTTGAAGGCATCACAAAAACGAACAAATCGAGCTCCCTAAAAAATAAAAACAATAGTTCTCTTTTAGTTTTTCTTTTTTTGCTTCTATATCATAATCAATTAGTACCTTTACTGAAGAATTGATATCAAGACAACCGGCCGCAAATTTCGGGTTATTTCCCACAATGCCCACACTTCGTCCATTCATTCGAGCAAATCCGATCGTGAGATTCTTCGCGTATTCAGGCATGATTTCAAAGAAATCACCTTCATCCACCTAAAGCAAAACACTTTATTAGTAATCTTACAGTAAAACAAACCAATGATGTGATTACATCTTTCATATTGTAAGCGGCTGTGCTTTCAAGAGGAACAACGGTATCAAGTGAGGGAACATCTCTGTAGCAAAAAGTAAAAATTGAAGCACGACTTGATAGCCTACCTATTCCATGAATCATCACACGCGCGAATTGGAGACGGATCCTTGTTTGAAAGTGGCAAGTAGTTGAAGAGCTCACGAAGTGACATCAATCCATCAACGTCGTTCTCAAAAGCACCATGAGCGACACCTAAAAACATGGTTTCTAACTTCAAATGTTTAAAGATTTAAAAATGTTATTCGGTTTAATGGCCGACTGGCGGAAGGTCGAGGGTTCAATCACGCTGGCAAGATAAAAATGTTTCTTTTTCCCACCAAGTGGGTTTTTTCTTTCACAACATTTGGGTATAGAAGTACTATGGGTAACGACGGCCACAGTGCCATAAAATTGTGTGTTTAGACCTTTATGTCTTATTATGTATCCTTTGTTTGTATCACATTATTGGTTATTTTTCAATAAATGTGTTTTTAAAGGTTCTGCTACAGCCAACAGGTCTTACAATTGCCAACTAACCCGATGTTACTGTGTGCGTTTTGGCTCCTCCCAGCTCTTCCTGTGTCACTTCTTCGTTTGTGACGGCTTTCACAACATCTGGTCCAGTGATGAAGAGATATGATGAGTCACGAATCTAATTAATTTTACTTTTAAAACTTGCAAAAGCAGTTACCATAAAAGTGAAATCTGTCAATGCAGGTGAATAGACGGCTCCACCAGCGCACGGACCCATGATCATCGAGATTTGAGGAACCACTCCAGAAGCGAGCACATTGCGCTAAAAGAAAAGTGTTATGTGCTATCCATTTAACTATCGTTACTTCAAAAATATCCGCATATCCAGCCAAAGATTCAACTCCTTCTTGGATTCGAGCACCGCCCGAGTCGTTCAATCCAATAACTGGGGCACCTAGAAAAAGATGTAAATAAAATTGCTTGCAAAATTTAAGACACTGACCAACTCGCATCGCTTCATCCATAATTTTGCAAACTTTCTTGGCATGAACGGATGAGAGGGAGCCGCCGAAAACAGTGAAATCCTAAGGAATAATATTCAAGAAACAATGTTAAAGCAATTTACTTGTGAAAAGACAAAGACGGTTCTTCCGGAAATTTCTCCACGTCCAGTTACCACCGAGTCACCAGCATACTAAATGAAAAGTACTTTGTTCAATTGTTTGTCTAACAAACCTTTTCTTTTTCCATTCCAAACTCGGTGCACGTGTGCTCTGCAAACATGTCGTACTCACGGAAAGTTCCTAAAAAGATATATTTGATTCAAAACCTAAATCTAACACTAACCTTTATCAAGCAGTAAATCGATTCGTTCGCGAGCCGTTAACTTTCCACGCTTGTGCTGGGCATCGATTCGAGCCTGACCACCACCAAGGAGAGCCTAAAATTATGGTTAAGTAGAATGTTAGATTGGTGATAGTCCGACTACTTTGCAAAAACTAACCGCTGCTCGTTTCGTCTCGATTTGTTCCGCAACACGAATGGTGTGCGAAATCGACGAGTTGGCCGCTGCCGAGGAGCACATTCGGAGATTCTAAAATATCAAATTAAATTTGAAAAGAGTTTCGATAATAGGTTCTTGAGATCACTTGACCACTTTAATAACTATGTACTTGCGGATAAAAGTCTTAAAAAAGTAAAACAAAAGCTCACCAATCTACTCCACGTGGCCAGGCCTGACCGAGCTAAACGTGAGACGTTCATCGTCTCCTAAAATTAATAAAAATTATTTGAAAAGCAAAGAAAAAATAAGAAGCACACAAAAATTTGACTGAACGATGGCACTTTTAAGTAGACTACGAGAAAAACCTATGGACCGGTGAGCGGGGTCAGTTTGTGTTTTAGAGAGAAAGGGAAGGGGATTTGACCGTAAAGAGTTGAACACGGGTGAACAAGGCTAAAAAGTCATGGCTTAAAATGTTAAGCTTCAAATTTAGTTGAAGAGCTGGGAAAGCAAGAGTGGAAAGCGGGAGAGAAGATGAATTGCATACTATTATAGTCTCAAAACACTAAATTAAATTCGGGAGTGGGACAAATGCGACCTTTTTTTTGCGCACCCGGACATTTTCCACAAGCTCTGATATGTCAAAATGTCGATTCTACGCCCTAAAATTACCTAGAAAAACAACTTTTGGAATAGAAATTGGTTAATATTAGCTTTTTAGAGCTTTTTTAAAACGCGAAAAAAGGTGCGCTAATGTCCGGGTGCGCAAAAAAAAGGTCGCATTTGTCCCACTCCCTTAAATTCCAGAAAATTACCACTTAACTGTCGTTAAAATATGACAAATCAAAACTTTATTTTATATCATTTTCTCGAATTTACTTAACGAACGGATTAAGAGGTGGTTTTTTTTCGACTTTAACTTTATTTAAGCCCTTGGTATTGTTGAATTTGAACAATTTTGTTATTTTCAGATCGATAACCTATCTGAAAACGATCTGGAAGATGAAAAGTCGGTTTTGTTTTAGAATTTTGCATTAATTTCCTTTTAGTGACCGGGTTTTTCGACAATCAAATCGAGAAATCGCAAACGCCACAATCGTCAGGCGAATCGGAAAGTGGAAAATCGACCGACCCACCACCGAACAATTTCGGGAAACAACCAAGTCAGTTTTTTTTGTCTTTTTTTTGCAGATTCTGGATCTTTCCTTGATAGCGTCATTAGTCTTTAAGGTACAAAATTCTGTAAGCTGATGAAATGCCACCAGTTTTGTTTAATTTTTCAATTTTAGGGGGAGACAAGCGACACCCCAGTCAACAGCGAAAGTCAGCAAGGAATGGAGAAAGTGAGAAATTCCGCTCGAACACGATTGTGGAAACAGAAACGAAGTAGTTTGTTTGTTTCATGGAAAGTTCAATCACTTCTGTAGATACCGAGTACTGCACGTTCTCGGCTCCGGTGGATTCGGTGACGTCTACAAAGTGTGACAGAAAAGAATAAATTTGGTAGGATTTCAACTCTCGATTCTGTAATATCTTTTTTCAGGAAGCTGAAGAAGGTTCGCCGAGGAGAAGAAGATCAACATGAACGAGCCGTTGAATTGGATTGGAAAGATTCGCTCGGAGCACATAAAACGAGTGGAGAAGAAGAAAGAGCAGGACAAGCAGAAGGTGCCCGTTGAACCGGAACAAGTACCCGAACCCGAGGAGCCACAGGAGGAACACGATCCGTACAAGTGAGTGGTTTTATCTAGTCATTGCTAGAAATTATATTAGGCTGTTTAAATCTCAAATTTTCTGGAGAACTAGTATTCTTTTTATATGTTAAAAGTTCTCTTACTCAACTTTGCACAAAAGCAAAAGGTAGAAAGAGTAAAACGGTGAAGAAACGATGAGCGAAAAGGGAAATTAAAAAATTTGTTTTGTATATTTGGACATTATAATCTCGCAATTGTTTTTATTGTGGTCGACTTTTGAAATAAATATTTGATGCTACGGGACGACAAACGCCCGGTTTTCTCGATTATTCACCCACCTTGTGAAGAGGTGTGAAAGAGAGTGATTCATCAGATTCGATTAGGGAGAAATCGATAAGATTGCAATTGTAGAAGCTAATGGAAATGTTCGATACAAGAACAGTCCTTGGAATTCTTATTCTATTTGCTACAGTACTTTAAGACCTGAGTTCGGGTAGATTTTTCTACTGTAATCCAGATTACGGTAAGGTAATACGTTGGGATCTATTAGGTGTGTGAAAAAGTAATCCACGTTTTTTATTTTTATCTGATGACCAAATAAGACGCTGTCTTCTCGAAAACCCTCGTTCAACCTCTTCAGAAATAGGCTTTACATTAAATTGTGATGGGTCAACCGTAAGGAAACGCTTGAATGCCATGAATTTTATCAAAAAGTTGGACAAATGGATACCGCATGAACGATAACGCGCGACCACATGTCTCTTTACAGACTCGACAAAAAATCCAGAGTATTGGATGAGAGGTTTTACCACATCCACCTTATAGTCCAGATCTTTCTCCATCTGATTATTATTTATTTTTGTCTCTGTCTAACTTTTTGGCCAATAAATGGTTCAATTCCAAAGAAGATGTCAAAACCGAGGTTGATCTTTTCTTCGTCTCTAAGGACCAAGATTTTTATTATCATAGAATGTCTTTACTTGTAGAACGTTGGTAAAAGGTTGTTCTTTCGAATGGTGATTACTTCGTTGAATAGAAATTATTTTAACGAAACTTATGGTCTTTTATATTTAAACGTTAAAAACGTGGATTACTTTTTCACACACCTAATAGATTACGGCAGCTTTTTCTGAAGTGCGCTTTGCATCACAGAGTCTACTGTTATATGATTGATGTTTCAAGGCTTTCTTTTGATACTTTTCCAACTCCCAAAATCAACTTTGTAAATCCTGTTGTTTCTTGTGCATATTCTTGTGCAAAAACATTCAAAGATATTTCCTTGTTTTGAAACCAAACCACCGTGTGTATCTTGTGTTGAATTGATACAAGAAGGGAAAGGGTTGGGTCTTTCTGGTGAGTGGGGGGGAGTTCCTCGTAGCAAAAGAGACAAGAAACAAAGCGCATATTCATACCACAAAACAAATATACCAATGCGATGGAAAAGAATATAGAAGAGATTGAGTTGAGAAAAGAGAAGGGGAAATGAGCGAGTGATTGGGAAGAGTTGCGGGTTGTCAGAGAAAGGAAAAGAGTGGGAGTTAATCAGAAAAGAAATTCGAGATTGAAAATTAGCGTCTGAAGCATTTTTACATTACCTTTCTATGCTATAGTTAGCTTCAACTACTTTTATCCATAGAAATGAGACGGCCTTCTCTATAATGCGATTCTACTTATCGGGCGTACTGTGGGCTTCTTTGTAATGAATCTTTATACCGTAAACTATAAGAAACGTTGAGAAGAATTCTAGATTTTATTGTCATCGGCCTTTGATCCTGGTTGAAAGATCCCTGATTCAAAATTTCGAATTCAATTCGAAAGATCCCTGATTCCCTTTCTCACCAAACTGAGATTTATAGTTAGAATTGAAAGGCTAGTCAGACTCAGGGACTTCTAGCAAAACAATCCTTTTTTAGTTATAAGAAACGTACTTTATAAAACTCTCTATAATTGTGTTAGAAAAAGAAGCTAAAAATGTTCGATTTTCATCTAGAATTGATTCTGTTAGAGAAAAATGAAAGAGAAATAGTATAAAGTTAGACGAAAAAGTGAAAGAAAGCTAGAGATTGAGTGTTTAAAGAAGGGGTAGAGGGGTGGGAGAGGGAGGGGAGAGAAAGGGAGATGGTTGTCCCCTCCCCTCCCCAGTCGCCCCTTCAACCTTTCCACAGATTCAACAGTCTCTGCCGGTCTTTCTCCAGTCTCATATTGTTCTTTTTGCTTCTACTCTTCACCCATCCATTTAGATTCTTTTTTCCCTTGTATCTCCCACATCTCTTCAGCCATTCATTCTGCGTGTGTGTTTTTTGAGGGCTTCCCACTTTGTTCCCATGCTTCTACTTTTTGTTCAGCTCAATTCCTGACAATTGGTCGATTATCATAAGCTCTAATTCACTTCTACCGATACATTACCTACTGATACGTTTTAATACTAAAACAATTTGTGACAATTTCTTATACAATAAAAATGTCAACATTGTAGTTTTTGTTTTAACTTCAATCATTGAATTTAAACTTCGGTGATCGGTTGAACTGTTACCCATATTTCATAAGAATTTATACAAAATCGAAGCGCTGCTTGGTTTACAATAAGATATTCCAACTTTAAGCTTATTGACAGTCAGATTTTCAGGGTAAACTTTTTACTTTTCGTGTACAAAATTTTTGTTACTATGATGTTTTTGAGCCGGAAACAATCCTCCACACTCGTTCACTCAAAAATATTGTGTGCTCATATCTGTTTTATCTATTTTATCACTTAATTTCCCCTCACAAATTGTCGATGTTTGTCCATTTGGTGTTTAGATTCGAAAATCCTGAGCTCATTTCCCAAAGTGGTACGTCAAAAGGTGTGCGTTTCTGTACCGAAAAGAAAAATGAATGAAAAACTATTTCCTTTTCAAGGCCTGATGTAATTTTTCAGATCATTGGGGAAAAAAAAAATTTTTTTTGCTTAAAATTCTTGGATTTTTCGGGGTGAAGGAGATTTGTTTGCTGACATTGCCCGTTTTGAAAATGAAAAGTTTGAAAAGGGACTGTCCAACTACTGAATGGCATAAAATTGATTTTGATTTGTTGAGTGTTGTCGTTAGTTCAAAAATGAAATTTCTTGTTTAGTGGCGTCATTTACGCGTTAATCGATGTGCTTGAGTCATCACGAAGCACGAATATTAGCTTTTTTTTGACAAGAATTCTTATTCTTATATTTCCCGAAAAATTGATGTACAAGTTAATGTAAAAATCTAGATTACAATGTTTTTTTTTGAAACAAATCCATTGATTCCGAAAATCCTGAAACTTTTCGATTAGCATATTCATCTGATCAATTTTTCTATTAGCAAAATATCTTTTGCTTTGCTCACAAGATCCTTTATACGGATTGATGTGTCAAAATCAATTCCATGACAAACCCCACCTTCAGACTTTTTATTTCGGCTGATTCGGATGGAATTTCCTCCGCCTTCTCTTTCTCTGATAAGAACCGGGGTCTAAATTTTTAAAAAAAAGCATTTAGGCTCGTCAAAAAGGAAAATAATCGCATCACAAAAACCTTTGTCGGAAAGGAATCAGCCAAATTCTCTGAAAATTTCTATTCAATGGAACCATCAAGTTCGACGGATAATGGAAAGAAATCGTCAATCGGGAATTTGTCGGCAAATCTCACTGGCGGAATGGGTTATCAGAATTTCCAAGACGTGCCAAGGTTAAAGCTGGTCGTTGTTGGCGATTCGTATACCGGGAAAACGAGGTGGGTAAATTTAAGAACACATCGAAACAAGTACGGTAAGGCTTTTTGATATTTTGTAGCTTATGGTTAGGTAAATATGAAGTCTTTCAACATATTTGTTTATCTTTTTTTTTCTAACTCTTTATTGTTTACTCTAAATATTTTCTCAAAAACTAAACGATTTCAATGTTTTCCTTTCTCATCTCCTCACACGATTCCATATCAAAATCGATAGCCGATTTGAATACATTATGACTATAGAGGATTTTAGCTAAAGGAAAAAAGAGGAAACAGAAAATGGGGTGAATAATGGGGACGATGATGTGTATATTATAAGGGAAATGGAGGAAAGCTATAAAGGAAAAGGTAGAGAATATAGAAATCTAAGCATCTGCTTTGATTTTTCGCATTTGAGGGACTTTCTACAGTGGTGGAAAAAAGTATTGAGCCTCTATCGAAAAAAGAATTCAATGTTTTGTTGGACCACCTCGAGCTTTAATGATTACATCCATTCGTCTCATACGTTCGATCCAGTCGTTGAGACTAAACATTGGAATTCCATTCCAAATCTCTTGAACTTTATCCTTTGAGAGAAAGGGATGCCCGCTCCAATTTCGTTTCACGTGCGCCTATAAATGCTCAATAGGATTGAAATCAGGAGAATAAGGTGGAGTTTAAAGCAGATAAACGTTATTAATGCGAAACCAGCCAGACGAACAAAACGAGGATTTGATATCTTTCCTTTTCGGCTCATCATCAAACCGCTTGCGTGTTTTGAGTCGTTGTCTTGTTGAAAGAGCCACGCCAGGCCCATATTTGTACTAGCGTGAGGAAGCATTGATTCCGTTAATATTTAAGCATATTTGAGTCCATTCATAATTCCGCTGATAAGAACGAGAGGCCCGATCGATTGAGATGAGAAACATCCCCAACACATTATGCTCCACCATTGAATTTCACGGTCGGAATGATGTACTTCAACTTGTATCGTGTTCCAATCGGTCTTTTGATTACATGGAAGCCATTTAAATTAAAAATATTGAATTTTGTTTTGTCGCTGAAAAGCATGTGCATCCAAGTCTCAATTGCCCGATGTTGATGCTCCAAAGCGAAGCGAACAACCATTCGATGCCATTGAATCACTAACGACTTTTGTGCTGGCCTTCTCGAGTATAATCCAAACGTTTTAAGTCGGCTCCTCACTGTTCTGCTACGTTGACGTTAAAATTGCTCTTTAGAAACTTCTTTCCATCGGTGGCAGTGAGAGTCGGCGTCAAAACGTGATTCTTCTGGAGGATTCGATCCTGTTACTCCGTCGTTTTTGATGGCTACTTCTCGGTTCCCTGTGAACGTTTCTCTCCTCACAAAATTGTTTTCACAGCCTCCTGATCGTTGTATTTGAGACTTCAAACAGTCTTTTCACCATTTTCTTTTTGATTCCCATTTGTCGGGCTCGACATCTGCTTCTTTGTCGATATCCCGTTCGTGAACCATCACTAAAGAAAATAATATTAGAATAAAAAATCTAGAAGCAAGCAAAAAGAAAAAAAAAACTAACAAATATGAAAAGGGCTCAATACTTTTTTTCCGCCGATTTTTTGCAAATATTGTGTACATATGTTTTTTTCTCGTTAAATAAACTTTTCAATTCAAAAGTTTTTATAACATTACGAAGCTTAGTTCTTCTAGTTTCTAGAAATTTAGAACGGATTTAAAAAGCTTTTGATAGAGATTTTTTTTGAAGCAAAAAGTAAAACTCTCAAAAATCGCGTAAATACCCTTCCTGTTGCACTTAATTAGACATTCTATTCAATTATTAAGTAACTAAAGAACTAAAGAATGCACAGTGCTTCTCCGGGAACCATGACCAATATTCTCACAATTTTTTACTGGATCACTAGAAAAGCATCAAGAGGTGATCGGGAGTTGGAGAAAGAAGAAAAAACATAGACCTAATAGACAGCGAACGGGTCTTTTCTCTCTTCTTTTGAACTGGTTGTTCTCATTTCCCCATGTTCTCTTACCACCACTTTTCTCACCCCTTCACAATGGGGGCTCAAGTGATGACGGGGTGAATGGTTGGGGGAAAAAAGAAAGAGGATAAATGGCACAATTTTTGTAGAGAAACTTGAGAGAGAATAAAAAGCATACACAAATCTTTCATCTTTACACAAAAACAAAATTCTTTAAGAGATTTTAGTGAAAATTAAACTGAAAATATTGGGCTTTCTGCTTTTTCGCGTCATTTATACCCACATTTTTGGCAATGAATTTTTTCCTTAAATTTCGGGAGTGGGACAAATGCTACCTTTTTTTTGCGCACCCGGACATTTGCGCACCTTTTTTTTCCGCACATTGCCCATTAGCGCACCTTTTTTCGCGTTTTAAAAAAGCTCTACACTGCTAATATTAACCAATTTCTATTCCAAAAGTTGTTTTTCTAGGTAATTTTAGGGCGTAGAATCGAAATTTTGACAGATCAGAGCTTGTGGAAACAAGCAGACGGATTTGATCTAGCCGTTTTGTCTTTCAAATTGGTTCCACACGCTCTGTTATGTCAAAATTTGAATTCGACACCCTCAAATTACCTAGAAAAACAACTTTTGGAATAGAAATTGGTTAATATTAGCTTTTTAGAGCTTTTTTAAAACGCGAAAAAAGGTGCGCTAATAGGCCAGGTGCGGAAAAAAAGGTGCGCAAATGTCCGGGTGCGAAAAAAAAGGTCGCATCTGTCTCACTCCCTAAATTTCACTAAATTTTTACTACAAATCCCACACTTTGGGGTAGGCTAATTTCCGCAATTTTTTTTTGTTATTTGGTTATTTGGTTATCATTTTATTCAACAGGGTTATTTGCGCAACTGGGTCGTTTGCGCAACTCGCCATAACTTTCTTCTAAATCGGCCAATCTTTATGATTTTGGTTTCATTTTGTAGATCTCAATAAGTGCAACAAAATGAAATCAAAAGCATAAAGATTGACCCAGTTAGAAGAAAGTTATGGCGAGTTGCGGAAAAGACCCAGTTGCGGAAACTAGTCTACCCCTAAAACTTGGTTATTTTCCTCACATATTAATATTGAACTTTCAGCCTTCTCTACTCGTACACTGAACAACGTTTCGTCACCAAGTACGACACAACGGTTTTCGACAATTTCGCTGTTAACATCAACATTGAGGGAAAGAGATACCTCGTGAATCTCTTCGACACCGCTGGACAGGTGAATTTTTCAAAAAAAAATATTATTTGTAAGCCCTTGAACTGCTGAAATGGATCAATTTTCGAAAGTTTCTGTAATCTTGATATCACTTTATCTTTCATGAACCTTACAGAATCAAAGCTGACGCTTTCTTTTCTAGCTTTTCTAGCTTTAAAGTAAAGCCTAGAACCCATCCCATCAACAAGATCGATCATTTGTTTGTTTGAGTGAGGAAGGTCAATGATGGGTCGAATGGGGGAATAAGACAGGCATCACTCACAAATAAACAATGTGTCAGAAGTAGAGGAAATGAAGGGAAAGGAAATCAAAAAGAACTTAGCTTGATGATCTTTTGATCGACTCACTGAGATCAAGAATCATTGAAAACACCCCTTTTCTGGAGCGGAATTTAGTTTCAAACAATTTATTGAAATGTTGTCACAAAAGCTTTTTGCTCTGTTGACCTAGCACTGTTAATGCACTTTTTTTTTGCAAATGATTAGTGAAAGAGAAAATCGGGATTAGTGAAAATTAGGGACAAGAGGGAACTCTTCAAACAAGAATCAAAGGATTGAGAAAATTGAAGTGGAAATGGAAAAGATAATGGAAAATTTGACACATAACAAAATCATATTCGATTTCAGGAGGACTATGCCCATTTGCGAACACTTTCTTATCCACAAGCGAACGTTTTTTTGTTATGTTTCTCGATGGTCGATGGGAAAACGCTTGACGCAGCACAGGTGAGCATTTTGATAGCAATAGGCTTACGATTAGACTCATTGTAGAATCAGCTCTGGAAGTTTGGTCAAATTTGGTGCTGGCTTTTCCAGAAGTATCTTTTCTTCTAAACTGTATCCATGTTAATCTTCCAGAATTGATTTTCTACACGTGACTTGGTTTCTAGCCATGCTCTAAACTAGTTCTGACTGGCTTTAGCTGACATTTCATGAATTGATTTAACCGATTCTAAATTCAGGAGCTCTTTTTCTCATTTCATAAACTATTTTAGATAACGTGGATGCCCGAGATTCGAAAGTACACTGGTCAGATGTTACCCGTGTTACCCGTGATCTTGGTCGGCACAAAGGAGGATTTATGGGAGAAAGAGCCCGAAACACAGAGGCTATCACTGGAAAAAGCTGAGAAAATTGCACAAGAGGTTAGAGATTGAATTCTTAACATTTCCTTAAAGTAAAATTTTAGATGGGTTGCATCTCGTTCATCCCGTGCTCAGCACTCACACAACGCGGTTTAAAACGGGTTTGAAAATTTGAATCAATTCTGGATTAAGTTTGCAGTTAAATTTCAAATTTTAGAATTAATTTTACTATTTATGTTTTTGAAGAATTTCAGGTATTTGACGAGGCATTTCTGGCCGGTACAGGAGCTCTAATCAAAAACGAAGCTCCTCCACCGTTGTGTTGCTCGATTTTGTAGTACATTTCTTCTGGTTTCGATTCGATTTCACTTCTGTTCACTGTGATAAAATTGTAAATAGAAAAGAGATTGTTCTATAAACAAAAAAAAAAACACCTTCTATTCGAGCTTTAATAAATGTATTTATTTAAGAGACAGCGATGCGACTTTGCAAGGGAAAATACGAACACGAACAGGCACAAAGTTTATTTTGTACAAGTTTTTGAGTCTGATAGATCTGATAGATCTGGGGCGAGTATGAGATTCTTTGGTATCTAGTCATGGTTTTGGTTGTGTACTGTCTGTTACCGGTTCAATTGCAATACAGTTTAACCCGAGTCTAGTACAAGACTCGGGTTAAACAGCACTAAATGGCGAATCTGACATCAGATCAGAGTTGGTACTGGATTGATTGCTAGTACAAAAAAGACCAGAATAAAGTTTGAACAAAAAGTAAATCCATGGTTAGTAAAAACCAACTTCAGCTTACTAGCTGTACAGAGTTTTGAGATTTTACTGAAGCATTATTTATGATGAGTTTAGTAGGATGAGTATGTTTATCAGCTCTAAAAAAAGCTCTAATACTAGACTTTGAGAGTTCTGATAGAGATTGAGTGTGATATTGGAACAATTACGGGTAACTTTATCCAATATAACTAAGCTATAAGATTCAATAATCGATCAGAAAGCGATGAATTAATTGATGCTTTTTAAAGAATTCAAGAATCGCATGAATGGAATCGAATGGAATCGATTTTTTGGTGATTGTCAAATGGAAAAAGAATTGATGCACTTCATTTTGTATATCGTTTATCGTTTTTCGATAAATCAAAGTTTCATTTTGATTTATCTAAAACTATCCTAGTTCAACTGGAATCGATTTTTTTGTTCTATTTCTAGTTCTATTTAGCTTTGTTTAAGTCATTTTTAAAACTATACTTTGTGCTTAAAATTGTACTGTCTTTCAAGCGCATTGAATCCTTTATTTTCTCAACCAGCAATAAGCAATCCTCCTAATGACACTCTCTAATTAAGGAAAGCTAAAGAAAAGATGAAAAGGGGAAAGAAGAGAAAAGAAAGAAAAAGAAAAGAAAAGAAAAGAAAAGAAAAGAAAAGAAAAGAAAAGAAAAGAAAAGAAAAGAAAAGAAAGGAAAAGAATGCTTTCACTCGTCAATAAGTAAAAGCTTTGTCTTCTTTTTCTTTTCACTTTAATAGAATAAGTAAATTATTTGAGAAAGGAGTCAAAATGGACTCTTTGATGAAGTCTTCTTGAGAAAATTTGCATATATTGGCTAAAAGGGAAAGATAATTGAGTGAGATTGGACTCACAAGTCACAAGATTCACAAGATTCACAAGATTCACAAGATTCACAAGATTTTCATCTACATTATGCTTGCAAATGATAAATACAAATGTTCGCGTAGCTGAATTCTTCATTTTTTTGTCTTCTTTAATCTCTTCTTTAATTAGCAATGAAACTTTGAAAGCTTTTGCCATTTAAATAATTCTTTTTGCTAATTTCAAACTTTTTTTTTCAAAGGTTTCAAACATTTCAGAAGACCTAAAAATAAAAAAAAATAGAATTTTTGGTTTCTTGATCTGAAAAAAATATGATCAAGTTGTCATTTTTTTTTTTAAATTTCTGAATTTCAATGATTTGAAAAGCGAGATTTTTATGTCGTGGCAAATTTGCCAAATTCCCCTTCTTATTATACCTTTCTGGAATCTTCTGTAATGCTTCTGTAATGCTTCTGTAATGCTTCTGTAATGCTTCTGTAATGCTTCTGTAATGCTCCTGTAATGCTTCTGTAAATTTGCCAAATTCCCCTCCTTATATTATACCTTTCTAGAATCGTCTGTAAATGCTTTTAGAATCTTATTATTATTCCAGATTCCCCTTCTTATATTATACCTTTCTGGAATCTTCTGTAATGCTTCTGTAAATTTGCCAAATTCCTATTCTTATATCATACCTTTCTGGAATCTTCCGTAAATGCTTTTAGAATCTTATTATTATGCCAAATTCCCCTTCTTATATTATACCTTTCTGGAATCTTCTGTAAATGCTTCTGTAATGCTTCTGTAAATTTGCCAAATTCCCCTTCTTATATTATACCTTTCTGGAATCTTCTGTAAATGCTTTTAGAATCTTATTATTATGCCAGATTCCCCTTCTGCCAAAATTCCTTCTTATAAAAATATGAACAAGTTTGAAATTTTTCTTCTAATTTTCTAAATTTCAATGATTTGAAAAGCGAGATTTTTATGTCGTGGCAAATTTTTAGCCAAACAAGCTGTGCAAATTTTTAACGAATTTTTCCTGATTCCATCCTAACAACACTGAATGGTTAAAAAGAAATTCTTTAAAAAAAAACATTTTACTTTCAAATTTTTACCACTAAGGAAATGGATTTTAGTTTTAAAAACCTTTTTTTTTGTGTGAAACTTCCCCTTTCGGTTGCCGGGAGCCCATTGATCGTTCATCTCCATTCATTTATGTTTTCCTTTCTTGCCATTAGTTTTGCATAATTCGAATTACAGATATTACATTCTACAATTAGAATAGAAGCTATTTTGTTTAAAATATATTTTTAATAAAAGAATGCATACTGGAAAAGCTTAGAAAATTAGCTCTTACTGGTAAAGCTTACAGAATTTCCTGCTTACTGTAAAGCTTACAGAATTTCCTGCTTACTGTAAAGCTTACAGAATTTCCTGCTTACTGTAAAGCTCACAGAATTTGCTGCTTACTGTAAAGCTTATAGAATTTGCTGCTTACTGTAAAGCTTACAAAATTTCCTGCTTACTGTAAAGCTTAAAAAAATTGGCTGCTTACTGGTAACAAATCTTGATTATTACAAGCAACAAATCTTGATCTGTGTTTACAGTTGACTCTCTCTATAACGGAATCGAATTTTGGTCCCAGCCGACGCTAAGCCAATAAAAGTGCACTCTATATAACGGTAAAAATTTTTGGTTCCTTCCATTCCGTTATAGAGAGAGTCGACTGTACTTTGAACAAAACTAAGTAGACAAAATAAGTCCTAGCACAGCAGTTTCTACTTTAAACAGCTTTTCAAAGAACAAAAATGCTTCAACTCTGTTTCATTAAAAAAAGAAGTACTTCTCGAATCTCATTTCCTTTCCTCAAATCTCATTTCTCATCAAAAGAAAACAAAATCTAGCAATGAATAGTTTTCAAAGTCGAAAATGCATTGAAATTCAGAAGGCAAGGGTTCTTGAATCTATCATTGTTTTCTTTGATTACTCATTTTCTTTTTAGCTTTTCAATTTTCAGAAGGAAGATGAGGAAAACGAGATGAGATTGATTGGTATCTCAGAAGAAAGTCTGCATTTTGTGGCTTAAAAGAAAAGAGAAATCTATTCTCCATCGAAAATGCTGATTTCCCATTCTCGTGTGCGTCGTCTTTTCCCTCTTCTCTATTCTCGATTTTTTCAATTGATCGCCTTCGTCCTCTCCGTTTATTTCTTCTACAATGCGTATCGGAATCACACTGAGAAGGTTTCCTTTGATAAGATTAAAATGAATAAGTAAAATTAGAACAAGCTAGCTCGATTATTATGTTCATTTTAGTTGATCTAGTTCTAGATTCTTGAGCTCTTTACTTTTTATAACTTGTAGCCTCAATCACTTCCACAAGAAGCTCCTCTACTCTAGATTCTTGAGCTCATTACTTTTTATAACTTGTAGCCTCAATCACTTCCACAAGAAGCTCCTCTACTCTAGATTCTTGAGCTCATTACTTTTTATAACTTGTAGCCTCAATCACTTCCACAAGAAGCTCCTCTACTCTAGATTCTTGAGCTCTTTACTTTTTCTAACTTGTAGCCTCAATCACTTCCACAAGAAGCTCCTATTCAAGCGATTTTAAAGGAAAAGGTCAACGTGTGCCGTTGTTTTTGTCTAAAATTAATGCTATAAATTTGTGGTTTTTGAAAATTGTTGTACAACTAACCTGTGTGCTCAAAAATTACTAAAAAACAAGAAATCTCTCCAGGAAAACCCTCAAAGCAAAGGAGATTTTCTTGAAATTAAACCAAGAATTGCAAGAGTTTTCTGAGAAAACGTTTGTTCACCTTTTCAAATCCTATCTTTCAGCAATGGATCGATCCCGAGTGTTTATGCAAAGATCAAGACGGAAATGAGTACGATTTTTGCTATCATTTACCTGAAAACGGGAAAAAAGGGAAACGATTCGCGTGTGATTATGTGAAAGATGTCAAGAGATTAGGTCGGATTTTCGTTTCGTTTCGTTTAACAATTGATTTTTCTTTAACTTTACCTTTTCTCTTAGTCAAAAACTTTCCTTTCTCCAGGATTGCTACCGGATTATCCAACAATCGATTTGACAAAGAGCCACGTTCCTGAACCAATCTTTGTCACCGCATTTTCAGAGAATCATTGGGATGAAGCAAAGAGATTGGTTTGTTGGAAAAATCGATTAGATTAGATTTCAACGAAATTGCACAGATTGCCCTCATTCGTCAACATTGGCGTCAGCAAAAAGTTATTATCTATGATTTGGGGATAACAAGTTCAACAGCCGCAGAAATCAATGGATTTTGTAATGTCGAACTTCGGTGAGTCATTTATCTAGAAATATGGGGTAGACGAATTTCTGCAATTTTTTTTGCGCAACCCGTCATAACTTTCTTCTAACTGGACCAATCTTTATGATTTTGATTTCATTTTCTTGCACTTATTGAGTTCTACAAAATGAAATCAAAATCATAAAGATTGCAGCACTTAGAAGAAAGTTATGGCGATTTGCGCAAAAGATCTAGTTGCGCAAAAAAATTGCGGAAATTAGCCTACCCCAAAAATCTTGATAATCCCGGTAAAAGAATTTGCTCTATTATAGAAAATTCCCATTTGATGTCTATCCTCAATATGTTCGTCAGTTGGCTGAGTATCGCTGGAAACCGATTGTGATCGCGGTAGGGGAAAAGTATAACAAAAAATTAAAGAAATGAATGAAAAGAATTTGAAACCAAGGCAGAATTGAACCCTTGATCTTCTGCTTATCGTGCAGATGCTCTATCACTAACAAGGGAACCTCTTGAATTTACATTTCAAGAGCAATCTGATTCCGAGGTGCAAATGGTTAAAGCCATTCCAAAACTGCTTTCAAATCCTAATTGTCATAAGCCTTCAAAGTTAACAGCTTGCTTTTTGGCCAATTTCGCCAAACAACAAGCTGTTGGGTCAATTATTCAAAAAGTGGAACCTTTTTTGCATAAAACTATTATTTTTTAAGAGATTACTGATCAAAAAAGCTATTTTCGAGTGTTTTTAAAAAAAAACAAAAAGACTGGTCGACAGTGGATCCGAACCAGGGACAAAACAAACCCGAAGTGACAAGCACAAACAAACAAAGCGCTAACGCAACATCCACTAGGCTACCGAGACACATCGACTAGCCTGTGGCAAAACCTTAACTCGCCTAGCTTGCTATTTGGCGAAATTGGCTTAAATTTTGAAGGTTTATGTCTCAAAAGCGGCTTGATAAGTAGGATTTGAAAACAGTTTTTGAGATGCCCTTAACCAAGAGGTGTTGGCACCTCGGAATCTGATCGCTACTGAAATCTAACTTCACGGGGTTCTCTCTTCTAAGCTATTGACGCCTTCTTTGCCCAGACAAGACAATGAAGAAAGAGGAAACAAACAAGAAAACTTTCAGGAAACATTGAAAGAATTCGGCGCCATTTGGTATATGGACAGTTCAATCACATGGAGGAAACAGAATTTATCGCATGTTTACGATGTAAGGAAAAGAACAGAGATTTAATTAGCAAGAAGTTTGATTAAGCTCAAGTCAAGTTCAAGTTCTAAGCCAAAGTTTGACGGTTAGATTTAAACGAATTGATCATTACCGTACTCAAAGACATACTAGAAATAGTAGTTTAAAAATTTCAGTTGTTAAACTGTCGGAGTAAAGTCGGTTTCGAGAAAACCCCATTGCCATCGATTGCAGAGAGGGATTCCCGAGAAAACACAACAATTCACGAGTCGGGATGGACACTCGACGTGTGGGATGACAATTTGAAAGCTTGTAGAAAGGTTTGGCTTGTAGAAATTGAATCGAATGACTAGAATGTACTGAATCGAATGACTAGAAAGATGAATTTCAGTCAGCTTACATGTTCCACGGATGGACTGGTCACGGGATCTATCCAGCTACTTCACATCGTAATTTCCGGGGCTTAATAAAGGATAAAAACAATAAAAAGCAGATCTTTATGAATGGATTCCAACAAATTTTGATGAGATTATAAAGCCAAAAGCGAAAATGTATGAGGCGGGATTTGTGTACGCGGTGAGAACAAAGGACACTGTCGAGAGGATTATGCGATGGTAGTTTTCTTCAATTTCCTTTCCTTTCCTTCTAAATAATGTTATTCAGCAACTTTTCTACCATTAAACCACACCAAGACACGGTCTCACAAGAAATTATAAACATCAAAGCATAAATCTATTGGGTTGGTGAATTGAAAACTGCGGGCTATTGTCATATGTGACAGTTTGAGCACTTTGTTCAAAAGAAACCCATTTTGGTGTGAATGGAAAAGTTGTAGAGAATCAAAAATCAAAGCTTATATCCAAATTTTCAAAACGATTCAAAAACTGGTTTTCAAGAAATGCCAAATTTACGACTTTTCACAAAATTTGCATTTTAAGCGAAACTACTAAGTGTATCTTTTTGGAAATTTGGCTATAAGCCTAATTTTTGATTCTCTACAACTTTTCTATTGACACCAAAATGGGTTTCTTTGAAGAAAGTGCTCAAACGTTCTCCAGGGACATCTCCAGTCTTCCATTTTTGAGTCTCACACTTGTCTCACACACAGTTGGGAAAGGTGAATGGGTCCCTAAAGAAGAATAGGCCCTTCAAGTCAAAGATCGTTCTCATCCACGACAACGCGCGCCCTCATGTTGCAAAACTGACTCGCTCTAAAATAAATAGCCTTGTTTGGGAACTTTTGGCGCATTCCCCATACAGTCCGGACCTCGCCCCTTTTGATTACTATTTATTCCGGGTCATGAGTAATGAGCTTGCGGGAGAACACTTCGATTCGGAAGAAGCAGTCAAAAATTGGCTCCAAAAGTTTTTCGATTCAAAACCAAAATCCTATCACGAAAGAGGAATCCGCAAATTGCCTATAAAATGCGCAGAAGCAGAAGAAATAATAATGGAAATTATTTGGAATGAATTGATGGTTTTATGTTGAATAAATTTTAGTTCAAAGTCCGGCAGTTTTCAATTCATCAACCCAATAAATAATGTTATTCAGCAACTTGTCTGTCTGTTTCTAAGTTTTCGAATTGTCAATGCGTTCAATGAAATTCACTTTTAGGTATGTCTTGTGCGCTTTAGAAGACAATTGTATGGCTCCAAGAGGGATTCCTGGGATCTCTCTTGGTTGTCAATGGGGAGCCTCGAAATTCTCGTGAGTTTAGCAACAATTAAACTAAAACAATTAAACTAAAACAAACAAACAAACAATCAATCAAACAATCAATCAAACAATCAATCAAACAAACAATCAATCAATCAAACAATCAATCAAACAACAAAAAAAACAAACAAACAAACAAACAAATAAACTAAATTAATATAAGATTTTATCTCAAAACTTCTAAATTATTTAAATCTAAACCTAAAACTAAATCCAAAAATCTTAAAATGAAATCTAATAAGACTAAGAAAAATTCAATGCTACTTCAAAACGATTTCCCTTTTTGTATCTAATCGAAACTTTTACAGTGACTACGCGAATTGTCATCGTTACGATCAATCAGTCGCCAATTTATTAGCGGCTAATGGGTTTCATTATGATCGTCATTATTATGTTTCAGAGATTGTTGATTTCTTTAATGTTGTCAGAGGTGCGGGTACTGCTTGGACCCCTGATTGGTCGTGTACCGAAAAAATAGCTAAAGTATTGTGATTAGACTGTTTTCCTGAATTTCTGATACCGTAAATGTTCTAATCACTCCCAGGCATACAGTCGCGTAGTCTAACTTTGAACGTTCCGTTCTCCGAATAAAAGCTCACTGAGCTGATCTTGTGCTTTAAATAGGCACTGGAAATGCATACCGTACTCTAGAACGCTGCACCTATAATGATGGGCGTACAGTCGCGTAGTCTAACTTTGAACGTTCCGTTTTCCGCGCTGCTTTATGCTCCATTTTGCTACAAATTGTTGAATTATAGCTCTTGAAATCTAGTATTTTTTTGGTGTAATTGGGAAAAGTCTAGGGATTAAGAAAAAAATGATAGCGGCTGTATGAGTCTTTACGATATTTTTACTTGTTCAGTCTTTGTGATATCCTATCGTATTTTCCCCTACGGGTTCATTCAAAAAGCTATGTTTTTTTTGAGAGATTTTAAATTCAATAAATGAATAAGAAATAAAAAGCTTTCAAGCTTTCAATGCTGAAATGGATTCGGTGAAAAGCTCACTTAAAGACACAACCAGAAATAGGGCTTTTTTTTTTGTCTCACACGCCACACTTTTTATATGGTCATCTTTGGCTCGAGGGTTAGGCTTGAAAAAATGAATCTATTCTCACGTTCAGTACACAAAATACCCTTTCTGACACACTGAAGTCGTTATCCAGTAAAGTTCTGTTTCTAAATGACAAGCACTGTTACTGTTACTGTTAAAAATCCCGAAAATTCTCAAAAATCATCGTTTTTTCCCCATTAAATTCTTGTCAACTCTTTGAATGATTCATTGTCTGTTTTTATTATTTTTGTGTTTATACAAAGCTTTGTCCTTGATTTTAATTCCCTTTTCGATGATCAATTGTTGTGTATGTGAAAGCAAAAGTGCAAACTGACTAACGAGAGTGGGAAGAGAAGAGAAAAACAAGAGAAGAGAAAAACAAGAGAAGAGGAAAGGAAAAAGAGTATTGCAAAGACAAGTTTTCTAGGCTAGACTCTTGTCTTGCCTCTTTGGCTCTGCCTAGGCTTAGTCCACAAAAATCCTCTGGGACTAGAAGCTAGGCTTGGACCTGGCTTGGCCTACAGGTCTTAGAAAATCCCGATTCAAAAATTCTTACAAGGGAAAGGTGACGAAATCAAGGAAATCAAGGACATCTATCCACCTAGACCAGAATTTTGCGCTGATTCCAAATCTACTGTCCATTTTTGCTAAATAAGTCGAAATCGCAAGGGATTTTGCAAACAAGTTTTTGGCCTCTTTTATAACGCTTGCTTGCGCGCGTCAACGAGTGTAGCGGATAACGGGTCGAAATGCAAAGATTTGGGTCGAGGGTTCGACTCTCTTCAAGTTTTTCTTTTTTGAACAGCTGTTTTATAATGCTTTCCCCCAAAAGTCCAAGCCAGGTCCGGGAATCAGCGCAAAATTCTGGTCTAGGTGGATAGATGGCCTTGATTTCCTTGATTTCGTCACCTTTCCCTTGTAAGAATTTTTGAATCGGGATGTTCTAAGACCTGTAGGCCAAGCCAGGTCCAAGCCTAGCTTCTAGTCCCAGAGGATTTTTGTGGACTAAGCCTAGGCAGAACAGTAGTCCTGCAGCAGATTTGGAATCAGCGCAAAATTGTGCATCGGATGGTTTCATTCGATTGATCATGATTTCGTGACCTTCTCTTGTTAGTATTATCTAAAATAAATAAATTCTCTGCTCTAGATCCTTTAACTGCTCATCGACCTCCAAGAAAAAGAACTGCATCAAAAAAAGTGCACGTGCAATTTTCGAGGAAATATTTCCAAGTAGCAAACAAACAAAAGTGCACAAAAAAAAGGTGAGAAACGGGCGTCTGTTATTCTTTTTCATTTCTATTTTGAAATCGATGAGGATGAAGGGGACTTTTTGTGAACTCTTGTTGAGCTGTAGAGGAGCTTGTTTTTGTTGATGATTTTCGAAGAGGAGTGGGGGGCTGGCCCAGCTCGGCAGGGGGTCAAATAAAGCGCTCCCCTGTTTGCCATTCCTTCACATAAAATCAGCATCAACTTTTTTTTTGCTTTTAGAGTTAATGTTTAAATTCAGAGAAACGTTAGAATTTCGTTTTCTTTATATGATAATGAATTCAATTATTGTTTTAGCTTTACAAGATCGGCAGAGTTTTTAGAAATCTATTGTTGATTTAAATCTATTGTTGACTTAAATCTATTGCTGACTTAAATCTATTGTTGATTTAAATCTATTGTTGATTTAAATCTACTGGCAACTTTTGGCAGTAAAGCTAGGCTGATCTTACGATAAATTGGTTTAAGCCAAGTCAAGCCTTGTTTCTTTGTATTATTTCACTTTTTAAAAGAAACTTTTCAGCTTTAACAATATCATGATGCGAGCTTTTTTCCTTTTGGCATTGATCTCAGTGGCTACAGCGTTGAAATGTTACAAAGACAACAGTGGAGATGAGCATCATTCAGGAAATGTGAGATATCTAGATAATAAAGGCTCAGATGATAAGATACATAAGTTATAGTTATAGCTTTTTAACTCTCAATTCCAGGAACGAGAAGTCTCATGCTCTTGCGGGGATTATTGCATCAAGTACTATGCACAAGTGAATATTATATTATATTATATTATATTATATTATATTATATTAGAAATTTAAATCAAATAGCTAATTATTTTAGAGCTTTATTCTAGATGTTTTCTTGATTTGAAAGCTCTAGAACCTTTTCTGATAGCGGCGGCCGTAGGGGAGCATCGGCGGCCCCATTTTTCGTAAATGTGTCAGAAATATTTGTGTAAATGTTACGTCGGTTTACAAGGCGTAAGAGTTATCGGATAAATGTGTGAAAAACTTCAGAAGTAGTAAGCTATCAATAATCTTGGGCCGCCGTTAATCTCCTTGAAAAAATGGGGGCCACCGATAATCCCTCGGGGCCACCGCTATTAGGAAAGATCCAAGCTCTAGCTCTAGCTCTAGCTCTAGCTCTAGCTCTAGCTCTAGCTCTAGCAGCTAGCTCTAGCTCTAGCTCTGCTCTAGCTCTAACTCTGCTCTAGCTCTAGCTCTAGCAGCTAGCTCTAGCTCTAGCTCTAGCAGCTAGCTCTAGCTCTAGCTCTAGCAGCTAGCTCTAGCTCTAGCTCTGCTCTAGCTCTAACTCTGCTCTAGCTCTAGCTCCAAGTAGATCTATTCTAATTTTGAATTTAATCGAATTGCAGATCTATTTAGAACTACTTTGAAAATCAATTCAGATTTCAAATTTTGCATATCAATGTTTATTAACTTGTCATTCGTACTTTTTCAGGCAGCCAGTGTGAAAGCGGCAACGTGGGATTGCGGATGTGCGACACCGGCCGGGATGAAAGTGAACATGTGCACAGTGAGTGAAAAGAAAAGTTATCAAAGTGGAAAACTTATTGAAAGTTCTAATGGTAAAAGTAATACAAACAGAGTAAGTAACTACAGTTACACTTACAGTTAACTACAGTTACACTTACAGTTAACTACAGTTACACTTACTACAAGTAACTACAGTTACACTTACAGTTAACTACAGCTACACTTACTACAAGTAACTACAGTTACACTTACAGTTAACTACAGTTACACTTACAGTTAACTACAGTTACACTTACTACAAGTAACTACAGTTACACTTACAGTTAACTACAGTTACACTTACATTTAACTACAGTTACACTTACTACAAGTAACTACAGTTACACTTACAGTTAACTACAGTTACACTTACTACAAGTAACTACAGTTACACTTACATTAAGCTCTAAAGCATCCTTTTTTCTCTTTTAAAGAAGCTTTTAGAATTTTAACTTTTTAAAACCGAAAATTTCAATGTTTTGCGTGAAATGATACAATCAAAATCTCTGATAATTTTCTAGAAAGAAGGCAAATCGACGTATGGATCGAATCCCGTGCTTGAAGTGAATTGTTGTTCGGGCGATTTGTGCAATGGTTCCTCAACCGCTAAATTCTCTTTCATTACCGCTTTCGTCTCATTTTTCCTTTACATGATCGCTAAATAGAGAAGATTCTAGAAGATTTCTAGAAGATTCTAGAAGGATTTCACTTTAAAACACAATAAACACTAGCCTCACGTTTTTCTTTTCACTTTGCACTCTTACCGAACACGGGAAATTGACTGAATAAAAAGTCAAAAAAATAAAGTTATTTTCTGATTTTGGAACATAAAATACCCTTTTTCTATTAATTTCTTCTATTTTTTTTATATAAAATCTCCTTCTTTTCTTTGCAAATCTCATCTTTTTTTATAAAATCTTCTTTTCTTTTCTTTTCTTCTTTGCAATTCGATGAGATTTATATAAAGATTTATATAAACAATAAAATCTTACAAGAAAAAAAATGAAATAAAAAAAAATAATAACTGAAAAAAATCAAATAATTTCTATCAATTTCTATCAATTTATCAAATTAGATTGATTTTAATGATTTAATTTCAAGCAACAACTCAATTGGGATGCTTTTTAAAGTTATTTACGGGGGTGGGACAAATGCTAGCTTTTTTTTTGCGCACCTGGACATTTGCGCACCTTTTTTTTTGCTGGAAAAGGCCTTAGGAAAGGTCGTAGAGCTTCAAAAATGTTTTCATAGAAGGGAATCGTATGCGTAGATTCCGAATTTCGACAAATCAGACCTCGCTGACACGTCAAATTTGGGCCAAAAGGCAAAAACTGCGGAAAAGCGTTAAGTTGCGTAGTTTTTGCCTTTTAGCCCAAATTTGACGTGTCAGCGAGGTCGGATTTGTCGAAATTCGGAATCTACGCATACGATTCCCTTGTATAAAAACATTTTTGAAGCTCTACGACCTTTCCTAAGGCCTTTTCCAGCAAAAAAAAAGGTGCGCAAATGTCCAGGTGCGCAAAAAAAGGTCGCATTTGTCCCACCCCCAATTAGATTGATTTTAATGATTTAATTTCAATCAACAATTCAATTGGGATGCTTTTTAAAGTCATTTAGCAAACAAAAGATCTCTATTTCTCATCTGAAGAACACAAGAAACACAAGATAAGCGCACAAAATAGTACGAGTACACGTACACAGTACAGATAAGTGATAAATGAAACATTGACAAATTTCAGAGTGAATTTAAGTTCAAAGCCAAAAAATGATGTTAAAATTTGGGGATTTTCTTGTCAAGGAAAGCATTTATTGAGAAGGAAATGGGAAAAGAAATGGAAAAAAAGAAAGGAAAGAATTGACAAAAAAAACGATCGACAATGTGACCATGAAAAGAAATTAGCGCTTCCCAATGTCTCTTTTCAACTTTTCAACCGCCCAAAATTTCGCCTTTACAATAAAACGATTGATACTTTTCATGAGAATTTCAAATGCAAATTGCTCTCAGCTATAATTTATGGAATTCTCATTTTTTCCACACTGGATATTGTTTTTTGGGTTTCTTTTTTTGAGCGTTGCCCCGGAGCCAGGTTTGATCAGCTTTAAATGTTAATTTTGGAAATCTAAATAAGCCAAAACAATTCTACTTTAAATACAAGTAAAAGCTTTTCTTTAGTCAGCGAATTGACGATAAAAACCGCGTGGCAAGCTGAGGATGCAGGGATAGAGACACGGAATCACACACAATGTATGGCATGGCAAATTTACTGGAAGACACAGGTTGGTAACGATCGGGGAAATATTGGGTTGGTGAATTGAAAACTGCGGGCTATTGTCATATGTGACAGTTTGAGCACTTTGTTCAAAAGAAACCCATTTTGGTGTCAATGGAAAAGTTGTAGAGAATCAAAAATCGAGCTTATATCCAAATTTTCAGAACGATTCAAAAACTGGTTTTCAAGAAATGCCAAATTTACGACTTTTCACAAAACTTGCATTTTAAGCGAAACTACTAAGTGTATCTTTTTGGAAACTTGGCTATAAGCCTAATTTTTGATTCTCTACAACTTTTCCATTCACACCAAAATGGGTTTCTTTTTGAAGGAAGTGCTCAAACTGGGGCATCTCCAGTCCTCCATTTTTGAGTCTCACACTTGTCTCTTGTCTCACACACAGTTGGAAAAGGTGAATGAATCCCTAAAGAAGAATAGGCCCTTCAAGTCAAAGATCGTTCTCATCCACGACAACGCGCGCCCTCATGTTGCAAAACTGACTCGCTCTAAAATAAATAGCCTTGTTTGGGAACTTTTGGCGCATTCCCCATACAGTCCAGACCTCGCCCCTTTTGATTACTATTTATTCCGGGTCATGAGTAATGAGCTTGCGGGAGAACACTTCGATTCGGAAGAAGCAGTCAAAAATTGGCTCGAAAAGTTTTTCGATTCAAAACCAAAATCCTACCACGAAAGAGGAATCCGCAAATTGCCTGTAAAATGGGCAGAAGTCGTCAATAATAATGGAAATTATTTGGAATGAATTCATGGTTTTATGTTGAGTAAATTTTAGTTCAAAGTCCGGCAGTTTTCAATTCACCAACCTAATAGATTTACACTAACGTAAACTGTAGTAATAGATAAAAGTTGACCTACTAGATCTAGACCCATCCAGGGATGTCCCAATCGGCCCCCAGGGCCTATAAGATAGGCCTAGGCATGGCTGAAGTCCGGCAGTTTTCAATTCACCAACCTAATAGATTTATACATTGAAAAGAAAAGAAAAGAAAAGAAATTGAGAATAAAAGTCTGAATGGCAATCGAATCCAAGAAATCGGTGATCTGGTTTTGGCCAAGTTTTGGCCGGTTTTTTTTGAAGCTGCAATGCATTGCAATGCCTTATTCTGGATTTTAGACAAGAAATCACGATCTCTCCACATCAGACATTGAATTGTTAGCACAAAGGCGCCGATCAATTTCAATTTATACATGGCGTGATGCATCGAAATATCAAATTCCCGGGAAACTCCTTGAGCAATACGCGGTAAAGGAGAAGAAAAGACTTTGTTGTACTTTGTGCTCATTGAAAACACACCTCTTTTTAGAGCACACAAGTCTTGAAAAGTCTATTAATAACAAATCTATTAATAAGAAATAGAATAGATTTCCTCTCTAGGCAATCCATCTCAACTGGGACACGATTTGTCGTTTTTACTCACGAATTCACTGGTTCAACTCGACTCAAGAGGCTTTTAGGTGGGTTTTCAAAATGGTTATAATTCTAAAATTCTAACTTTTGATATCTAAAAACATCCCGTATCTAAAAACGAATTTAGATACGAGATAAAAGTCGATCAATTCTGCGAGACTCTTTCAAATGCCAGCAATATGACAGTCGAGTCAACAGACGAAACGCTGAATGGGTTTGTGAAAAGTGAAAATCGAAATTTCAAGAAGTCATATAAATTTTAGTACTTCATTGCAAGATGCTCTTACAAAATTGATGATTAAAGAGACGAGATTCGATGCGGAAACCGAGCAAAATACGACGGTAATTTAGCGAATTTTCTGAGAAAGAGCATTCTTTTTAGTTAGTCTCAAATTTAGTCTCAAATTCTTCTGTTGAATTCGACAAATGATATAGAGCTTCTGCCAAAGAGGTTGGATTTGGGGAGAGGGAAAGAAAGCTAAAGCTTTAAAGCTTTAAGTCATTCCAAGTCCATTTCCAAGTCATCCAGATCACATCCACTTTTCAGTATAAACTTAAATGCTCGTTTGCTTGATGTTCATCAGAGTATCGCTATGAGTATTGGTGGATTGTGCGGCGATGAGGCGCAATTTGAGATGCCTTTCGATCAGGATGAGGGTTAATTTCAAAAAAAAAACAAATAAAAGAACTCAAGAGAATTTCAAGACTTCTTCAACAGCTTGGCTTTTGATGTGAGCGGTTTGGGATGGAACGCGTCACAAGTACGCGAGTTTATGAGAGACGAGGACGGTGGCTTGGATAATATTATGGTTGGTTGGTTGGTGAACTAGTTCACGTCAATATAAAGCCAGGATAAGCTCTATCTAATGCACTTATTTGATGGTAATTCGACCTAAAACCTCTCTCCAGGCTCAATTCGAGAACATCAGCGACGAGCGGCCATTCCCATCCACGCAAATCATCCCGTGGCTGAAGAAAGTGAAATATGATCAGAGGTTAGGATTGGATAATTGAGTATTTTTAAAAAATAGACTTTATTTTACGAATAATGTAGTATAAACAAATATTTGACGAATAATGTAGTACGAATAATGAAGTCAATATACAATAGTCAATATACAGGCTTAGTCAAAACCTAGAAAAGAAAAAAAGACAAGAATCCAGCCGGCGGGATCGAACCCTTGACCTCGCCACTAGCCATCTCGACCTGCCGACAGGGCTCTTAGCCACTCGGCTACGCCGACATGGTCGCGGGAAAAAACTATTCGATTTAGAACCCCTCCCTCAATGTTACCTGGTCATCTCGTGAAAGTGAAAATCGGTCTTTTTGTGCAATCGTTGTCGAATTTTGAGTTGACGACAATGGTTTGGTTTAAAATGCTTAAAATCTAAATCAAAGAAAGTTCTAGGATTACGATATGGATGTATGGTTGCGGATGGCGTGGAGGGATATCCGAATGGCGCACGGGTTATCGAAACCGATTCTCATCAATGAGTTCACCTCGTTACGGTGAGAGAGAGAAGAATTCTGGCTGATCTAGCTAGAGGGATCATAGTTTTTATAGGGCTTTGTATCAAGAATGATTCGATTTTCTAAAAAGAAAAGGTTTTCCAGAAGAATTTGGCGTCCTGATCCGTTTATCACAAATGCGAAAGACGCAAAATTTCACCCAGTTACTTATCTCAATTTCTACATGTTCATCTTTCCAAATGGAGAGATATTCATGGAGATTCGGACAATGTTAAAAGTAAAAGAAATAGATGGAAAAAAATTTGATTTAAAACTCTTTAGAACAGTTGCCAGCTAGTCTTTTGCAAGTATCCACACGATGAGCAACGATGCGGTGTTAGGATTAGCTCAAGTAAGGGTTTTAAAGCTAGATAAAGCTAGATAAAGCTAGATAGAGCTAGATAAAGCTAGATAGAGCTAGATAAAGCTAGATAGAGCTAGATAGAGCTAGATAAAGCTAGATAAAGCTAAACAAAGCTAGATAGAGCTAGATAGAGCTAGATAAAGCTAGATAGAGCTAGATAAAGCTAGATAGATCTAGATAGATCTAGATAGATCTAGATAGAGCTAGATAAAGCTAGATAAAGCTAGACAAAGCTAGATAGAGCTAGATAGAGCTAGATAGAGCTAGAAATTCAACGAAAGACTATAGACTACAGTATTTTTTTTAAAATCCCTCTTTAGTCGGTTTTACGCACGATATCGTGCGTTTTGAGTGGTTCTCACGGAAATGGGATGCGATTCGGATGAAGGTTCGATAATTTACAAAGAAATATCCCAGAAATCTCCGTCTTCACTTTTAGTTATTTATATTAATAATAATATTTATGTTAATAATAATTTGTTAATTTATATTAATAATAATAATATTTTATATTATTATTATTTTGTAGACGGACTTGCAATTGCCTGAACTCTTCTTGCTTGATCACGTAGCACGGAATTGTGATGGTCGACGAAAATCGGGTTTTTGGTTTTCTATTAAAAGAAATTTCGATCAAAACTTCTAGGCAACTATTCTTGCATTGAGGCAAGCTTTCAAATGAAACGAGATATTGGGTTGGTGAAAGGGATTTCTCATCTCATTTCAAGAATAATTTTTCTTTCAGCTATCACTTAGCTCAAACCTATGTGCCGACATCAATTTGCGTGGTGTTTAGTTGGGTGGGCGCTTGGTTGCCCGAGGAGTTTGTTGAGGGTAAAGCTCATTGTTTGTAGTTGATTGTTTGCAGTTGATTGTTTGCAGTTGATTGTTTGTAGTTGATTGTTTATAGTTTATTGTTTGTAGTTGATTGTTTGCAGTTGATTGTTTGTAGTTGATTGTTTATAGTTGATTGTTTATAGTTGATTGTTTATAGTTGATTGTTTATAGTTGATTGTTTATAGTTGATTGTTTATAGTTGATTGTTTATAGTTGATTGTTTATAGTTGATTGTTAAATAGTTATTACTGTTGTAAACTTGTTAAATTTATGTCCATTGAATTCCAGGTCGAATCCTCGTCTCGTTGACGGTATTTTTAACGTTAAGTGCCGAGAACAACGCGGCGAAAGAGGCTCTACCGAAGGTTTCCTATGTGAAAGTGAGTTAAATTTTAAAAGTTAAGTAAAATAGCATTGCAGGCAATTGATTTGTGGTTTGGTTTCACGTCGACTTTCGTTTTCGCCACGATGATCCAAGCGTTGATCATCATTTCTCTCGAAAATGAAAGCAAAAAAGATTGTGAGTTCTTCGAAATACAGTTTTCAATAGCTATATAGATATTAAAATCTATTTGTAATGATTTTTCTAGAAAAAGAAAGCTCTAGCAAATGAGGAAGCTTATGGAAAGTACATGTTGGCGAAGATGCTCGTGAAAAGTCATCGATTTCACAAGATTGCTCGGGATTTTGACAGTTTTTGCAAGGTGTGAGAAAGATAAAAAAAAAGTGATCAATTACTTAGTTATGCTAAGGTTATTTCAGAAATTCTATAACCTTACAGCCTAGAAATTTGAGCCAAATACCGTATTTTCTCTAATAGTAGTGCACCCTGAGCCTTGCCTAAATTCCTCGAAATCTCGAAAAGCGCTTATCAGAACCTATCGATGTGGAGTCTCGGAAAATGTAGCTGACGATGAGATCTTGTGGGGGATTAGAGTGTTGGACTTCTGGGAAAACTTGGAAACTGTAAAATAGGAATCAACTCGGCTTACCGGGAAATATTAGGAAATAGATCAGTCTGATCTACTAGTCTAACCTGGAATAATATACCGTATTTTCTCTAATAGTAGTGCATCCTAATCGTCGCCTAAATTCCTTGAAATCTCGAGAACCGCTTATCAGAACCTATCGATGTGGGGTCGGAAAATGTAGCTGACGATGAGATCTAGTGGGGGATTAGAGTGTTGAGCTTCTGCGAAAACTTGGAAACCGTAAAATAGGCATCAACTCGGCTTACCGGGGTGCACTACTATTCCAGAAAATACGGTAAGTCAAGTCGGTGACAAGATTCATGCCTAATCTACTGGCCTTTTACTTTTTTGGGTTGATTTGACTTTGGTTGAGACTCAGGAATTAAAGCTTTTACAATTTATTTATAGGTTTATTTATAGACTATGATTGAACTTTTGCTCAATGTCTTAACGTTACAGATTTGTCATTTAGGTGATGTACCCGGTGACATTCATCCTTTTCTTGATGATCTATCGTTTCGTGATCATCGAGGGTGAAGAAGTGAAATGTTTGCGAGAGGATCAAGCTTAAAATTTTCTGAATCGAGCTTTAAGAACAATTTGGAACTAGCTTTACAGAGAGAAAGAGAGGAAATAAAAAAAAATAGAAAGTTTTATGAAAACAAACACTGAAAGAAAAAGAGAAAAGTTGTAGAAAATGTAGAAGAAAAAAAAAGCGCTTGATGTTTCATTTTTTTAAAGTCTATTTATTCGACACGAATAATGAAAGGCAAAACAACGGAATGCCAACACAACGGAATGTCAACCCAACGGAATGTCAAAACAACGGAATGTCAACACAACGGAATGTCAACCCAACGGAATGTCAACACAACACAAATTTTTACCCCTAATTACCCCTATTGCCGAAATGTTGTTAAGAAAAAACACTGAAATCGAAATTGCGAGAAGAGCTATTTAATTCCAAAGTCGGGCTATGGTTTTACATCAGAAAAATTTGGACGACGATTGGACCTGGAATTCTTGATGAATTAATTAGATCGATGCCTACTCGTATTAAAGAAGTACTTTTGGCAAGAGGAAGGCCGAGAAAATATTGATTATAGCTTAATTTCGTCTTGTGTTAAAAGACTTTTGCACCACGATTTTCAGGGGTGTTTTGACAATTATATTTTTTTTCTCGATGAATATGTTTTGTATAGCGACAGCGTTTGTGTAAATAAATTGTACATATATTTGTGTAACTAAAACTATTGACAGCTTAAAGAGCGCTATGAACTTTATCAGAGAAAATCGATGTAACTTTTTAGAAAATTGAGTGTTAAAAGACTTTTGCACATGACTGTTTGCTTTATTCATAGGGGCGAATAGAAGCGAATCAGATAATCAGAATTTCAAATTTTCAAAGCGAATCAGGTAATCATAACCACATATAACATATTGCTAAAATACTTTAAGATTTACTTTTTTTTTAAAATTCCATAATACGACCTCAATTCATTCTCGTGTTTCTCGTTTTCACACCTTTAAAATCCTTTTCTTGCATTAGAAATAAATATATTTGAAAAATAAAAGCTATATTTATCTATTAGGTTGATGCATAAGTGTTTTTGTTCCTTTTCGTCTGCCGTTTCAAGCCAACAAATGCACGAATTAAACTACGGTTGATTTCATTAGAAAAAGCAATTATTTTTCTGCAAAATAACATTAAAACGGGTTTAAAAATATTTAATGCCTGGATTTTCTTGAGAGTATGAAGTCGGGTAGTCAAAAAGGGCTAACTCGATGATGCGGTTTAGACACCTTAGCTAAAGAAAACCTATCTTCGTGTCAATAGATAAAAGATAGAGAGAAAAAACGTTTGATATTTCGCCAAAATTTCAGAGAAATTCATTCAGCCAATTTTTCCGTAGAGTTTTTTATAGATTTTTACGAAAAAGGCGTTTTTCACTCTCGAATTTGCTTGAAAGTGAACCGAAATTCATCTAAAAAGATGCAAATTGAACAAAAAAACACTTTTTTTTATAGAGCAAACTATAGATTAATTCGTGAATTTGTTACTTTCCCAACTAGAAGCCGTCTTCTTAGATTTTGCAAAAGCTTTTGATTCTGTTCCCATTGATCTTCTAATTCACAAACTGCATGCTTACCGGCTCAGTCCACTTGTAATTTCGGTCGTCAAAAATTTTCTTTCTCAGCGGACTTTCAAAGTAATTCTAAATAATGTCCTTTCTCCCTCTTTTGATTGTCCTAGCGGGGTTCCTCAGGGTAGTATTCTTGGTCCTCTTTTGTTTACTATCTATATTAATGACCTGCCTAACTGTCCTTTCAAATCAAAAAGTTCCTCCATCTGGCTCTATGCCGATGATGTTAAGCTTACGTTCAAAATTCCCATCGGAACTCAAGTAGCTTCGCTTGCGGCTGTAAAAGATGCAAACCATGACTTAGAACTTATTAATTTGTGGGCCAAAACGTGGAAGCTTTCCCTATCCCCTTCAAAATCTCAACATTTTTCCACTGGTAAATTTAGTTTCTCTTTGGTAATTAACAATATTCCTATCAATTACATTAGTAAATTAGATTTTGTTAGAGATTTAGGTGTCCACATCTCTCCCCCTTTTAATTTCACTAAACATATTGAAATCATTTGTCGAAAAGCTTCTTTTGTTTCTAGCCGTATTCTCAAATCAATTGTTCATCCTAACCTAAACTCTTACCGCAAATGCTTGACGACTTATATCCGGCCCATCTTAGAATATGCTTCTATTGTTTGGTCTCCCCCGCGCACAAGTCTTTATTGAACGCTTGGAGAAAATTCAGAGGAGGTTCACAAAAGTCGCTTTATGGAAAATTGACTATTCTAAATATTCTAGCTTTACTTATGAGGAGAGACTTGCTTTTTTTGAACTAAAAACTTTACAGCATCGTCGCTTTGTCATTGATTTAGTCGAAACTTTCAAAATCCTCCGTTGTAAACAGATTAGCCCTTTGTTTATAGACTTTTTCAAATTTAAACCGCGGTCAGGGCCCAGAAGTGGCTCATTCCTTTTGCAAATTCCCTTTGCTTCCAATGCCTCTTCATCAAATTCATTTCCCGTTAGAGCCGCTAGATTATGGAACTTGCTCCCAAACGACATACGAGAAATTCAGTCGCTTTTCATATTCAAGAAACGTATCGATGCTTTAGATCTAGTGGCTCTTTGCCGTAAGTAATTGGCTTATTGATTTCAGTATGTATTGTATGATTAAGTATCACTGTGCATTTCTCTATGATTTCTTTCACTTTATCGTTTGAATAAAGTATTATTATTTCTAACAGAAGTACGAAAAAAACGAAAAGACTTATGCATCAACCTATTATATTCATTTATCAAATTGAAATCTTGATATAATCAAAAAAAGAAAGAATTAAAATGATTGAAATGATTGAGAAGGAATTGAAAAGCAATCTTGAGCCGGTTTTAAATGACTTTTTTTTGTTTGATATTCTTTTTATTGTTTGTTTGACCCCACAAATCCGGTTTTAAATGATCGTGTGAAATGGTGAAAAGCTTTTGAGAAAATCAAACAAAAAAAGAATTATCAAGAATGTTCTCAATATTATTTCTTATTCTTTTTAAAGATGGTAATGTTTTTTTTTGTTTTGTTTTTAAAATTCACTATTTTTATAGTAGTTTGTGATTCGGATCCAATGCATATGATTGACATGAATTGGTGGGAGAAATTTCAACCGTCAACCTATTTCCTCAATAATAAAGGTTAGTTTTTTTTTTTATTTTTAATGATTAAAGTTGATTTGAAGCAACACAAATAATAGTCTAGAAGTCTAGAAGTGTAAATGCTTGTGTTAGTGTTAATGGTAATCAAAATTGTACTTTCTTTTCATTTCTTTTCCTTCTTCTCTTTTCTTTTCTTTTCTTCTCTTTCATTTGAACAAATCAGACTTATTTCTCTGGTTTTTCTTGATTTTAAGCAACACAAATAATAGTCTAGAAGTCTAGAAGTGTAAATGCTTGTGTTAGTGTTAATGTTAATCAAAACCGTACTTTCTTCTACTTTTCTTTTCTTTTTGTTTTCATTTGAACAAATCAGACTTATTTCTTTGGTTTTCTTGATTTGAAGCAACACAAATAATAGTCTAGAAGTCTATAAGTGTAAATGCTTGTATTAGTGTTAATGTTAATCAAAATTGTACTTTCTTTACTTTTCTTTTCCCTTCTTCTCTTTTCTTTTCTTTTCTTCTCTTTCATTTGAACAAATCAGACTTATTTCTCTGTTTTTCTTTCAAGAATCTGACTTCAAAAATGTTAAAAATTTAATATTTTTATAAAAATCCTTAAAACCAATCATAATACGGTAAATGACAAATGTAATTATGAGTGGGAATCGAGAGAATAGCAGCAATGAGAATGCCGACAGTGTCTGCTGCAGTCACAATTAAAAGAGCGAATTCTTTCACTGATGTTGAAACCTAAAAAAAGAAAGGAAATTCGTTTTGATTTTGCTTAAAAATTCAAAAACTCAAATTTTTACTATCCATTTAAAAGGTTTATAATTGTTTCTCTATTTTAGACTCACATTTTTGTGAACATGTCGAACAGTGTTCGCGTAGGCGGATCCACCGACGAGTCCCTCTAATAGAATGATTCCATAGACAACGAGAATGTGTGGAAGGTATGGGGAAAGGGACTCGAGCAGAAGTGAGCTCATGATTGACATCTGAATAGGGATTTTGATTTGGGGAAATTTGATTTATGAGTTTGATTGTAAAGATAGAATTCTGAAAAGAGCAAGAAAAGAGCAAGAAAAGATTAAGCAAAGATTATAGCAAAGATCTTATTTGCGAGATCGGCAAAGCGACAAAGATCTTATTTGCGAGATCGGCAAAGCGACAAAGATCTTACTTGCGAGATCGGCAAAACGGCAACGATCACCCAGAAAGGCAACGAGATTAAGCCGACCATCGATCGGGAAATGAAAACCCCAATCTGGTAGAGAACCTAGAAATTGAAAACTAATCTCTCAAACAACAATGAAACAGTAATCTTTAATCGAAAACCCACTTGATACCACTTATACTGTGAGTCAGGCGAAGAATGCAATCCCTGAGTGCAATCAAAGATGATTAATTCAGCCTAGAAATGGTGATGTTTGGGCTGGATGAATTTCCAATTCTCACCAATCCTTGATTGATGAAATATTGCGCAAAGTAGACCGTTCCCAACGGGATCATGTATTTCAATAAGCCCTGGAAAGAGTCTAGCTTAAGTTCGCAATCATTTCTACCATTGAGACGCTCAATTTCTCGCGAACACTTGTTGGTCCATTTGATTGTTGACTGTCGGTGGAGGCGGCTAGAAAAGAAATTGATTCCGCGTAGTTTTCTATTGTAGTTGGACTTGATTTTCAGTGGGATTTGCTTTAAAAGTGACTACGATAGCTTTAAAAGTGACCACGATAGTTTAAAAGTGGCTACGATAGCTTTAAAAGTGGCCACGATAGCTTTAAAGTGATTACGGTAGTTCGACTATTAGTTTTTTTTCAGTGATTGCTTGTTGCAAGATCTTCCCACCATTGTCTATTTGTCCATTTTCGATAATTTTCACTTTCCACTCGATCCAAGTTGATGGTCGGTGGAAAACGGTTTTCTTAACGGTCGGTGCTCGGGCCAATAAAAGGCAATAGCTGAAATTGAACAGAAATTGTGTTGAGCTGATTGTTTTTATCGATTAACACCAGAAAAACGACAACTTCGGGTTACGCGAATCACTTACGTGACTGCAAAAACAGTTGGCCCGACTAGCATTAAAAGGAGAGCGGTTCGTGGAGTAAGCGCGAGCATTCGCGGATCGGTCATCGCTAAATTCTCAGGACTCAACGAGTGAAAAGCTAACGATTAAAAACGCCAGAAAGAAAGGGTGTTTTTCAATTCTTTTCAATTCTCAAACGCATCCAAACAAATCGCCTACCTGCATACAGTGCAGCTCCCAGAATGCCGGCCATTCCCGTCCCAGAGGACCACGAGGTCAACACATTTCTATAGGAAAGATGAGATTTTAAAAACGGAAATTTACGCTGAATAGTGTGCCGCTAGCGCTAAATACATGATCTCACCAAAGCCACAACCAACCGACGCCATTGCCACTCCTAAGAATTGAAATTGTTTTGAAAAACGATAAAAAAAAAGAAAGAATAAAAAAACCAGTTAAAGCCATCGGCACATTTGTAGCAAAAGCGGTTATCAACAAGGAAAACACTTGAAAAACGATCACAATTGTGCTTCTTGTTCTAAAGTTGAGTTTACCAGTAGTTTAGTATCTTGTGTTTTTTTATAAAATGATTTAGCTCTTCGTATTGTAAGTGTTGAAATAGTTACCGTAAATACTGTAATAGTACCGCACCCCCATAATGACGGTGCGGAGTGTTGCGTAGTCTGGCTTTGAACGGGGTTTTCTCGACACTGGTTTATGCTACAATGCGCGCTTAGGTATCAAAAAATAGCCCTGAATTTCAGCTATTTTTTGATACCAAAGACACATTTTTTTGAAAGTACGGGCGCTTTGAAAAAAATGAAATACTAAAAAAACTTTTGCGACTACGCGACTGTACGAGGGGGTGGGGTATTATTACAGTATTTACGGCAAGTCTTTTGATCATTTATAAAAAGCTTTGACTCACTCACCCATATGGCAAATAATGAATGAAAAAAGGAGCAAAAAATTTGATAAAGAACATTGGCAAAATGTTCATCATTAGAACAAGACCGGCTGATTGTTCCGTGCATACTCGCTGTGACATATCGGGCTGAATAGTTATAGAAATGTAAACGAGAATCAATTTTCTCTAGTTGACTTTGTTGTTGTTCTAGTTGGCTGTTGAAAGTTGAATGGTTGTTTAAAGTAAAGTCAACAAGTAGTTAGAGCTAGAGCACATCAAAAAAATTTGTCGCCGGGACCCGAACCCGGGACCTCTCGCTCATCGGCCAACTGTGCTAACCACTACACCACAGAGCCCTTGACCGCCCTCTCTCCAGAGGGAGTTAAGTGAGTAGATATGTATTCAAAATGAGACTATTGTTTGCATAAATTTGTATGCAAATATGCAATTTTTTTAAAACCAAATCTTTAGCCCGCCCACCCTAACTCCGTTGCGTGGGAAATAAATACTGCCCCACCCAGCCGAACTAACGTTCCCGGCTGCATAAAATCCCTTTATCAACTATAAAACAAACAAACAAACCATGCAAATTTCCTCCTTTTTTGTTAAATTCCCATTTTTGCTCTCATCAACTCGTAGAATATCTTGTGCAGCGCTCAGCATAACCACATAACCAAAGTTATTGCAAATGCCGAAAATCCTCAAATAAATCGTCTTCTTTTCAATTGATTGTTTAATCGTTTACCAAAAAGCGATCAAACTCCTTCCGACATAATATTTGTTTGGAGGTTTCTCGAATATAACCTCCTCAGACTTCTCAGACATTCTAAAAAAGTTTTCGCTATAGCAAAAGTCAAGGAAAACTAAAAATGAATTGAATATCTTTCAAGTAGCTAATTACCGTAAATACTGTAATAATACCCCACCCCCCTCGTACAGTCGCGTAGTCGCAAAAGTTTTTTAGTATTTCATTTTTTTTCAAAGCGCCCGTACTTTCAAAAAATGCGTCTTTGGTATCAAAAAATAGCTGAAATTCAGGGCTATTTTTTGATACCTAAGCGCGCCATGTAGCATAAACCAGTGTCGAGAAAAACTCGTTCAAAGCTAGACTACTCAACACTCCGCACCGTCATTATGGGGTTGGGGCACTATTACAGTATTTACGGTAGTTAGCTAATTAGCTCAAAGCTTAAAGTCTCAATTATTCGAAGAATTCAGGAATTATTCAAATCTGAAGCACAATAGAAATAAATTATTTCGAAATTAACAGATTTTTTTTTCATCCAATCGACTACAAAAACGTGAAAAAACGGTTGAAGAAAAAAAAAGAAACGAAATTGATAATGATAATGATATGGACAAACGAATCATTTGCTAAAAAAGATAAAACGAAAGATAAATCTTGGTGATTTTGTGATCAAGCGATCACTCTAAGAAAAAAAAAAGAGTAGTGACCTATTAAATCAAAGGAAAAAAACGGATTTTGATCAAGGACAGATAAATGGGACGATCTGAGAAATAGGGGAATCGAGAATGAAATCATCGAATGATGGGAAAGCTTCGAGAAAGAGATATTTGGAGGATCGTGGTTCGTTGTGTCTGTTCAAAAAATCGAACTAGATAAACAAATCCCTTGAACTTCTTCAGAAGAGACTAAAGAGGTTACGGTAGTTATTAAAAGGTTAACATCAACTAATTGGGCTTGTTACGGTAACTTGTACACGCTTTAGAGTAGCTGGTTACGATAGCATACACAACTAAAAGGGTTTATGAATGGTTTATGAACGGTTTATGAATGGTTTATGAATGGTTTATGAATGGTTTATGAACAGTTTATGAATGGTTTATGAACGGTTTATGAATGGTTAACTAAAAGGGTTTATAAATTGAAAGAGGTTGAATATCAGTGGTTAAATAAATTAGGTTAAATGGAAAGAGTTCTAAAATGACACGAGCTTATCAAAGATCAAGGGAAAAGAAAGAAAGGAAATGCTAGCCGCGAAAAGAGAAATGCTATAAATGACGCTGGTTGAGACAAGCATCGCGTAATTGATTTCTAAAGATCATCCATCCAAACAATTGAATGTTTTGCCGTTAGCAGATGACAGATCTTGATTTCAATTGATCAATTTATGAGTTTGAAATCCGTTTTTATTTGTCTACTTTAAATTGGATATATAAATTGGGGGGTAGGCTAGTTTGCGCAACTGGGTCATTTGCGCAACTCGCCATAACTTTTTTCTAAGTAGATCAATCTTTATGATTTTGGTTTCATTTTGTAGATCTCAATAAATGCAACAAAATGAAACCAAAATCATAAAGATGGCTCAACTTAGAAGAAAGTTATGGCTAGTTGCGCAAATAAAATTGCCGAAATTAGCCTATCCCTTATTTTACAACCACTTTATAACTTTATGACAAGATCAAATAGTTACCAGTAGATAGTAACTTATTGAGATCTACAAAATGAAACCAAAATCATAAAGATTGTTTCACTTAAAAGGAAGTTATGGCGAGTTGCACAAATGACCCTGTTGCGCAACAAAAAAAAAGTTGCGGAAACTAGCCTACCCCCCAATTTATATATCAAAGTAGAAAAACAAAAAAGGATTTCAAACTCTCTTTTTATTTGCCTTTTGATGATTGCTCCCTTCTCGCTTTTTGCATATTTTTTTCTTTAAAAAGTTCATTCACCATTGATATGATTGAGAAAATGAAAAAGAAATGTGAAAAAAAAAAAGAAAAGAAGAAGAGAAAAAGAGAAGAAAACACGACGGAAAACAATAAGAAAACAATAATATTTTCAAATGGTTGATGATGCAAGATTCGTGCAAGATTCGAGAGAACTTTTAAGCACAAGGCTTTTATGTGTTAAATATAGGAAAAGTGTAAGATAAGTTTACTAAAAATCACTTAAATCTAATCTAAATCTAAAGATAATCGGCTTTTAAATGATATTCATATATTAGCCGTCGTAGCCGTTGACGAAATTCAGCTGCTAACGAATCATTCGTTAACGGGTAGCCGTTAACGATTTTCGATTTGAGCTAAGCTAGATAAGCTGATTTGCGTCTTGCATAAATAGTTTGAAATTAAAAACTTATTTGAATCGAGCCATTTTCGCAGAAGACGATTACAAATTGTACACGGTTAGCGAAAAAATTGTTATCGACTAGCCGTTAACGAATGATTTGTAAACGGCTAGTCGATAACGAATCATTCGTAATCGACTAGCCGTTTGCAAATCATTCGTTAACGGCTAGCCGTTTACAAATCATTCGTTAACGGCTAGTCGATAACAATTTTTTCGCTAACCGTGTACAATTTGTAATCGTCTTCTGCGAATGAATGATTCGTTAGCGGCTAGCCGTTTACAAATCATTCCTTATCGACTAGCCGTTTACAAATCATTCGTTAACGACTGGGGAAAGCTTCGAGAAAGAGATATTTGGAGAATCGTGGTTCGTTGTGTCTGTTCAAAAAACCGAACTAGATAAACAAATCCATTGGACTTCTTCAGAAGAGGCCAAAGAAGTTACGGTAATTTCGTAAACGGCTACGACATATAGACTCGCCATAACTTTTTTCTGTAAGATTGCTGATCAATGACTCTTTCATTCATTTGCCAAACAAGAACTTGATCTAATTTAAGATTTTTGAGAGATTTTGATGGCATAAACAAAAACAATCAATAAAATGATGAGGAATTTGAAGGAAAAGAAACTTTTCAACTTTTCAAAATTTACAAGAAAGAATTTCATTAGAAGAAGTGAAAAGAAGAATTTATAAGCTTTTTTTAATAAAACAAAAGAAAAATCTTTAGTCGATTCAAACGGGGAATCAATTGTGACAAAAGAAAACACTGGTTTTTGGAATAAATTGTCCAACCTCAAAATTGGTGGACAATACAGGGTGGCTGAAAATTACGTGCGCCAAAGAAAACGCCATAATTTAATTTTCTTTCAAAGAAAATGTAAAAATATTTATTTATATAATAGTTGTAACAAAAGCATTTAATAATCACAAGAAATTTTCGAAGTGGCCTTCATCCGCTTTGATACAGGCTTCAATTCGCTTCTTTACAGAATCGACGGTGCGGCGGAGATAATTTGCATCTAAGTCGTTCCAGATTTTGATCAATTCTCGACGTAAATCATATACATCATATCGGAAAAGCTTATGAGAAAAATGATATTATGTTTATAGCGAGTAAAAACTCGCAGAATTTGGCGAGCAAACATAAGATGAATTTATAAGCTTTTTTTTAATAAAACAAAAGAAAAATCTTTAGTCGATTCAAACGGGGAATCAATTGTGACGAAAGAAAACAATTATGGTTATTCTGATCAAGCGATGAAAGATTTAGATGAGGTAATTCGATAAGATTAAGGCTAAATTTTATCATATAATCTTTGGAGGTGGGCTCAATGGTCGGTGGTGGTGGATCGGAGCTGCTCGGCATCCTCCGTCCCTACTATTCAATGATGGAAATGTCAGCGAATGGAAATAAACAAGTAATAAACTTAAAAAAAAGCTGATTTTAGATAAAACTAAGAAAAACTAGGGTCTCGGCTCATATTTTCACGTGTTGCCTGATGAGGAAGAGGGTGATCGGCCAATCTATTCTCTTGGCGCTTCATTTTATGGTGGACTCGAGCCAGCTGGTGTTAAAGTCGGCCATTTGAATCGTCCCTTCGGATAATCAAATTTAAATATTCAAATAAATTTATTTCCTTATGCAATTCAATAATACAAGTATCGACTTCGCATAGCAAAAGTGCTTTTTAACGAAAAGCCGAAATGAAGAGCTGACAAAATCACTAGAGAACCAATCTATTCTCTTGGCGCGTCATTTTATGGTGAACTCGAGCCAGCGGGTGTTAAAGTCGACCATTTGGTGTTAAAGTCGGCCATAAAGGTGTTAAAGTCGGTCATTTGAATCGACCCTTCGGATAATCAAATTTAAATATTCAAATAAATTTATTTCCTTATGCAATTCAATAATACAAGTATCGACTTCGCATAGCAAAAGTGCTCTTCAACGAAAAGCCGAAATGAAGAGCTGACAAAATCACTAGAGAACCATAGGAGATCATCTAAAAGAGAAAAAATATTAGCAAGACAAAAAAATCAAAGTTAGAGTTTGTTAGAGTTGGTTAGTTTTTCATTTGTTACCTGTAAAACAAGAATCTCTCTTTCGGTTTCATGAGGTTGCCATTCGATGTAGGGAATCGAGAAATGAATCCACCGATAGCAGTGGTGTTCCCGATTCGGCAACCAGTGACAATGATAGGTGAGTGGTGGGGAAGAGGCGATTAATCTGAAAAGTTTGTAGAAAACTTAGGAAAGTTTCGCATTTCGAGCACCTGGTTGTCCAACAGAAAATCCCGAAAATGATCGTGGCAAACAGGAGAACGGCCAGCGCCGAGCCGACGAGATTTATCGTTCTCGAGATCGGCCCGTGACATCGGTGTTTCCATGTGATTGCGCCTACAATGGTTCAAGGATTATACTGATTATTATATTGGTTCTAATCTTTTAGAACAATCTTCTTAACAATCTTCTTCTGTTTTTCTGAAAAACGAATGTCTTTTTGACTAGCAATGAATAAAAACGAACAACTTTGATAGTCAACAAACGACTTTGGCAACCGTTCTTTGTCTTTTGATCATTTTAATCAAATCAAAATCAAAATCAAATGTCTTTTGATGATTTTGATGAAAAATTGATAAACCAACCTTGTAAAATACCAAATAACCCGCTGAATATCGGTAGAAAAAGAAAGAAAAACGTGCAGCAATAGTGCCAGTGAATGAAACCGACAAAGAAAGTCACCGCTCCGACGACACATTGATAATGATAGGAGTAAAGACGGAGTCTGGAAAGAAAGTTGTCTATTGTCTAAAGGAATCTATCATTCGATAGATTTCATGAAACAAAGACTTGCTTCGTTTCTCGAGCACTGTAAACCATCAACGCCGTGCAGCAGAAGAGTTGCACGGCGGAGAGAAGCGTGAGAGCGATCGAGACACCGAATTTCAACCTTTCTCGCTCCTCGTTCCAACCAATCTAAATCGAATTTTTGCTTGAAATGACAGCTTTTCAGCTTTTCAGCTTTTTCCTTGTAAGCAATTGAATGTAACTGCCTTTTATAGCTATAGCTAATAACTTATCAGCTATCAAGCTAATCAGAATGAAAATCAGACTTACATATTCTAAGAGATACGTTTGCACACCATCGAGAAACAGTCGACAACTCGTGACCACATACGCAGTTCGATATTTCATCCCATGGCAAACGCTTTGTGAAGTCTCTTCTACTTCTAGAATTTTTGTTATTAGACTAAATTTGATCACAAACTTGTTAAATCACTCAGACAATACGTTTCGACGATTGACGTCGAGAAAAAGGCGAAAGACACGAGAGAACACGTGAGTTGAAGAGAGAAATCGCATCTAGAAATTCTAGAAATTGAGGACTTTGAAGTTAGTAGTTTGCTGAAGAGGGTTTTTTTTTTGTTTTGTTTTATAATAAGTTCAAAGGGTTTTAGACCGATTCGGGTAACGAAGAAAGACGGCATGAAAGGCGGCCACACAACCCATTGTCCCGGCGAGAATCGGCAGGAGGAAAAAGAAAAATGGAAGACATAAAAAGAGGTGCACCATTCCGACCAAAAATGAGCACTGAAAATGCCGAGATTATATTAGATTCGATAGTTTTGCGCACTAGAAAGTGCTTTCTAAAAGGTAGCCATTTGAGGAAACTCTTTTGTCTTTTGAGTCTTTTGAGATAACTTTTGAGAAAGTCATGTGAGAAAACTAGTCAAACCTTTAGTTTACATTCGATCAACCTAATTTTTTTATCATTCGATGAGGCTCAGTTTAACGGTTTAACTACGATAGTTTTCTTAAATAGATGCTTTTTAGAAAGCGCATTACTTGTGAGGAATACACTCTAGTAAAAAATGCATAAAGATACAGAACCATTTCGGCTCATTACCCAGAATTCTAGTTATTCTTTCGACCTTGAGCTAGTTAGCATATTCTTACCGGAAATAAATACTAGATTTCAAGGGCTATCATTTGACACCCAAGCGCACACTGTAGTCAACTCTCTCTGGAGTAGGGAAGATCAAGTGCGTTGTGGTGTAGTGGTTAGCACAGTTGCCCGGTAAGCGAAAGGCCGCGGGTTCGAGTACCGAATTTTGCACGAATTTTTGATCTGTCCTAGTTCCAACTCTGTAGCATCTAGCAGCGCGGTGAACGAGACGTTCAAAGTGAGTCTAGGCGTCTATACGCCCGTCATTATGAGGTTGGGGTATTATTAGATTATTTACGATGACCATTAGTCCATCAGTTTTTCAGTGTTTTGTGTTAGTCTTTCGTTAATATTGTCATGTAGCTCCTTGAAGGTTTTCACATTTTCATGACCAAGTGGTGTTCTTTTAGTTAAAACCCACAATTGCAATGACGGCTAGGAGTGGATAGAGACTCCAATATGGACCCGAGACGACCATATTCGGGAAAAGGGAGGCAGTGGTGTCCGATTTCCGGATTTGCATCTTTGCCGCTTGTTCGCGTCGCTAACTAGCTCGATGCAACAACACGGAACCTTAAATATCGATTTCGAGGGAAAAGGAATGCAAAAAAAAATGAGGGTTCGGGAAGCTTTCCCACAAAGCTCACTGACTTGGAGAAGCGATTGGGTAATGAAATTCATCGATGTATCGCTTTGTGATTGATCGGATAGTTGTACATCTTGGATGGGAAAATTGATGAGATGAGGTGCTGAAAATTAAAGTAGCTAGAGAGTTTAAAAAACAAATGCGAATCGTTAAACTGTGTGCACTTTGAGAAGTAATGCAAATAATCTGGTAAAAGGAAGCTGGATATGCAAATTTCTAATTTAGTTAGAGGTCAAGATAAAGTCAAAAATCGAATTCAAATTGAGCTTTTCATCGATAAAGATAAAGTAGAATGAAAGCTAATCCCTTGATATTATCCCGTTTGTTGAGTAGCTTCAAAAGCTTGAATGAAATTGTACTCGCTATAGAAATGAAGATCAGGTGAAGAATAGAGTCCAATGCATCTCTCTAGCCACTCCATTTTCAAGCAAGCAAAGTAGAATGAAAGCTAATCCCTTGGTCTTAGCCCGTTTGTTGAATAGCTTGAAAAGCTTGAATCAAGTTGTACTAGCTTGTACTATGAAGTTGTACTAGAAATGAAGAATCAGGTGAAGAATCACATCCAATCCATCTCTCTAGCCACTCCATTTTCAAGCAAGCAATGCACAAAACTATCAACAACACACAAAATGCGATGTTTCTTGAAGAAAATGAGCAGAAGAAAAAAAAAAAATTTTGCCATCGAGTCAGTCACGACACGCAATGATTGGATTTGGAAGAGATTGAAGAAGGGAGAAAAGATGGGGGAAATTGATGGGATTGGTGGGCTCCGATGAGAGAGACTCGATGAGACTTCTGCAGTTTTTGCCCTCTTGGGGATCCCCTTCAAAGAGTAACAAACATTTCCGGAAACCATAAGAAAACCCTGAAACCAATGCCACATACAAGTACGACATATAGTCAAGTCTATCTATATAGTCAAGGATTTTCGAAAGCACAATTCATTTGGGACTTTTGCATAAAATTGTTCATAAAAATTTACATGTTACGGTAGTTTTGAGACAGAATTACCGTAGTTTTCAAGTTGACATGTTTTAGAAAAAAGAAAACTTGAAAAAGAAACGGTCTTTTTTTGCAAGATGCTGTGAATGAATGGGATACTGTAGCGAGGCAAACTGACTAAGATAAGATTCAATAAAAAGTCATTACCGCATTTAAATCGTTAATTATGAGAACAAATGGAAAGATGTGCGTTTAAAAACAAATGAAATCCTGCATTGCATTGGGTGAAAAGATTTTGAGTGACCAAAAGAGAGAAAAGTCACCATTTCAGAAATTAAGGCCCATTCAATGGATGAAAGCTGCTCTTTGGGGCCTTGGGGTTCTTTTGATCAAGAAAAGGCTGAAAGTTTCAAAATTGTCATTTCGAATTTAAAAATTAGATCTCATTTTGTTTTAGAATGATGTTTGATTTCAAAAATTTTATCTGTAAGTAAATTGTAAGTAATCACAAACAAAATAATGGGGATTTTTAAAAAAAAAAGATCATCACGAGAATTTGGGCAAAAAAATGACAAAAGAGACAAAATATGAAACGTATAATAATGAAAAAAAAACGTTGAATGCAAAACAAGGCCTAGAATGGGAAAGTTGCAGCCATTTTGTCGGCATAATTGACGAAAGCTTCACCGTAAGAAAGACAAACCTAGAAAGGAAAAGTTTGCCGTCGGAACACAATAAATTTATCTTAAACCAAATCGTACTATGATCTTTTTAAAAAGCAACAAAATTTACCTGTGCAAGCGCGTGGCAATCAGGCTCGGCCGAGTGTGCATCGTACGTGTCGTGGATGTTCTAAAAGCAGTTTAATAATATTTCTTTTCTGTTCTGCTTTTTCACCCCACTAATAAAAGTTCATTTAATCCAATATATCGCCAAAAACCCCCACCTTGCTATACAAGTTCTCAAGTTTGTAGCTGCCTCGGACCCGTGAATCGCTCATCGCCGCGTTCTTGTCAAATTCCCATTTGCCATTACTTGTCTTTCTAAAAGAAAGGTTTCTCATTATCATAAAAAAAAAAACTTACAAAAAGTACTTGCTCAGCTCTCGATTTTTCTTCGACGGAGACCATTGTTCTGAGTTAAGGTAGAGTAGAGGGTGATCGACGGGGACTTCTTCAACGTTTGCTTCCGAACAGCTTGTTGGTGATTGAACGGCTTTCGCATTCGGCGAAAAGAGAGATCGACGTGCTGTTCTAAAGGAAAGCCAAACTCAAGATCAAAAATTGTTAATATCAAATAAACTCACAATTTTGACGGTTCACTCAACGAGTTTCGTGTTGGCGGTGGTCTTTCCGGAGTTTTCATCTCATAACTCTCCATCGGAGCAAGCGTATCTTAATCTTGATGAAGGAAAATTTAAACTAAAAAACTTACGGCTCGCCGATTGTGGACTTTCTTCAAACAAATCGCGATCTTCTGTTGTACGAGCCTAAATAAACGAATGAACAATTTCGAAATGTTGTTATCAAATTAATTAAGCTAGTTTATGAACATCTCACACATTTTTTATTTAAAACAGAAACTAACCGTTGTGACCTGTACTTGTTTCGCTGGAGCTTTTTGAACGGGAATTTGCTCAAAAACTAAAGCCAGACAGTAAAGTAAATAAAATTTGCTTTGAATTCATTTAAATTGAACCTTTCGAATTTCCATTAAACAAACTCATTTTCCAATCAAGTGCTGAAATCAACGAGCGCATCTCCGTGTAAATCGCATCATCAATAGATCGAAAAGCTAGCAACGAATCGAGGAAATAGACCTGAAAAAGAATTTATTGTTGTAAACTGATGAAAAACTAACCTCTGACGGAATGGCATCGTTTATAACATGATTCCTTAGCAATTCTCCAAAGAGGATTGGGAAATCGAATCTAAATTATTACAAATTAATCTAATAACTAATAACTGAATAACTCACTTAAGTCCATTATGAGCAACTAAACACGCAGGTTTTGGTAGTCCTTGCAAAAAGATTCGAATTCCCAGCCACTCATCGAGAAACGTTCGTTGGCGTTCCATTTCAAATCTGCCAATATGAAAAACTAAAGATCTAGTTTAAACAGGAAACCAAATGCTTGTACCAAAAGGCTTTTCTTTTCGTTTGTTTTCCAATTCGATCCATTCAGCTTCGGTTAAGATGGGTTTGATCTAAAATCATGATATGAAATAACTTTAACGGAAATGTTTTAACTTACAAGACGCGAATGCACTGAGCACGGGAGGGAGACGCGTCGTGATTTCAACTCACCATTATTCCTTAACTAAAGTTATCATTATGAAAAAAAAATTGATATCAAAATTGTACCGTATGATCCTTGTCGCTCATTCGATGCATCGCCGACTTCAAAATGTCTCGATCAACGGCCACCATCGCAAGTTCGGTGACGTGCGGATAACTGTGCAGTGAGGCTAAATTTAAAAAATATGTTTAAGATAACATAATATTAAAATTTGATTAAATACTCTTTAAAACAAACTCTCTCGTATGAAACGCTCCAAACCCGCGGTGGCTTGGCCTCGTTCGGTGATCGAACCTTCGATGGATGGTGGCTACAACGCGATTTACGATAGATATTAAAATTGAAAGTTTAGCCAATCGTTGTCTCGACAAAAAAACAAATAAACTCACTTCCAAAATCAACCCAGTTGTCTCCAAATCAAAGAAAACGAACGTTTTCACCTGTAGAAAGCCCCGATTTTGCGGTCGTTTAGCTGGTGGACCTAAAATAGTTTCGAAACTGGTTTGCTCCTCAGACATCAGAGTTGCTAAGAAAAACCCACTAGTAATTTGTGGCTCGTTCTCGAAATCTTCAACGGGTGATGCCCTTTCTGCCTGCATGCTCATCGAGGGTGAGTCCACTGAATCGGGCATTTGGGTCTCAATTTGTGACTTCATTGCCTCTTGTTTGACGCGGATGGCCTAAATTTGCAAAATTACATAGTGAAAACGATTTTTAGATTAAGGCACCACTAATTTAATTAGGTAAGTAAATTTCAGTTTATTAAGTACGTGCAAATTTTAAACAAACCGTGAGTTGATGTGTGTTTGATGTCGATGGTTCATCCCATGGATCGACATCAAACGAGTCAACGGATGTCTTGTCCTCTCCGGTCACCATTCTCACCTCTCACTTGTGAAATTCTTAACATTTTTTATCACATGGAACTGAAAGAGACTCAACACGTTCGAACCAGATTTATTTCTTTGATGCACCAACAAGTTTCATATACAATACTTTGTAGTTTGGCTCTTATGAGCAACGTTTTAGCAGGTTTGAATCATGTACTGAACCGGTAACAAGTCGAATACTTTGTTTTCACGTTCATCACTTATTATGAAAACTTTTATCATCCACAAACATACCAAAAATAGATATATTTTGGATACAAAAAAATAGGGATCTTTTTAAATCATTGCATGCATAGGGTTGCCAAAAAAGACACGTGGAGGAAAAAAGGAAATCTTATCTACGCAACCCTAACATTTTAAACAAAAATTGCAGCTGACTCATTCACCTTACAATAAAAAATGACTACTTTTTGGATGAGATGGCGCTAAATCTCAGCAACTAAAGCATTTTTGGACATAAAATGGATAGCATTGGTAAGCAAGTGTAATACGAGAAATAGAACAAAACAAAAACACCTAATTTTACTTTATCAAACCTATAAAAAACATGATAACTGCAAATAGGACCGTAAACATTTAGAGATTCATGAGAATTGTTCGTGGGTCCTCGACAGCGCTCTTGATCTTCCTTAAAGTGATTTTTAGTTTTTGTCAATCGTAATGGATACTGTTCAACCGTACCTTTGTCATTTTAGTTTTTAAAAAGCTTTTAGAAATCAAAAGTGCAAAAAAAAACCTTAAGAAAGTGACACCCTCTCGTCCATCGATAAGGCGATGATCATAAGTCAAGGCCACTTTCATTATCGGGCGGATTTCAACCTGAAAATACAAGAAATTTGGGCTTGCAGAATAAATTCGTACTTTTCCATTGATGGCAACTGGTTTGTCAAAGATGCCGTGCATTCCAAGGATAGCCGATTGTGGAGGATTAATAATTGGTGTACCGAAGACGGATCTAAAAAGACAAATTTGAAATACCTCAACTTCCAGCACATTGCAAATATTTTATTTAACTTTAATAAAAATCAACGCACCCAAAGACTCCACCATTCGAAATCGTAAATGTTCCACCCTCCATATCTTCTACGGCCAATTTGTTGTCTTTTGCCTGAAAACTTTAAACTTATCAAAGAAATGAAGAGAACTTTACCTTTTCACCAAGAGCAGCAAGTGCGAGCTCAATTTCTGCATAGTCCAGGCCTTCAACATTTCTGAGGACAGGCACAACAAGACCCTGAAGAAGTTTAATAAATTACTTTTTAAAATTTTGCTACCTTTGGAGTAGCAACTGCAACGGAGATATCGACAAAGTGCCGGTAAACAATCTCATCTTGGTCAATAACTAAAAAAGATACAACATAATAGAATTACGTTACAATAAATGTTTCAAACCTGCATTAACAACAGGCATTTCCTGAAGAGCATAGGCAGCAGCGCGCAAGAATGGAGACATTAATCCGAGCTAAAAAGACCTCAATAACAAAAGATACACTTAAAATAATAAAATCAAAGATAACAATTTTACCTTAGCATTGTGCTTCTTCTGGAAATCCTTTTGATACCGCGTCCGCATTTCCATAACATTGCTAAAACAGTAAAATGGGTTAATCAGAATGCACCCCATTTGTTTTAGAATCAAAGCTCTACCTCATGTCAATCTCGTTAAATGTAGTTAACATGGCGTATGTATTCTGAGCATCCTTCAACCTAAAGTCTAAAATTTACTGGGTGCAATTCAATTCACACACAACTATGCCTTTCAATTCACACAACAATCTAAAACACCAGCAACGACACAACTCTTTACTCTAAATCGAACCTTTGGCTGATTCGTTGTCGCATTCGGTTCATTTTCACTCGAACCTATGACAATAAATTATGAGTCGCTAAAGCAAGCTATGTTACCTCATCTCTGGCACCAGTAACGGCATGTTCAGGTGCCACGCCTTGAGGAACTCTAAATTAGTTTTGTCAAAGATATAGAACGAACGCAGCTTACTTGACGCGTTGCACTGGGATCGACGAGACTGGTGTTGAGGAGACCGGCTTTGCTGGTGGAGGTGTGGTTTTGGGAAGTGACGATGGAATAGCTCCTGAATTTTAGCTTTAGGCTGTGTCAAATACTGATCTTTCGCATTTTAAAAGCGAAAACTCTTTTTCAGGTTCTTAACAAAGTCTCGTTAACCAAGTCTAGTACTTACCTTTATTTGAAGCTGGAGCAGCAGCAGCAGGCTTGGGCTTTTCTTCTTTTGGTGCTTCAGCAGCTGGTGGTGCAGCAGCTTTGGTTTCTTGAGCCTAAATAAATTCTCTTGCAAAAGCTGACCTTTTGTTTTTCCAAACCTTTGGAGGCGCAGCAGCTCCGCCACCCTCTCCTGGTTGAAGCTTGTAAAGCTTTTGCTTGGCGGTCACCTAAAAGTATTGGTTACTGGTAAAAGTAAAAGAAACCAATATTTTTTCTGCAAAATCAATGTAAAAGTAAACTGAATTACCTTAGATCCATCAGCAACAAGCAGCTCAACGATTGTTCCAGACTGAGGGGCAGGAACTTCAACAGAAGTCTAAAAAATTGTAAGCTGAAAAGATTGACCAAATCAAACCTTATCTGTTTCGATCTCGGCCACCAGCTCGTCTTCTTTCACAAAGTCACCAACTTCTAAAGCAGAACAATAGAAAATATAATGCAGTTAATAGACTTTGCTTATATTAGTTATTTAGAACAAATAATAACGTACGTTTACTCCATCTGATATCACCCTCAGAAATGGATTCTGCAAAAGCGGGACCTTCGACAACAATGACATCGGCGACTAAAGAAAAAGATGTTTATAACTTTGACATTGATCAAAGATTCGTTAATTGTAGTAATTCATCCCTAACACTGCTTTTTGAAAAATAGACTGACATTTCTGTGAAGATAATTGAAGGTAGCGCTGTGGCAAGATGATCATTCCACTCATTGGCTTTTGGAAAAGCTTTTCATTTCCTGAAAAGGCAAATAGAGGTACTTGTAAATTAAATTGTTTACAAGATGCTTGTGCAAAGATACTATTGAACTTGCTAAGCATGATGGTTGCAAAAGCTTACTTGCAAGAGTTGGGATGATTTTACCAGAAGTTGAAGAGCTGATAGCCTAAAATTGATAATTTGAGTAATATGTTTCCTTTCAAATTAAAACTTTTAGAAAGAAATAAATCAAGAAAGCCTCTCATTCTATTGCTTTGACTTGTGTTTAACTTGATAATAAGAGGCTTGTTTACAAAAATATAAACATACTCGACACAAAGTTGGAAGGGCCGAGCGGTTCAACGAGGCCCGAGTGAGCGAAGCCGTGCGCGGAGCCAACATTTTGTGTACCCAACCTAAATAGGAAACGGTTTAAAAAGATGAAAAACAACAAAGCAAGTACAGGAGCCAAAGATTATTACGTTTACAAAGGGGATAACAATAAAGTTGGGGTTGTTCCGATGAGAACACATTTTGTGCGACACAAGCTTTTTGGGAGTACCGTACTTCTGCACAACGTAGGAGGACATTTGAACGCACCTTAACGGCGGCTAAAAGTTGGACAAGCGGGGCGGGTTTACGAAAATCTTCAAAATATTCGGGGAACAAATAAAATGATCCTTTCTTTGAAAAAAGAGTTTTTATATATCCGTTTTTGCCTAACTAAATATTTTAGTAAATAATTGTTTGTAAGATATTCAGTTGATTTTAGTGGGATAAATTATTTTCAAAACTTTTCCCGCGCAATTCATTTCGTTACGACACTTTTTGAAAGCCTTAATTTTTAAAACTTTTAATGCAAGGCAACTTACCCCTTTAGAAAAGTTTCTTTATAGAGACGCAAACTTTAAAGAAACCACTTTCTAAATAATATAATAAATATTTCTAAAATACGACCCGACGCAACAAATAAATAAATAATTTTGCCTAAATAATAACTAATATTTTTCTGCTTCCTTATAATGTTTTCTTTTTATTTGTCGATGATTGGCACATCTTTTTCAGCTTCCGATGTTTGTTGATGGGGCTTCATCGCCACCATTCTTCTGCTCACCGCCAGTGAATGGCGTGTCGGGCATGGTTAGTTTTCTGTTTCGACTCCGATTTTTATTTACCTTCAGATGATGACTTTTTAACTTTAGGCGATGACACTCGACACGACAAATGATGAGGATTTCGATTTGCTCTCGAGCACGCCAAATAGATTTCGTGGCATGTCACCGAGCACCTCCTACTCTAGTCCTTTCTCAGCAAAGTGAGTGCCACTTTTGTGTATTTTGAATAATTATTTTTTTAGGAAACATAATGTATCAATGGCAGCCTCTGTGAACGTTCATTTTGCGGATTGGTTTGATGATCTCGTAAGTGTTCTTCTTCCGAATTTTAATTTTCCTTATTTAGCTTCAACGTCGAAAAAACTTCTCAGCATTGATGATCGCCTCGGTGGTCTTCGTATCGTTATTTATGATCTCCACATTGCTTCAATTGTCGTTTATTCATCCTATTGCATCTGTTTACAGTGAGTTTTAAGTCTTTGTGGTAAAATGATCGCTTTTCAGATATATTTTCGACATATTTTTCATGGAAAGTCTGGCTGTTGTTTTTGGCGTGTGGCGCCTCCACGTTTCTTTCTTTTCAATATGGGTTTCTCAATTTGTGTTCAGGTAATTTATGTTAGAAACTTTAAGTATTGGTTTATTAAACGGTGCCAACTAAATTCACAATCGGATTTTTAGCTAATCAACTTCAAAGTCTCTCCGTTTGGGCGAAATCAAATTGGACTTCTGCGCTGGTCTTCACACTGTTTTTCCAAATGAACTCAATCGCTATGATTGGTCTGACCAATATCGATCATCTCGAGCCATTCTCGGTCATCCTTCTTACAGTCTGTCTCTTTTCCGGCACACTCTTCACCTTTTTCCAAACGGATCATCAACTTGTTTTTGGGGAGCAAGAGCAAGCGGTATAATAATTTGCTTATTTTGAAAATAGAGTTTAGGCTAAAGTTCTGCCAGTCTTGAAGACAGTTTTTCATGGAGAACGGACAAAACTTGGCACTCTCGTCGGCAATTTCAGCTGCAAGGATTTATCGCAATGTTTTTCTTCCTTGGTTGATTATAGGTAAAATTTGATTACCTCTAAAGAATCTAGAATATTTTGTTTAGGATTACCAATTTTCGGATACCCAATTTTGTGGTCAGTCGTTGACCTACGGCTCCACGCGATCGCTCTTTTGACGCTGACATTCACAATTTTCACGATCAACGCGGCTCTAATTTTTACTCGCTGTTTTGTGATGCAGGTTAGTGCTTGTCACTGGTTTTATAGACTGTGTTTGCTTTTAGCCAATCTCTTTTTCACTCCCACCTCCATATGCAATTGTGGCGCCAAGTGGTCCTCAACTACGGACCCTCACGAATGCCTTAGAATGTTTAGATCCACTGTTGAAGGTAAATCTTATGATGTAATCATTCAAAACAATTGTTTAGTTGTTTGCTGGATATGATTTGAGGCGTATTGGTGCCTCCGATATGACAAGACGAGCCGAAATCTACGCATTGAGTCAACCCGGAGGGCACCCACGAAATTGGACTTCCATTTCGAACTCGTGCTTTGCCGTCATTCAAAGAATTCAGAAGGAGATTGAAGTAAATAGATTTAATTTATATTAAATTTTTCATAAAACAACTTATAAAACTCAATTTGTATGTTTGTAACTTCATAAAGAAATTTTAGATCGCGGCTTCCGAATATCTTTTGCCATCTGAAGTGAACGAAGAATCGCCGGACCGAAAGATAATGCTTATGCCTGCATCAATTCGAAATCAGAGTAAACTTTGAAAAGTAAACAGCTTTAATTTGTTTTTAAGTGTACACATCAGCCGTTCGTCAACGAGCGAATCGGGCGCTTTTGAGGCCACACAAGAAAAAAGTGATCAATGATAATCTTTTGGCTGGCATTATTCCGTCAAAGTTTTATTTGAAGGTGTGTCTATCTTTTATTTACAATTACAATATACAATAATTTAGTTCTTCGGCTGGATAGTCCCAGAAAAGACAATCATCTCCCGATATGATGCCAACATGGTTGTCTATATTGTTGATGGTAATTTTAGCGATTGCTTTGTAAGGTTTGATTTGTTTCAGGAATTTCATGGCTCATCGTAAAGTCAATTCAAGAGGACGATTATGGCGTCGTGCAACGGGATATTGGCAGAATCACATCGCTTTTGCTTCTGACACTGCAAACGATTGACAAGTATTTCCGCGTGCGAAACGTAAGTTTTTGAGGTTTAGCTAGTTTGGTGAAATGGAAAGTGGTTGATAAATTAGATTTAACTCTTAAAATAGTAGCGATATTTGTCTTTAATAAATTTTTCTTAGGTCCGACCGGTGGCTAACGGCCCAGATGCACCACTTCTGCTCATCGATCGGGCACTTCGAACTGCTATCAAGAATATCGCTGACACCTTTTTCAATCATCTCGGGTTAGTTGCTTTTAGTCCTTCCAAAACAATTTCCTTGTTTAGGGATTTCCAATTCACTCAAGAAGAGCTCCTTCTCATCGAACGTTTAAAGTAAATACCAAAGATTATTTAGAATTGTTTATGTTTTCGAATTATTACAACTGTTGTAAAGTTTGTTCAGTTTTCTCATGTGTTAACCAATAAAAGTTTGTTTCCAAAGAATGGGTAACTATGAACTTGAAAGGGCAGGATAGTGAATGGCTTATTGAACGAGGCGCCGAGCCAAAAGGAAGCAGAATATTTGAAATTTGGGCTTTGTCTAGTGGGATGACGGGCCAGTTTGTGGGCATTGGGGCGTTATGTTTCACACGCCTGCACACAGAGCTTTGCTCACTTTTTGGGATTTGGCGTAATGGGTTGCGCTGTTGCGAATAACCCGACGAATTTGCAATCACTTTTCCAACTTTTTCCTGGTAGGTAGGTTACATTTTAGAAAGATATTTGAGACTCTTGTCTTTTGGGTCAACTGGCTTCTTTCTTGTGGCTTTTCAGAGAGATCTTGGGGCATATCGATTGAACAGGGGCCTTTTCGCTTTCACCCCGTTTTCAAAAGTTATCTTTTGCTTATGCTCTTATTCCATTGCAAATTTTCATTCGTTCTTTATTAAATTCGTTGAATCAATAATATAAGTATCAAAGCAATGGTTGAGAAAGATGTTACGGTAGCTTTTGATTGACTAAATTGAAATTATGATAACGTTTTATCATCAAGATTCACCTGCCAAATGGAAATCTCAATGCACTTTCGTTGTTCCATTTCATTTCCTCGGGCAACGGGCCCAACCAGCTTGTGTGCTGACGTGAGAAAATGTCCTAAATTCGAATTTAATAATCAACTCACGTTCACCTCTTGAAAGCTAGTGCTCAAAAATGGAAACGCATCCTTTCTGGCTCACTTAACTCTCATTTTAATCCCAAAGTACATTCTAATCGAGAAATTTTGATAGATAAAAAGAAAATTAACACTTACACGATAATATTGAACGGAAAAATTGCTATTGCACAAGTCCTCCTCACAACAATCGTCACAATTCACCTAAAAAGGGTTTTATTTTTGACTCAGCAAGTACTTTAAATGTGTAGTATTTCGAAAAGTTGCCACTCTAGTGACAATGGGCTTTTTGTTGTTCAACAATTGTTCAACGCTTTCGACACTTTTTGACACGCTCTAGTACGGGAAATCCCATAGAAAGAGTGTTTCTTAAAAGAAAAGGGGCAATTATCTCAAATCTCTCTTTTCTCTTTTTGTCGGAATCCCTGAAATCTTACGTTTTCCTTTTTTTGTATGCTCATTTACGTTAAATGCTTCGTTTTTTTCTTTGAATGAGTGAAGAAGATTGCCTGCCTTCTTTATTCAATGCTAATTTAGTTTCTATTTGGTTTCTATTTAGTAAAACAATATGGAAGCGAGCTGATAAACCTTTTTTAGAATTTGTATTTAATGTTTTCATTTGGTTCTAGGAAGGCTTTAAGCCTTTTTTTAAGGCTTCCTCAGCTCTTTGTGCTCACAGAAGAAATGTTTTCTTTTTGTACTTTAATCGAATTAAAATATAAAAACAGTACCTTGAAAGTTAAAAGCTTTTAATGCAGTGTTGGCTATTGAGATAAGATAAAGAATAAAATAAAACAAAGATATCAAGAGATATCAGGATTTTCTAAACCTCAAATTTTTACTTTCCTTTTAGTTTTTTAGAGAACTCTAATGGGTATAATTGAAAAACTATGGAGATCGGAATAAAAACAAAAAGATAAGCTGCTATTTTTCTGGTGTAAAAAGCTTTTTTCTTTCTTTCTTTTGGTTCTAATTCAATATTTCGGATATCAAGAGATATCAGGATTTTCTAAACCTCAAAGTTTTCTTTTCCTATCTCAATTCGATTACGAGTCAACAGGCTTTCTTCAAGCGATTCAGAATTGCTCGAGTAGTAAATAAACCCGTAAGTTAGCTTAGCATTTCAATCAACAACACCAAACCAACTCCCATATTTTATTTTTCTTTTTCCAAAGCACCGATTCTTTCCCATTTGTTGCTATGTGAACGGGGGTGGAAAAAGTGAAAGAAAAAGGGGCGATTTTTCAACTAGGGAACATTTAAGAAGAGATGTGAGAAGGCCATGAAAAGGTGCAAATGATGGGAATTCCCAAAGGAGAAGATCTTTTTCGGATATCGAAAAGAAAGAAAAAAAGGAGACAGGTTGATCTCTTGGAATCAGCGATTGCTTTGGAAATCTAGAGGACGGGTTCTTCAATGCTTCAAGTATGACTGGTACGAAATTCCTTCCCTTTGAAGCAGGCTTTTTTGATTTCTAACTATTTTTACTACAAATGTTTCCAATTTTTGAAATTCAGTGTTTGCAAGTTGAAAAGTTTAACAATCGTTTTCTAATTTTAGCGTTTCTAATTGTTAATTTCCATGCAATACTGGAAATTATTCAAATTTCTTAAGGCATTAAGCGTGTATTGTTAGACTTATCTCGACTAGTAATCAAATCACAGATTTCAAAATTCCCCTACTCTATCCTTCTTCCACTCGACCGCTTTCAATAGAATTCGATAGAATTCGGCTCGCATATTTTTTCCCCGCTCCGAAATATTGAATTAGAACCAAAAGAAAGAAAGAAAAAGGCTTTTTACACCAGAAAAATAGCAGCTTATCTTTTTGTTTTTATTCCAATCTCCATAGTTTTTCAATTATACTCATTAGGGTTCTCTAAAAAAACTAAAGGAAAAGAAAACTTTGAGACTTAGAAAATCCTGTTATCTCTTGATATCTTTTTTTTTGTTTTAATCTTTATCTTATTCATCTTTACCTGATCAAAACCAAATCCCTCACTCTCACAATATTCCGAGCATCGCTCACCGCATCCTCGCGAAACTGAGGTGAACGCGTCTTGGATTGTTGTGATTGATGTCTAAAGCTGAAAATTTTCTGAAGCTACAAAGCTTTTCTAGCTTTTATAGCTTTATTCGTAGCTTTTATAGCTTTATTGGTAGCTTTTATAGCTTTATCCACAGCTTTTACAGCTTTATTGGTAGCTTTTATAGCTTTATCCACAGCTTTTACAGCTTTATTGGTAGCTTTTATAGCTTTATCCACAGCTTTTACAGCTTTATCCACAGCTTTTACAGCTTTATTCATAGCTTTTCTAGCTTTATTCATAGCTTTTCTAGCTTTATTCATAGCTTTTCTAGCTTTATTTACAGCTTTTCTAGCTTTATTCACAAATTTTTAAATAATAAGAAGAAATCTCTTCACCAACCACACAATACGGCTCCCAACTGCCACAGATTTTCGACGTTTGCTCGGTTTCGTAGAGGATAAGGCTCTAAATATCTTGATAGATAAAACAATCTTAAAAATATCTAGAAACACCTCATTAGCACACCAGGCATCCCTATGCTCCATATCGTATTGTTCAGTGAACGAGAAAGAGCACGAGTAGCACCGAAGTGTGACAAAGACCCGCATTTTTAAGGATAATAGAATAAAAGCTTTGAACATAATATTATTTTATAATAAAGAAAAGCTCTAGACGTAAAATAGCTAAAATTTTTTTTAAGAGTAAAAGGGATCATTTTGTTCGTCTCTTTTCTTTTTCACCTATCGACACCGGAAGCCATTCACGCTTGGGATGGAATAGAACCAAAAAAGGATCTCTTTTTTGATCTTAGTCACTAAATTTTTTGCGAGTGAACGAAAACAAAAGTTTTTTTTTGGTATTGCATTCGAGTTTTACTCATTTCTAAGGCTTTGAACAAGTTCTTTAATCATTTGTAATCATGTAAATTTGTGGTTTGTTCGTTGAGGTTTACTTTGTGCTTTCAAGCATCCCCTTCTGGTGCACTTAATTCTTCTTTTCTTCTTTAAAATGAGTTCAGAAAGGAATGTGTTTAGATTTTGCTTGTGAGCACAAAGTACACTACTGGACAATGAAATATGATATTTGAAAAAGATCGTCACTTTCGCGCGTGTATAACTCCCTTATCTTTACCGTATTTCTAAATATTAATATTACCATTGTGTAGCCCTTGAAAAGAGCTTTCAGAAAATGTCAAACACTAATAGTTTAAACTCAAAGACAAGGGAGTTACAGACGCGCGAAAGTGACGATCGTTTTTCAAATATCATATTTCATTGTCCAGTGATGTATATCTAAAGGTATCAGACAATTCTCTATCGACTTTTCTTGTTCTTTTCAACTTCAGTTTTCTCGTTGGTTCTGTCAGATTTGAGTAAAATAAATGATTTTTAAGATGACTTCTCGAGCAGTGATCTCAAGTGATTCGCGAAGAGCTTCCGCGATTCGTTCATTTCTTCACGTTGGTGGGATTGCGTCGTTGAGTCCACAAACGCTATGTGAGTTTTAAAAGGATGTGTACTAGATAGAATGTGTTTACAAGTAGAAAAAAAAGCATGATAAAGGTATGAAATCAAAAACGATTCAGCAAAATTCTCTACCACGATCAACTTGATTGCTGGCTTTCGTTTGTCTGCTCCTCCACAGGTAAGTGAATTGACTGAATTTATTTCTTCATTAGTTTATTTTCCATTTGATTCATTTACAGATGCGCGTCGTTCACATTCCACTCGACGACGACGAGAATCAAGACCTCTCCGCCTATTGGACTACAGTTTTTCAGGTTTTTTGAAATGTTATCTAAACTTTGAGGCATTAAACTTCAATGTTACAAGTTGTAAAAGTTGTAAAGCTAAAACTTTATAAAAAAGCTACACTACTGGACAATGAAATATGATATTTGAAAAAAGATCGTCACTTTCGCGCGTCTATAGCTCCCTTATCTTTACCGTCTTTCTAAATATTAATATTACCATTGTGTAGCCCTTGAAAAGAGCTTTCAGAAAATGTATAACACTAATGGTTTAAAATCAAAGACAAGGGAGTTACAGACGCGCGAAAGTGACGATCTTTTTTCAAATATCATATTTCATTGTCCAGTACTGTATATCTAGATTATCGACGATGAGCGAAAATCGGGTGGGAAAGTGCTTTTGCTTTGTGCGATGGGAATCTCTCGATCGGCCACTTTTGCAATCGCTTATTTGATGTGCAGAGATCGGTTGGTTTGAATAAAATAAAAAACCAAGTCATAAATGATCGTCTTAAAGCTTAGGAAGCTTTCAAGATGGAAAAAATATCAGGATATCAACATATCTAGGCTCACCCTTCACGACGCGTACAAGGAGGTGCAGCGACGACGAAACATTATTTGTCCGAACATTGGTTTCTTCAAGCAAATGATCGAATTGGAAGAAAAGGTGATTATGGTTGAAATGGGCTCGGTTTTCAAGCAAAAATATAACCAAATTAAAGCCAAATTTCATGATTTAACATTACTGGGGTGGCAAAATCAAGCTCAAACTGTTTATGCTTGATTCTGAAGCCGGAATTCGTAAAAAGTTTAGGTGCCAGCTCTCGTATTTGCTTAAAAACAAAGAACACCAATAGTGTTTCTTCTTCAAAAATCCAAAAATTCAGTTCTACAAGCGAAACACGGTTCGTATCATCGAGCCACTCGATGGAGTGCCGGTGGCGGACGTCGTTTGGAATGAGCTCTACGATGAGATGCTGCAATCGATGAGTTCGACGAATCGGGATGTATTGAGGTCGGTTATCTGAAGCTAGATCCTAGAGCTTATAACTAAGCTTTGTTATAAGTTGTTATAAGCTTATAACTAAGTTTATAACTAGAGCTTATAACTAGAGCTTATAACTAAAATTTCATTTCCAGAACTCTTCATCCATCAGCTAGCTCAATGACGATGCGAGAACTATCACTGAATCTCGAGAGCCCTACAGAAGAAAGCCCAAGACCGTTGAAAAAATCCGCTTCCGGGAACAGTATTCTAAGTATTTTTGGGTGGAAGGATTCAAAAAAGACACCAAGAAGCGCAAAAATCGATTTGAAATTATTGAAAAAAGGGAAAACGAGAGGAGATGAGAGGATTGGATGGATGAGTGCAAGAGGAGAAGGGAGTGGAGGTGAGTCAAGTTGATCAAGAAGGTGATCAAGAAGTTAAGTATTGGGTTGGTGCATTGAAAACTGCCGGACTTTGAACGAAACTTTATTCAACATAAAACCATAAATTCATTCGAAATAATTTCCATTATTATTGACGACTTCTGCCCATTTTACAGGCAATTTGCGGATTCTCTTTCGTGGTAGGATTTTGGTTTTGAATCGAAAAACTTTTCGAGCCAATTTTTGACTGCTTCTTCCGAATCGAAGTGTTCTCCCGCAAGCTCATTACTCATGATCCGGAATAAATAGTAATCAAAAGGGGCGAGGTCTGGACTGTATGGGGAATGCGTCAAAAGTTCCCAAACAAGGCTATTTATTTGGCAATTTGCGGATTCCTCTTTCGTGGTAGGATTTTGGTTTGTGTGTGAGACAAGTGTGAGACTCAAAAATGGAGGACTGGAGATGTCCCCAGTTTGAGCACTTTCTTCAATCTTTGACTTGGAGGCCCTATTCTTCTTCAGGGATTCATTCACCTTTCCCAACTGTTCACTGTATTTAATTGCATTAACGGTCGTCTTGTTATCCAGCAACTCCCAGTACACCACTCCCTCCATATCCCAGAAAACGCAGAGCATAAACTTCTTCTGGTGCAAATCGGGCTTGGGGTCACTTTCGGGTTTCTCACCTGGCCCCACCCATTGCCGCTTCCTCCGAAAGTTCACAGATAAAACCCATTTCTCATCTCCTGTCACAATTCGAGGAAGAAAGGATTTCCTTTCGTATCGTGAGAGATGAGCGGCACTGATCGAGGCGCGCTGCCACTTCTGGGGGTCAGTGAGGTCATAGGGCACCCAAGTCCCAAGTCTCGATTTAAATCCAAGGGTATGAAGGTGCCTTAGCACTGTAACATGATCAACCCCTAACTCTTCTCCCAATTCACGCGATGATACCCGATGGTCGTTGGTAATGAGTTCGAGTAATTTGGAATCATCCAGCCGGGGTGCCGCTCCACGGCCCTCTGCATCTTTCAAAGAATTGTCCCCAGATCGAAACTGGGCAAACCATACTTTGTTCATGGCGAACCATACCGGAAATGTTCTTTCGGAAGGTGAGTCCTCCCCATATATCTCTTTAATATTACCAGCTGCCAAGCCTGCACTGTGCTCTTGTAGGAACTCATGAAGCATGACATGACGAATATGTCACGGTGGCAGATTGTCGAGTGCAATAGAAGAAGTGAAGAAAAATACCAAAAAATAAAAAGCTGGAAGCATAATTTTTTTCGCAATAATTTGAGGAAATGTTGAAGTAACCAAACCCCCTTTCAGCTGGTTCAATGCTGTTGTTTTTTATCTGCGAGTCCCGCGAAATAGCCGGGTTTTCAATTCACCAATCCAATACATAGTTGGGCCTTTTTAAAGTCCAGTAGATGGCAGTAGAAGTAGAAGAGACTGAAATAGGTTTGAAATTCGGTAGATATTCAGTGATCAATTTGCAGGGGATTCATCACGAGGTTCATCGTCTGGATCCACGTCGCTCACCTCGACGTCACCCTCTTCATCGCAGACGTCGATCGGACAAACGATATCCAGAGAGACTCAAGAGGAAATATTGCTCTCACCGTTGAAATGATTCTATGTAAAGTGGAGTTAATAAATATTCAATTCCTTTGAAATTCTCAATTTTTTTGGTAACTTACGGTATTTGAAGTAGACTTTAGAAGGCTTTAGAATGCTTTAGGATGCTTTAGGATGCTTTAAGATGCTTGAGGATGCTTTAGAATGCTTTAGAATGTTTTAGAATGCTTTAGAATGCTTTAGAATGCTTTAGAATGTTTTAGAATGTTTTAGAATGCTTGAGGATGCTTTAGAATGCTTTAGAATGTTTTAGAATGCTTTAGAATGCTTTAGGATGTTTTAGAATGCTTTAGAATGTTTTAGAATACTTTAGAATGCTTTAGAATGCTTTTGAATGTCATTTTTCAATCAAGTACCAATTTTCAATTTTCAAAAGTTTCTTGCACTTTGCTATGTTGATTAGTCTTCTTTGATTGAAACACGTGTTCAAACAAAGATGGATATCGACAGAGATTTGTCACTTTTATCCTAATTAGTCCAAAAGAGGGCGGTGTATTTGATCTCTTTTTTTTGTCGTTCAAGAGAATAGGGGTCAATATTTGGTACAAATCGTCGATCACACTTCTCTTTTCCAATAAAGGCTTTGAGGGGAATTGGTTTAATTGGATTAAAGAAGGGGAGATTATCTTTTGAAAGAGAGTAAAGAGAGCAAAGAGAAGAGATCGAGCCATCCATAAGGGGATCTGTGAAGGGGTTGAGATGGGGCGTAGTGTAACACCCGCCAGATGCCTACACATCCACCTTCACTCATCAAAATCGAATTGTTTTAAATTCGATCTTCATTTCAAATAAAAGTTAGCTCTAATGTAAGTAAAGAAATTGAAGAAATTGAAAGTATGAGTGTCGCTTTTTAAAAGTCGATCATTTTAGAGGTAATTCAAGATCACTGCAAGTTTAAAGAAGAATTTGAACTAATTTTTACTTAAACAACTATGCGTTTTAAAGTTCTATAATATCTGTGGCGATATTGATACTATTTATATATATATTGTGTCCGATTTAGATTTCCGTCCGATTTAGATTGAATCTAAATCGGACGTCCGATTTAGATTGAACTTATCGCGGACGTCCGATTTAGATTACAGTCTATATCGGACGTCCGATTTAGATTCAATCTAAATCTTATATGGATTGAACAATAATATAAACATGCTTAATATATGTTCTTAAGCGTTTTCTGTAGTTTTCTGCATTTTTCAAAGGTCTTTTATTGATTACAGTCTATATCGGACGTCCGATACAGATCGAACAATAATAAACGTGCTTAACATATGTTCTTTGAAAATTTCTTTGAAAAGCGCAGAAAATTGCAAAAAAACGCTTAAGAACATATATTAAGCACGTTTATTATTGTTCGATCTGTATCGGACGTCCGATATAGACTGTAATCTAAATCGGACGTCCGCGATAAGTTCAATCTAAATCGGACGTCCGATTTAGATTCAATCTAAATCGGACGGAAATCTAAATCGGACACAACATATATATATACTATTGATTTCACAATGAAAGATGTTGTGGCGTCAATTGAATTTTGACTAACTGTAAAGCAATTGCCACTGCCCTGCAGTTAGTCTAAATTCAATACACAAGTTAAAATTGAAAGTTGATGGATAAACTACCGTAATCAGCCAATCTAGACGATATTCAGTTGTCCATTTGTCGTAGCTTGTGTACTTAAAAACCCATTATTTAAGCTTTATTTTGAGTCAGTTGTGTGCTCCTTTTCTATTCATTTCTTTTTCTATTCTTTTCTATTTTTCTATTTCTATTCTATTCCTTTTTCACACGCAAGTGTTGAAGTAATTGTGATAGTGCTAGGTTGCTCGAGTTTAAGCGAAATTTACCCTAATAAAGGAAAGTTTCGATAAATTGTGCATTTTCAAGACATCTACCATTGAACCACACCGAGACACGGTCTCACAAGAAATTATAAACATCAAAGCATAAATCTATTGGGTTGGTGAATTGAAAATTGTCATATGTGACAGTTTGAGCACTTTCTTCAAAAGAAACCCATTTTGGTGTCAATGGAAAAGCTCAAAGTCTAAATATATATTTCTTACAATACTTTTGAATGCCTAGATTAGAAATTTCCCCTTTAAATGCCTATATTTTCGGCCAATATTGAAAATCAATTCACGGCAATCAACCGACTAATTAGTGTTGATTGAGATATGCAAAAGAAAAAGAAGATGGATAGACTGTGATTATCCGGTTATGCAACCCGAAAACATCTGTGGATCTATTGTTTTGGTGTCAAGCAAAACGGAGTAAGAGAGAGAGAGGAAAAAAGAAGAAAGTGCTTGGAAAGTTTAAAAGAAAGATAACTATCAAATACTTATAGGCTTGTTTTAAACCAATTTTTGATTAAGGCAGGTAAAGCCAAGCCTGAGCTGGCTAGCTGACCCAGAAAAAGTTCTAGAAGCTGGACTTCGGCTTATAAGGGCTTGACTCTACTTCTAGGCTTACAAAAATAGGATCAGCACTAGCTCAGAGCTCTTGAAAATCCTGCTTATAGATACTGTAATTGTAATAACACTTGTAACTCGTAATTGAACGTAATAAGTAACTCGATCAAAAGCTCAAGATCTCAAGATCAAAGCTAGCTTATTGTAAAGGTGATCGATCTTGAAATTACCGTTATTTATTATCATCAGTTTTTTTCCAAATCCACAACTCTATTAGTTGACCAAGTGATGTCTTTAGATCGATATTGTTCAAACTTTCAAACCAACTAATTGCCATTGTTCTTGAGACAAAACAAAAACACCCAACAAGTAAATGGTGTGATCAAGAGTGGGGCAAAGTGTGGGTTGAGTGTCGATAATTATCTCTCACTTTATTTAGGAAAGAGTTATGCTAAGAAATGAACGGTGAGCTGACAGGTGCCGCCTCTGCGGGTGGTGACACTGTCGAACAACGCGACAAAAACATTCATAAACATCATTTGGATAATGGACTAGATGCCTTGCGTGTATGTCTTAATATTCCTGCATGGCATAGGTACTTTTGTAAATCAGGTTGGCAGTAAAGCCAAGCCAGATTAGCCAAGCCAGCCAGCCAAGCCAAGCCAGCCAAGCCAAGCCAGCCAGCCAAGCCAGCCAAGCCAGCCAGCCAGCCAAGCCAGCCAGCCAAGCCAAGCCAGCCAAGCCAGCCAGCCAAGCCAGCCAGCCAAGCCAAGCCAGCCAGCCAAGCCAAGCCAGCCAAGCCAGCCAGCCAAACCAAGCCAGCTAGATGAGCCAGCTAGATGAGCCAGCTAGATGAGCCAGCTAGATGAGCTAGCTTTTGGTCAGGTTTCAAAAAGTATCATTGAAACAACCAGCTCAGGCTTAAACTTAAGCTGTACTGTAGACAGCTTTGTCTAGTCCATCAAAGTGGCAATTCCATCAAAGCTGGTACAATAGAACAATGACCTCTGTCAAGCTTAACTTTGAGTAAATTCCCTGAATGTGTATGAGGTTGCACTTCTTCATAAGTGAGTGAATGAAGTGGATGAGGAAGAGTGAAAGGGGGGCAAAAGTTGTCAGAGACAATTAGGACCTTCATAAGGACTCTCCTCTCTCATAGCCTTTTCCCATCCCCAATTTCTCCGTTTCTTCGCCTATTCATCTCCCGATGATTGCCTATTTTCAGCTCCTTTTCAACTTTTCGCTTTTCAAGATAGAAGATACATTGACTGGACTCCTCTTTTCTTTCCTATTTGATCTAATTGCTCACCTCATTACCCGATGGAGTACGGTAAAAAAAGTGTATCATTTTTGAGAAGGATAATTAGATTTCTTGCCTCTTTGATTTATTCAATTTCAATGATTGAAGTCTTGCATGATGTTGAATGAAGAAGATTGTTCATTACATCGAAAATCATAATATAAAACTCTTGTAAGAAAGTAAGTCCTTCTCTAGCGTAAAGTTGAGATCCAGTAGGTTGTTCATTACATCGAAAATAATATAAAACTCTTGTAAGAAAGTAAGTGCTTCTCTAGCGTAAAGCTGAGATGCAGTAGGTTCCTCATTACATCGAAAATCATAATTTAAAACTCTTGTAAAAAAATAAGTCCTTCTCTAGCGTAAAGTTGAGATGCAGTAGGTTGCTCATTACATCGAAAATCATAATTTAAAACTCTTGTAAGAAAGTAAGTGCTTCTCTAGCGTAAAGCTGAGATGCAGTAGGTATTTAAACTTTAAAAGAAAAACTTTAGTAAAAGTGACAATTGTTGCAAGAAGTACTTCTACTTTTGCAATATTTTTTCATCACTAAATCACTGAATCACTGAGTTCATTGTGTAGTAGAAGATCAAAATTGCTTTGTGAAATCTTTTGAGTATTCAGAAAGTTCAAAGCTTTAATTCTTACTTATGCACAGATTGATTTAAGTGAACTTTTCCACAAAAATCCCTAAACGCTGACCTTCTGACGTACTCGATCCTTTTACAGCAATCTTAAAAAGGATTAATTTCAATTGATTTCACAATGAAAGATGTTGTGGCGTCAATTGAATTTTGACTAACTGTAGAGCAATTGCCACCGCTCTGCAGTTAGTCTAAATTCAATACACAAGTTAAAATTGAAAGTTGATGGATAAACTACCGTAATCAGCCAATCTAGACGATATTCAGTTGTCCATTTGTCGTAGCTTTTGTACTTAAAAACCCATTATTTAAGGTTTGTCTTGAGTCAAGTTGTGTGCTCCTTTTTTTATTAATCCTTTTTTTTCACACGCAACTGTTGAAGTAATTGTGATAGTGCCAGGTTGCTCGAGTTTGAGCGAAGTTTGCCCTAATAAGGGAAAGTTTTAATAAATTGTGCGTTTTTCAAGGCATCTACCATTGAACTACACCGAGACACGGTTTCACAAGAAATTATAAACATCAAAGTCTAAATATATTTCTTACACCATCAATGAATGATTGGTGACTCATTGTTTAAAACTACTGATTTCAAAGCCCAATTTTTGATAGAGCTTTGTTCAATTACTGATTTCGATTGATTTTTCTAAGTTCTTGACTTTCCAACTTTTAGTTTTATCATTTTTATAGAATAGGCCCTCCAAGTCAAAGATCGTTCTCATCCACGACAACGCGCGCCCTCATTTTGCAAAACTGACTCGCTCTAAAATAAACAGTCTTGGTTGGGAACTTGCACTGGCACATCCCCATACAGTCCGGACCTTTCCCCTTCTGATTACTATTTATTCCGGACCATGAGTAATGAGCTTGCGGGAGAACACTTCGATTCGGAAGAAGCAGTCAAAAATTGCCTCGAAAAGTTTTTCGATTCAAAACCAAAAACCTACCACGAAAGAGGAATCCACAAATTGCCTGTAAAACGGGCAGAAGTCGTCAATAATATTGGGAATTATTTGGAATGAATTGATGGTTTTATGTTGAATAAATTTTCGTTCAAAGTCCGGCAGTTTTCAACTCACCAACCCAATAAATCTCTTACAGATTTGCTTTTTACAGAAACTTTCCCATTCAATGTCTAAATGATGATTTTGCTTTCAAATTGAGCATTCATATTGAGCATTGAGAAGATTGAATCGACAAATCACTTATGATTTGCATAAAAGAGCAATTGAACAGAGATTACAGGGATAAATAGGAGGCCTTATTTGACCGAGTAAATCACCACTTCACCTCTCAATCAACAAAAAAAAATGAATTGATTTGTTTAAAAGTATCATTTTAAAAATATGATCTCACGCTTAACATTAAAAAATATTAATTTGGGAGTGGGACAAATGCGACAAATGGACAAATGGACAAATGCGACAAATGGACAAATGCGACAAATGGACAAATGCGACAAATGGACAAATGCGACAAATGGACAAATGCGACAAATCTAGGTAATTTTAGGGCGTAGAATCGAAATTTTGACATATCAGAGCTTGTGGAAACAAACGGACGGAGTTATACAAAGAGAAAAATCAACAATTGTAATCTGTAATTTGATCTAGCCGTTTTTGGTTTGCTTTGTCTTTGAAATTGGTTCCACACGCTCTGTTATGTCAAAATTTGAATTCGACACCCTAAAATTACCTAGAAAAACAACTTTTGGAATAGAAATTGGTTAATATTAGCTTTTTAGAGCTTTTTAAAACGCGAAAAAAGGTGCGCTAATGGGTCAGGTGCGGAAAAAAAGGTGCGCAAATGTCCGGGTGCGCAAAAAAAAGGTCGCATTTGTCCCAATGCCATTAATTTTAAACTTTTTCAAACCTTTGAACAACCCTGCATCTCTCAAAAAGATCTTCAACTAAAGAAATCGGTATTCTAAAAGTATCTAAAGAAACACTTTAACAAAACTATTTAGATATTTGTAAGAAGTTAAGAGATCTCTGATCTATATTCTTATCTTACTGTAATTAGCGTCTATTTGAGTCGAAGTCCTTCTTGTCAGTCCCTTCTTGTTCACAGAGTTCATAGAGTTGCCTATTGGTTACCCAAGACACGCCCCATTCATTCATCCTTTCTCAACCTCAACTCTAAAATGGGATCGGATTTGGATTTGGATATCCTTGATTAATTCTTCTCAAAGTTAAGCAGTGTTCTCGAAATCTAGAGTTACTTTCAAACAACGATTTTCCCTCCCCGGACAAGATCAGTCTGATTTTCTGACTTCTGACCAAGTTCTGATTGACTTGACACCAAGTTCTGATTGATTGGCTTCAACTATTCGATTCAGAAGTCAATTCATTAACTATTCTATTTATTGAAACTCTTTTCTGTCTTTCTAAAGTGATGATGTCCGATCATTCGAGTCTTCCCTCAAAATTCTCGATCGAAGACTTGTTGAAGTGAGTGCGAGTTTTTCGTTTTTCACACTAAAAACCTTCGTCTATTCATTGAAAGCGCTAATTGAGAGCTAAGTGATTATTGAAGTTTTTAGAAAGTAGCTTACCTTTCTAGCTTAAGTTAAAGCTTAAGCTTAAGTTAAACACCAGTTTGATGATCAATCAATCAACTTGACTTTCAGTACCCAAAACGATGCGATTCAAAGGGCGCTGAATCAACGCTTCAAATTCGATTTCAACTTTGCCAAAGCGGACACGTCAACACTTTCGGTGAGTTTAACAAGTTGAGAAATTTGAACAGGTCACTTTCAGCCTTGAGTGCCTCAGGTAGTGCCTCAGCTAGTGCCACAGCTAGTGCCTCAGCGAGTGCCTCAGCTAGTGCCTCAGCTAGTGCCTCAGCTAGTGCCTCAGCTAGTGCCTCAGCTAGTGCCTCAGCTAGTGCCTCAGCTAGTGCCTCAGCTAGTGCCTCAGCTAAAAAACAGCCAAATTTAAGGCAAAAATTGAGGCATGTGTGTTGTGTGAGGCCAACTGCATTGAGAAACGATATTGTAGCGCTGACAGTGATTTAAACATTTCAGGATCTCCCCTCCACCCGTTCACCGTCCGCAAAACGCTCGATTTCCCCACAAACAAGCGCCTCACTTTCCCCATTGACCGCCTCACTTCCAGCGACTCTTTGCGGCACTTCTGGAATTCGTGAGTTTATTTTCGACTTTTAACAATTACATAATACGCATCTCCAGCAGAAATTGAAGAATTTCAGTTGGACTTTTGTTTTGTTTTGTTTTGTTTTGATTTGTTCTAAGAATTTCAGTTGGATCCACCGCTGCCGACGTTCCCTTTTGGTTAATGTCGATCGATCAATCAGCGCTTTTGATGGCACAACGATCCGGTAAGGGTTTGAGATTTCTTTAAAGTTTCATTATTGTATTAGAGATTTTAATCTATAGGAATTATTTCAGTTTTCCCTCAAATCTGGACAAGTGCCGACGCGTTGCGACTGGCTGCCGTCGGGAAATCGTATCGCCGGAGGAAAGTGAGTTGAAAAAGAAGCATAAAATTGTTGCAAATCTTTGAGTGAGAAGCATTCTTTCATCATGTATATATTCTGTGTTTGTCAGGCGCGCACGGTTTTCTCCGATGCTCAGCTGCAAGGCCTTGAGAGACGTTTCTCCACACAGAGATACTTGAGTACTCCAGAGAGAATCGATCTCGCCGAACATCTCAATCTTTCCGAGACACAGGTTGACTAAAGTCTAATCTTTTACTCAACCATTATCAGATTCTAAATTTTAATCTTTACTTAACAAATTTACATGTATTGGTTGACTGTTTTGTTGGTTTTGGTTGAGTGGGTAAAGATGCAAAAGGGTTATCGGAGATTTGCCATTATCAATCTAACTTTGAGCTCAAATTTCTTCGTGTTTGGCTTTTTTAATCTAAAGATTTTTAATCTAATTGAATGCGTTAAGTCTTTTTCTGTCGATTGGTACAAAAACTATTTAAATTGAAAGGCTTAAAGGCAAGATGTTTGAGCTCAAAGTTCGATTGGTAATAGCAAAATGTTGCACAAATTTGTAAAAGTATCAGAAAAAAGAAAGAAAGAAAGTTAAAGGTATTGTTTTACAAAGTAGTGATGCTAACTTTTATATTTTTTTCATTTAAATTCATTTTCAATTTACCGTCACTACTTTGTAAATGACGGTAAATGTAAAACAATACCTTTAACTTTCTTTCTTTCTTTCTTTCTTTCTTTTTTCTGATACTTTTACAAATTTGTGCAACATTTTGCTATTACCAATCGAAATTTGAGCTCAAATATCTTGCCTTTAAGCCTTTCAATTTAGAAAGTTAAAGGTATTGTTTTACAAAGTAGTGACGGTAACTTTTATATTTTTTTTTCACTTAAATTCATTTCCAGGTGAAGACGTGGTTTCAAAATCGCCGAATGAAGCATAAAAAAGTTGTTCGTTGTGGGAAAGATGGAGAAATGATGCAAATAATCGAAGATGATGAAGGAGCAGAGATTTCTGAATAGAGAACATCTCATTTCTTCTTTCTTTTTCTTTTAATTCATCTCAAAATTTACGCTTTATTGATTTATGATTTGTGTGATTCGATAAAAGAAATCATATTAATAAGTTAATGAGAATGATTTTAAAAGTTTTTTGACAAGCAGACAAGCAGACAAGCAACAAAATGATAAGCAGACAAGCAACCAAGCAACACAATGACAAGCAGACGAGCAGACAAGCAACACAATGACAAGCAGACAAGCAGAAAAGCAGCAAAATGACAAGCAGACGAGCAGACAAGCAACACAATGACAAGCAGACGAGCAGACAAGCAACAAAATGACAAGCAGACGAGCAGGCAAGCAACACAATGACAAGCAGACGAGCAGACAAGCAGACAAGCAACAAAATGACAAGCAACACAATGACAAGCAGACAAGCAACAAAATGACAAGCAACCAAGCAACAAAATGACAAGCAGACGAGCAGACAAGCAACACAATGACAAGCAGACGAGCAGACAAGCAACAAAATGACAAGCAGACGAGCAGACAAGCAGCAAAATGACAAGCAGACAAGCAGACAAGCAGACAAGCAGCAAAATGACAAGCAGACTTTAAATCTGTTTATTGAGTCCATTGCTTTATTTTTTCCTTATTTTTATGCTTTATTTTGCTTATTGCTTTATTTTTATACATGAATGTAGGTGTGGAAAGGTTTTGAATGGAAAAAATGGGAAAAGTTTAAAGTTTAAAGGGGTATTTCAGTCTAAAAGTTGTCTCTCAAGAATTGCGATCATTTATATATTATTCAATGTGGTTTTAATCTTCTCTACAAACTACAAACTATTTCCTATATGAAAAAAAACAGGGTTTCCAATCGAGAAATGAAGAAAAACTCCAATTTTTTTGCTGATGATGAAGGGGCAGAGATTTCTGAATAGAGAACATCTCATTTCTTCTTTCTTTTTCTTTTAATTCATCTCAAAATTTGACGCTTTATTGATTTATGATTTGTGTGATTCGATAAAAGAAAAAAACATATTAAATAACTAATGAGAAAGATTTAAAAAGTTTTTGTGCAAAAATGACAAGTAGAATTTAAATGTTTATTGAGTTCATTGCTTTATTTCCTTAACATTTTCATACATAAATGTAAAGTGTGGAAAGCTTTTGAATGAAAAACTGGGAAAGTTTAAAGGGGTATTTCAGTCTAAAAGTTGTCTTTCAAGAATTGCGATCATTTATATATTATTCATGGCGTTTTAATCTTCTCTACAAGCTATTTCCTATATAAAAAACAAGGTTTCCAATCGAGAAATGAAGAAAAATGCAATTTTTTGCTTTCCATCTAACCCTAAAACGTGAAGATTGGGGGCGAAAAGTATATACCGCATTTTCTCTAATATTAGTGCACCCTGAGCCTTGCCTAAATTCCTTGAAATCTCGAGAACCGCTTATCAGAACCTATCGATGTGGGGTCGGAAAATATAGCTGACGATGAGATCTAGTGGAGGATTTGAGTGTTGGACTTCTGTGAAAAATTGGAAACTGTAAAATAGTGATCAACTCGGCTCACCGGGAAATATTAGGGAAATAGATCAGTCTGATCTACTAGCCTAACCTGGAATAATATACCATCTTCTCTCTAATAGTAGTGCACCCTGAGCGTCGCCTAAATTCCTTGAAATCTCGAGAACCGCTTATCAGAACCTATCGATGTGGGGTCGGAAAATATAGCTGACGATGAGATCTAGTGGAGGATTTGAGTGTTGAGCTTCTGCAAAAGCTTGGAAACCGTAAAATCGTCGCCAACTCGGCTCGCCGGGGTGCACTACTATTAGAGAAAATACGGTAAAGGTTTTGTCCAATTGCATTTTAGCACTTGCGTTCTTTTCTTTTGCATGTATTTTCTCAAATTTAATAGCAATCTTAAATGTTTTCTTTGTTTTTTTTTAATAGAAAACATTACATTTACAAAGAATAAGTGAAAACAAGTGAAAACAATTAAACACTGATTTTCCTTTAGCCGGCGAATTCCTTTAAAGCTTTTCCCCTATATTTTTCTACGTTAAATTGTTGAAATGACTTTACTTCAGAAGAATTTCTGTTTTAAAAATAGTCACACAGGTGGCTAAGAAAGTAAAACAATTTTTGAATCATTCGAATCATTCGATCATTTCCTCCAAAAGACAAAGCTCGATTTTATGACTCATGAGCGAAATTCTTTGAAGCTAAAAATTCTTTGAAACTCGCAAAAATCTCTTTTGTTTTTTCTTAAATAGAAAATATTCGATTTTAATTAGAATAATTAGAAAAAAAGGTGGAAAAACAGACTTAAGAAGATATGAAAAAAAAAAGGTGGCCAATCAAAAAAATGAAAAAATGAAAATAAAAAATGCCGAATGAAAAAAACAGTCTTTTCTTATCCCTTTAATCGAGTGTGTTCCTTTGCGAGTAAGGAATTACTCGAGTAAAATTCGCATCAGTCATTTTTACTCGATAAATCGACGTTTTTTGGTCGAGTAACTAGTAATCCTCTTGGTCAAGTAACTGGTAATCTTCGAGTAAATTGAATATCTTTACTTGTGACGGGGAATTTGCGACCAAATCAGTTAAACGGTTGAATATCTTTAAAAGGAGTCGTATATAAGATTTTTTTGCGAATTTTTTTGCAAATTTTTGCAATCATTTTGGGGGTGGGACAAATGCGACCTTTTTTTTGCGCACCTGGACATTTGCGCACCTTTTTTTTTGCTGGAAAAGGCCTTAGGCAAGGCCGTAGAGCTTCGAAAATATTTCCACATAAGGGAATCGTATGCGTAGATTCCGAATTTCGACAAATCAGACCTCGCTGACACGTCAAATTTGGGCTAAAAGGCAAAAACTGCGGAAAAGCGTGAAGTTGCGTAGTTTTTGCCTTTTAGCCCAAATTTGGGGCTTCAGCGAGGTCTGATTTGTCGAAATTCGGAATCTACGTATACGATTCCCTTCTATGAAAACATTTATGAAGCTCTACGACCTTTCCTAAGGCCTTTTCCAGCAAAAAAAAGGTGCGCAAATGTCCAGGTGCGCAAAAAAAAAGAAGAAAAAAAGGTGGCATTTGTCCCACCCCCACTAAATCAGTTAAACGGTTGAATATCTTTAAAAAAGAGTCGTATATAAGATTTTTTTGCAGTCATTTTCTCTAAAAGTACGCTAATTTTTCCTAAGTGTGCGTTTAAAAAAAAAAAAACGCATTACTCGTGAGGAACACACCTCTACACCTTTAATGTCTGAGGACTCTCTCTCTCTTGAAATCAATTCAAAAAAGAAAATCAAGACTCTGATTTGCTTTGATTTTTGGTTGATCTCTTTTAAAGTTTTCAAACGTTTTCAAAAGTTTTCTTTGAAATTTTTTGAAAGCCTTCATCGTCATCTTCCCTTCACCACCAAAAAAAGCTATTTAGTTCCCCATTGAGCTTAGGGTTAGGGAGCCGTCTGTCATGACGTGGGTTAAGTTAAGATATAGCCTAGTATTGTGTGTGTCGTTGTATTGTGATTGATATATTTCGTGTATGCGATAAATTCACCACTGGTAGCCCCAGTCGGTATTTTTAAAGCTCAATTTATAAAAACATTTTTATTTGAGAAAATTTCGAAATTCAACCAAAAATCAAAGCAAATCACAGTCTTGATTTTCCTTTTTTTGAATTGATTCCAAATGATAAGCCAAGTGGCTCCTTTTCAAGGCTTATCACCTCAATTTTGAAGAGATTTTGAAGAGAAAGGAGAATTTCTGGAACAAATTGTAAATCATTTTTTAGTCATAAATTACTAAAATTTTTTACAATTCTTTATTTAAAACAAAAGGTCTTTTTGATTTTTTGTTTATTTTTTTGTTGTCACAAATGTACAATGGATTTGCTAGAAGAAAGCGATCATCGACGAGGCGATATCGGGTAAAATAAATAGAGTTTTTCTTGAGAAACTTGTGCATTCAAGTATATGATTCTGTTTTTTTTTAAATAGAATCAAAAATTTAATCATAAAACTCTAGATACTCGTCTGCTTTGCTCTCACATTTGCGTTGATCTTTATTTATTCAACAAATTTTGTGAATATATCGATGATTGGCGAAAAAAGTGTGTTAATACAAGGGTTGAAATTCCCCTTTCAATGCCCCCTTTTCTTTACAATTTCAATTCTTTCATTTATTATTGGAGATTTTACGCTTAAGCTTAAGAAATTAAGAAGTAATTGCTTGCTTTGCTCTCACATTGGCGTTGATCTTTATTTACTCAACAAATTTTGTGGATATATCGATGATTGGCGAAAAAAGTGTGTTAATACAAGGGTTGAAATTCCCCTTTCAATGCCCCTTTTTCTTTACAATTTCAATTCTTTCATTTATTATTAGAGATTTTAAGCTTAAGGTTAAGAAATTAGGAAGTAATTTGATCGTGAAATGATTTGAAATGTTCAACTTTTTCAAGTAATTTTTTTTCTTTCAATGCTTTCATTTAATTCACCAATTAATCTATAGTTTTCTCGCAAATAAAAAGTGTTTATTGTTTAAATTTCGATCTTTTTAAGTCAATTTGGATTCACTTTCGGGTAAATTCGAGTGAAAAAAACATGTTTTTCGTGCAAAAAATCCAAAAAACAAAGGAATTTGGCTGAATGAATTTCTCTGACAATGAAATATGATATTTGAAAAAAGATCGTCACTTTCCCGTGTCTGTAACTCCCTTGTCTTTACCGTATTTCTAAATATCAATATTACCATTGTGTAGCCCTTGAAAAGAGCTTTCAGAAAATGTAGAACACTAATAGTTTAAACTTAAAGACAAGAGAGTTAGAGACGCGCGAAAGTGACGATCTTTTTTTCAAATATCATATTTCATTGTCCAGTAGTGTAGCTCAGCCGATTTAGCATTTCCTAGCGAGTTCAATCGAAACTCAAAACCCTATCAATACTCATCTTTCACATCTTTCGTTTCTCTCACTACTTTCGCGCGTCTATAGCTCCCTTATCTTTACCGTCTTTCTAAATATTAATATTACCATTGTGTAGCCCTTGAAAAGAGCTTTCAGAAAATGTCAAACACTAATCGTTTAAACTCAAAGACAAGGGAGTTACAGACGCGCGAAAGTGATTTTTTGAAATATGATATTTCATTGTCCAGTGATGTATATACTAAACATTTTATGCTCTTCTTTTTTAATCTATTTTTCTAACTTTTATCTTAAGTTTCTTTAGCAAAATGTCTAAACCCTATCATCGCGTCCTTTTTTTGGATTACCCAACTTTAAGCTTTCACAAAAAAACAAACCAGATAGAACATTTGAAAGCTGTTTTAATGCAGGAGAATCATTGACCATTCTAATGAAATAAAAAAATAGTTTTATTAATGCATTTGTTGGTTTTAAAACAAGAAGAAAAGGTTTTAAAACGAGAAGAAAAAATTTTTCTGCATAGCCTTATTTTTTTTCTTTTAGATTTTGTTCACATTCGCGATGGCCTCTTCGACACTTGTCCACCCTATAATTTCACTTTCAACGATCCGCGAATATTAGAGAAATTGGGAGACGGAGAAGTGAAAAGTGGGGAAATGAATCGAGAAATTGTTTAGATTCTAAAGTGCAACTCTTCAGATTGCACAAAAATCGAATTCCTAACAATATTCGAGAACGGTCGATTGAGAATAAATCAAAATTTTCCCAATTATAAAGATTTCTCTTGTGCAGGCAGGTTTTTAAAATTTTCATTTGAACATTTCAAAATTCGCTTTCAGATGCGCTTTCTTTTACAAGAACTACGAGAATCGAGTCGGCGAATGGTGTGAAACGTTGCAAAAGAATTGCACTTATGAATGCGATGTGATTGAAGTGAATTGCATGAGAGATGGGAAATTGGAGTATATCTTTGCGCACTCGCAAATCTTTGAGTACAAGTGAGTTTAGCGAGTTGTTCTTTGTAAAGAAAATAAAAAAATTTAAAAAAAACACACTCCTTCTGGGGTACTTGATCTCAAAGAGTATAAAAAGGAAGTTTTCATTGTTGAATGCTGAGGATTCAACCAGCTACAATACATTCAGCCGCGATCGAAAGCAAGTCTTCGGCTCACTTTATCGCGAGACTTCATCTCCAAAAGTTAAAGCTGATAGATTCCATCCAGATGTTCACATAATGTTGATCGATTCGATGGGATTGTTTTCTGTGTTGAGGTTGGGAAACTAGGGCAATAGTTAAATAAGGCAATAGTTGAATAGAGCAATAGTTGAACTAGGCAATAGTTGAACAGGGTAGTAGTTGAACAGGGCAATAGTTGAATAGAGCAATAGCTGAGTAAGGCAATAGTTGAATAAGGCAATAGTTGAACAGGGCAATAGTTGAACAGGGCAATAGTTAAACAGGGTAATAGTTGAATGAAGCCATCGTTAAATAGGGCAATAGTTGAATAGAGCAATAGTTGAGCAGAGCCATAGTTGAACAGAGCTAAAATTGAATAAGGCAATAGTTGAACAGAGCAATATTTGCATAGAGCAATAGCTGAGTAAGGCAATAGTTAAACAGGGCAATAGTTGAAATATTCAGACAAATGCCGGAGACAGTTAGATTTCTGAGGGAAGAGCTCGACGCGGTGATATTCGAGCAGTATACACGAACCGCGCCGAACAGTCGAGATAATATGTTCGCAGGGATGTTTGGTAAGAAATTGTTGATATTTTAGCAAATTATTAACCCCAGGTGAGATCCCAATCGATGTGGATCGTCGCCTTTACGAAGCGAAGAATCTCCCGAAAACTCTTCAAGGGGACACGTGTGAGAAACCGGTTGATGACAAAAATTTCATTCAATTCGAGTATGAAGTGAGCACTGAGAAATGTCTTTATCAATCTAGTAATTGATTTTGAAATGGATTTTTATTTGAATGATTTGAATAATGATGTAGAAATAGGCTTTTATAAGGCTAAATTACAGGCTAAATTACAGGCTCAATTACAATCTTTACGATAGCTATTTCTTAGGGTTTTTCTTAAAAAGTTGCAAGATCTTTTTTCAGGATGCTGGCTATAAAACAATGTACGCACAGGACAACTATTTAGTGACTTTCGGCTATCTTCAGTGTCTTGGAGTGATCAACCAAATAGCCACACATTACATGAGGTGAATGCAGCTTTGAGTAATCGGAATAAAGCTTTTTTTAGACCCTTTCAACTCATCGAAATGATTAACAACGATGTGTGGAGTAATAAGTAAATAAAAATCGTCGATTCGATCAACGATAAAAGCTTTTAGACCAATCGGGAATCGTTCCTTTGAAAATGATAATCTCTTGGAGAAATACTTGAGAAATTCGTCACTTTGTCAAGACCCATACAATCATGCATTAGACTATACAGCTAAATTCTACAATTCATACAAAGGTTGAAAGATAAAGTATCTTCTTTTTTTGTTAAAAAGTTCATCAAAGTGTCTTCTTTTTTCGTTAAAAAGTTCATCAAAGTATCTTCTTTTTTTTCTCTTTTGCTAGTGACTTTTTGGTTATGAAGTTATGTCGTTATGTCGTCAAATAACTTGAGATTACTACAATTTAGATAAACCAAAGATGTCAATAATGTGGAGCTCGTTGGCGCATCATGACGAGTTGCCCGCTCGGCAAGCTGATCGCCATTTTGTTGATTTCTTTTTAGAACACAAAGAAAAGGTTTGTGTCGATTTTTGCTGTTTAGTTGAAATCAATTTCAATTCCCCAATGCCAAAAATTCAAAATGCGCATTATTTTTAAAGCGTTATTATTTCAAATTTTAGTTAGATGAATCATTTTTCATCTTCATGAGCGATCATGGTCAACGCTTTAATGCGGTTATTATTCTAGGAATAACTTGGAAAAGTTGTTTTTTTTAAGATCGCCGACACAGAGCAGGGTTTATACGAGATGAACAATGCGGCAATGTTTTTTCTCGTTTCCGAAAAAGTTACGGTAAGTGATGATGTAGCTTACAGAAAGTCTACAGCTTACAGAAAGCCTACAGCTTACAGAAAGCCTACAGCTTACAGAAAGCCTACAGCTTACAGAAATCTTTCTATGCTTGGCACTGAAGCTAGAGATTTGATAAAAGACTACAATAGAAAGGAGTAAAATTTTAGAAACTCTCCTCTACATATGCAAGCAAAAGCGAACGCAAAGCTTCTTTTTACACATCATGATCTCTATGCAACGTTGTTGGATATGATTCGAGTGGGCTTAAAGGGGTGGAAGTTGAATAGAATAAGACGGTAAAACACAAAATGCCTATGCAACAAAGCTTCTGAACAAAAACTCGTTCACTATAGTCATAATTCAAAATAGAGCTTTCCTCAATAATAATAATACTTTATTCAAACGATAAAGTGAAAGAAATCATAGAGAAATGCACAGTGATACTTAATCATACAATACATACTGAAATTCAAAAAGAGATTTCCCAGATTACAGTCTATGCATATTTATAGGCCATATACTGGCTGAAAATTACGTGCTGAAAATTACGGTGGCTGAAAATTAAGTGCGCCAAAGAAAACGTCATAATTTAATTTTCTTTCAAAGAACATGTAAAAATATTTATTTATATAATAGTTGTAACAAAAGCATTTAATAATTACAAGAAATTTTCGAAGTGGCCTCCATCCGCTTTGATACAGGCTTCAATTCGCTTCTTCACAGAATCGACGGTGCGGCGGAGATAATTTGCATTTCCGCCGCACCGTCTCCAATGCGTGGAGATGCAAATCATCTAAATCGTCTCAGATTTTGATCAATTCTCGACGTAAATCATGCAAATTGTTTGATTTTTCAAAAAGATGAGTAGTAATGCTTTATACATTGTTTAAAACTATGTCAGATGCTGCGCGCACGTAATTTTCAGCCACCCTGTAGATGTTGGGTTTTCTGATTGTTTGGATATTATTAGGATATTGTTAGGGTTTTTTTTGTGATTCAGTTCAAGCTCTATTTAGTAAATCTTGCAAAACTTTATTTCAGCTTCAACCGTCGTCGAATTTTTCGGAAACCAAACACCAACACATTGAAAGTATTGAAATTTTATAGAATTTTATAGAATTTTATAGAATTTAATAGAATTTAATAGATTTCCGAAAATCTAGAGACTTTTGGGACTTCTTGGCTTCGAGAAATGCCGCCAAACATGTCGAGGGGATGTCGAAATTTGCCGATTTCAAGTCAATATTGCACTTGCAACTACGGAACAACGCTGCTCAAAGAGTACAAGTTTTTATGATTGAGAAAGCAATCTTTACAAAGATTTATTGAAATAATCTGTTCTTTTTCAGGCACGACAAAGTTTGGGATCGGATTCATTGGATTCTCGATGATGATATGAATGCCTATTTGAAAGAGGGAGGGTTGGAGAAAGTTTGTGAGAAAATGAAAGTCATGAAGGTTTGTTTAGATTGCAAAAAACAATTGCTACAATGATATTAAAACGATTTAACCAATTCAGTTGACCGAAATCTACAAAATGAGCTCAATGGGCAGCTCGTCTTTCTATCGGGTTCTCTTCGAGAGTGTTACCGGCGGGATTTTCGTGGTTTGTTTAGAGCGCAAAGCACAAAAGTTTCTTGATGAGCGCTTTTCGATTGAAAGCTATCTCAAGCTATCTAATTAGCTTTTGAAACAATTTTTAGGTTCAATACGAGTTGACGAAAGACGATGTGCTGAGGCCGTCACCGCGTGAGTGGAAACGTGTGAATGCGTCAGTTTTTTTTTCAGTAAACTTGTTCAGAGGTTTAAGCAAGAATTTCAAAAAGAAAATTGTCTTAATAACAATCCTCAAGTTCTCTATTCAGCTACGGAACAGCGGCTGATTGTCTCCACTCGAAGTATGCTGAGTATAAGCCGATGTGCTATTGCTCGTGATTTTGTCAATTATTGTTATTTTGGGTTATTTGCATAATGTTTTATAATAAATATAGATAAAAGATTGAAAAGAGAAAAAAGAAAAAAGAAATGCAGCTCAATAAATAAGCAAAGAAAACAGTTTGTGAAAAGAAAGAGAAAATGAAAAAGTGTTTGTTGAAAAACAGAAAACTTTTTGCTTTTTTTGAATTTCACAACTTTTTATTTAATTTTATATAAGAATTTTTCTTGTTAACAGTGTTAAAGTCAAGATACTATTGAAAATCGTTTCTTCCAACGCAAAAGACATTCGGGAGAATTTTTGGGGAATAATTAGCTGAGTTTTTCAATTACCTAAACCGGTTGCGGAAATTTCCATTCAAAACTATTCCAATCGAAGACAAAAATCGAATAATGCCCCATTTTTGATTAACAGTAAGTATTCGCAAATTAGCGAGGTGAAAACGATTACCACCCCCATTAAAATAAATTTATAAAAATTTTTAATAGTTCCCTCTTTTTTCCCTTCGGCTGCGGGATGGGGGTCCCCAACTTGTCGAATTACGAAAAACCCTCCGGCGCACCGGAAATGCCCCTCCCCCGCGAGAAGATCCTTTTTTTAAAATATATTTAATTTTTGAATACATTGCCAGTTGTAAAGATTAAACCATGTTCATTCACTGGAAAATGGCACAAATTTGTCACAAAAAAAAAAAAAAAAAAAAAAAAAAAAAAAATCCCTTTAACGAAAAAAAAGAGGAAACCAAAATTAAAAAACCCTCCCTTTAAAAAAAAAAAAAAAAAATACTTGAGTTAAGGGGGATTTTCCGTTAGTGTGGTAGCTTTTCTTGAGCGCACGGTTTAGAAACACGTTCCTGAACACAAATATTGAATCAATGCACAAGTTATTCTGGCTAGGTCGACCTTGAATGGGCCTTTTGAAGATGAGCTTCACAAGTAATTTGGAAAAATTCAAGTTTAAGGAAATCTTAATAAAGTTCCTACTTTTTCAGAGAGAGAATCATCGACACTTTTGCCATATTTGTGCCATGCAGTGCGTTTCAAATTCTTAAACACACCCTCTAAAGTAGCGAATTTTGCATTTTGAACACCGCTACAACTATTAATCTTTTTCTATTAGAAATAGCATGTCTTAAAACCTAAAAAACACGAAAAATAAGCATACTGTAAAAAGTAAAAATTTTCAAAATAGAAACTTTCTGCTAAATCAACCGTTTCAAATTCTTAAACGCACTATGAAAATATTTTTATTTATCGACGCAAATTAACAATCAAAGGTAAAAAATCAAAACTAATAATTTGTACACGCACCAGAACGATTAATTACTTGAAAAATGCGGTCTGGCATTGAATTGAAAAGGTTTTGAAAAGCAAAGACGTCGAGATAGCTTCAGGCCAAACGGATCGCTGTTTTAGGTACAAATATACGTCTTGAAACTGACGATGATTTTTGTAGGCAGCTTGAACAACTATTCGGCATAAATTCCCTATAGGATTAACGTCAGGAGATCGAGCGGGTCAGTCCAAAGTTGCAATGTTGTTGTTGTTGTTCAGCCAGTCTCGGGTCTCTCCGGCTCGATGAATTGACGCGTTGTGGTATTGAAACAAATCGGGAACGGTTGGATTTAGGAGCAAAAACGGCAACAAGCAATTGTTCAAGATATCTATCTAATGATCTGATTCGAAACCATCTTCAGAGCGGCCGTTTCATCAGTACAAAAGGCGGCCCAAACCATCACAGAACCACCGCCAAAGTTTCGAGTTCCAAACACCAACGGATCACGTCGAAGATCCCTCAAATAGTAGCCAATCGGGCTTTTTTGTGCAAAAGCTCCACGACTGGTTGCATGTTCAATAATTGTCGATCGATATGTGGATTTTCCTTGATGGCTCGCCAAATCGTCGACTTCGAAGCGTCGATTTTCCGTTCCGTTTTCACTTCATTGATCGTTTTTCCGTGGATGTTGTTCATAATATGGTGTCTAGCTCGCGGTGCAAGCTTTGGTTTTGGCCCTGGCTTCTTCTTTGGTGAAGAAACGAACTCGAACTTTATATAATTTCGCACGGCAAAGTCGGATCGGCCCAAATTTTTTGCGATTTTCCTTATTGAGTCGCCAATCCTCAAACGGGCACCAATCTGGCTTTTCTCATAATCCGTGAGCAGCTTTCCGTGTGCCATTTACCTGAAAATTAACAAAAATTATAAATTCAATAAAAAAATATTCACAACAAAACGAAAAATTTCAAATAACAACAACAAAGGCGGGTGCGTTTAAGAATTTGAAACGCACTATAGTACCCCACCCCCATAATGACGGTGCGGAGTGTTGCGTAGTTTAGCTTTGAACGAGTTTTTCTCGACACTGGTTTATGCTACAATACGCGCTTAGGTATCAAAAAATAGCCCTGAATTTCAGCTATTTTTTGATACCAAAGACGCATTTTTTGAAAGTACGAGCGCTTTGAAAAAAATGAAATACTAAAAAACTTTTGCGACTACGCGACTGTACGAGGGGGGTGGCGTATTATTACAGTATTTACGGTAGATATTGATTTCTTTTCTAAATCTAGGGGGGTGGGACAAATGCGACCTTTTTTTGCGCACCTGGACATTTGCGCACCTTTTTTTGCTGGAAAAGGCCTTAGGCAAGGCGGTAGAGCTTCGAAAGTATTTCCATATAAGGGAATCGTATGCGTAGATTCCGAATTTCGACAAATCAGACCTCGCTGACAGGTCAAATTTGGGCTAAAAGGCAAAAACTGCGGAAAAGCTTAAGTTGCGTAGTTTTTGCCTTTTAGCCCAAATTTGACGTGTCAGCGAGGTCTGATTTGTCGAAATTCGGAATCTACGCATACGATTCCCTTACGTGGAAGTATTTTCGAAGCTCTACGACCTTGCCTAAGGCCTTTTCCAGCAAAAAAAAGGTGCGCAAATGTCCGGATGCGCGAAAAAAAGGTCGCATTTGTCCCACCCCCAAATCTAGTCCAAAAGTTCATATTTCAGTATTTTTCGGGTAAAATCACCTTAAATTACTTCGAAAATTTGAAATATATTTCGTTTCCATTTTCCTTTTGTGCAAAACTTTTCCCAGATAAGATAGTCAGCATTTAAAAGATGATGTTTATGTTATCATATGAGTAAAGAACCAAAAAAAAAAGTAAAATAAAAGTTTCTTTTCTTTAAAATTGTCTCGAAAAATAAAAACATCAATTTTTAGGGAGATTTGTTGAAAAAGAAAAGTGCAAAACAGAAAAACAGATTGCCTTTTCTTTTCCCTTTTTGTCTTTTTGGGGAGGAGTCACTTTGTACTATAGACAGTATTTATTTAGAGACACTGTTTCAAGGTTTCAAGGAGTTTTATGAAATCTCTATCTGATCTGGTTGTCTGGTTACCGTATTTTCATTTGTCTTCACCTTATTTCATTATTTTTTTCGTATCTTCTAATCAGCTATTGCAATGCAAGAACTAACAATAAGAATTGCTGTTATAAGAATGCGGAAATGACTTATTTTCAATCCTCAATTGCAACATTGTAGAGATACTGTAAAGATCTGCTGCCTCACTACAGTATACCTAGCTACTTTTGAATTAGATCTGCTTAATGAGTCCGGGCAAAATTTTCAGAGACAGTTTGCCTTGCTCTTCGTTTTTTTTTACTGTCCAAAGCTCCTTCGAGCTTGAAACCTAGTTCCCCCTGGAAGCCCTGATTCTAGGCTACATTTTGATACTAAACATGGATAAGTCCTGTTTTGTCATTCTTTAGCTTTCGATCAATCTTTCGCCGGACTCGATAAGTTTAACGAGTCCAGAAAGTCCGGAAGTTTTTTTATTTAAAATGATCGAAATCTAAAGAATGGCAAAACAGAATCTAGCTATGTTTAGTATGAAAATAAAGCCTAAAATAAGGGCTTCCAGGGGTATTGGGTCTCATGCTCGAAGGAGCTTTGGACAGTAAAAAAATAACGAAGAGCGAGGCAGACTGTCTGAAAATTTTGCCCGGACTCGTTAAGCAGGTTTATTTTGAACTATCAATACCTTATTGCTTGTAACAGACTTGCTTACTGTCTTACCTAGTTATCTCTATGCTCAAAATCTTTTCTAGAAGTTCAGTGCGCCAAAAGAAATGTTTCTATCGTTTGAAGAAGGCAAAGTATATGTGACCTTGAGTCTTGAGCAAGATTCTTTCTTCCTAAACATTTATTGTCTATTATTCAATGTTTCTTCTATTCACGTAAACAATACTCCCAAAAATCTATCTATTCTATCAATTTTTTGAATAACACACCGATTTTGATGTCAATTTTCTGGCAATAGAGATGATTTATAAAAAGAAAAAGAGAAAAGAATGGATAAAAAGAGTTTCGGGAATGAGAATGACCTCTCTTTTCTCACTTTTCTCACTTTTCTCACCTGTAAACATTCACAAAGAGTGAGAAAAGATTGTTTTGTTAATATTTTGAAACTAGTTCAGCGATTTGACTTGTTTTTCTGTCTGGTAAGTTATTTGGATCATTTATTTGGAATTGAGATTTGTCTAGTAATTGTTATCTCTTATAAATATTTGATAGATTTAAGATTTTCAATAAAAATTAATTTACTAGCTTTGCAATTGTACACTACTGGACAATGAAATATCATATTCGAAAAAAAAGATCATCACTTTCGCGCGTCTGTAACTCCCCTTGTCTTTACCGTATTTCTAAATATTAATATTACCATTGTGTAGCCCTTGAAAAGAGCTTTCAGAAAATGTATAACACTAATAGTTTAAACTCAAAGACAAGGGAGTTACAGACACGCGAAAGTGACGATCTTTTTTCAAATATGATATTTCATTGTCCAGTAGTGTAGTTCAGCCGATTTAGCATTTCCTAGCGAGTTCAATCCAAACTCAAAACCCTATCAATACTCATCTTTCACATCTTTCGTTTCTCTCACTACTTTCGCACGTCTATAACTCCCTTATCTTCACCGTATTTCTAAATATTAATATTACCATTGTGTAGCCTTTGAAAAGAGCTTTCAGAAAATGTCAAACACTAATAGTTTAAACTCAAAGACAAGGGAGTTACAGACGCGCGAAAGTGGCGATCGTTTTTCAAATATCATATTTCATTGTCCAGTACTGTATATTTTAACATTGCTTTAATACTTCATATAACTTTGAGATTCCTTTAAAGTAAGTTTCACTTTATTTGTCAGCTCTTTGATTGGTCGTTTTTTCTTCTATACTTTCTTTATTTAAAAGTACTATTAACAGTAGTCTCATTTCAGCAATCTCATCAAAAAATGCGAAGCCTTTTGATCCTTTGTGCTGTACTGTATGCAAGCTATGGGCTGAAGTGTTATAAAGATGCGAGCAAAGGTGAAGGACACACAGAGACGGTGAGTTATGCCGCTAATCCTCTAATAGTCCCAAAATGGGCGTACAGTTGCGTAGTACAGTCGCGTAGTACAGTCGCGTAGTACAGTTGCGTAGTACAGTTGAGTAGTACAGTCGCGTAGTACAGTCGCGCAAGTACAGTCGCTAACTTTAAACGTCTCATTCTCTGCTTTAAGCTATAACGTTCGCTTGGGTGTCAAATGATAGCCCTGGTACCAAAAGTGTATTTAGGAAGAAACTAGGAGCGAAGAAAAATGAGTTTCTAAAAAGAAGTTAAACTAGGCGACTGTTCGAGGAAATGGTGTTCTATTAGAGTATTTACGATAGCTGTTAAAGTCGGTTGTACAGTGTACAGTTGGTTGTACAGTCTACATTTGGTTGTACAGTCTACATTTGGTTGTACAGTCTACAGTTGGTTGTACAGTCTACAGTTGGTTGTACAGTCTACAGTTAGTTGTACAATCTACAGTTGGTACAGTGAATCAGCGGATCGGATTTTTTGATTCGATTCAATCGAATTCAAATAAAATATGCGAATAAGAGTTAGAGTTAAGCTAAATTTCAGAAAAAAGAGGTCGAATGCGTTTGCGGGGACTATTGTGTGAAGTATTTTGCCGAGGTGAGAACTGTACTTTTTGGAGTGTTGTTTACAATTGAAAAAAGCTTTTAAACTTATCAATATTGTTCAATAATAATATCAATATCCTGTAATCTTTTAAATGACTCATCTTTTAAGGGAAAAGGTAAAGAGATTGCGAAAGATAAGCAAATCAAACACGAGAATGGACAAGGAATCAATGATGAAGAAGCAGAAGAAGGGAAAGAGAAAGAGAAAGAGAAAACAGTTGTGGAGAAGACAAAGACAGAAAAGGTTTGAAATGAGTGCAGAAGAAGGCTCACCTTTTAACAAACAAAGTTCTGTATCGAGACTGCACTTGTTTCGTTATCTTTTAAACTGAAACACCGAGATTTCATTCACTTCACCGAATCACCGATCTTTAAAAGCAATAACCTCGACTCAACAATTAGAGAAATTATAGAACTAAAGCTTGTACCAAGATCTATTCTTTTTTAACACCAGACTTTGCTTTGCTTGTCAACTGTTGTCAACTGTCAAGAAGGGGAAAGTTTGTATCGAGATTGCACTTGTTTCGTTATCTTCTTTAAACTGAAACACCGATTTCATTCGCTTCACCGAATTACCGATCTTTAAAAGCAATAACCTCGACTCAACAATTAGAGAAATTCTAGAACTAAAGCTTGTACCAACATCTATTCTTTTGTAACACCAGACTTTGCTTTGCTTGTCAACTAATCTGCAAATTATAGTGTTGAAAATTTGCCTAACATTGTCACAAAAAAAGTTCATTAAACAATAAAATCATTTAGACAACAACAGCTCGAGCAGCTAGCTGGGATTGTGGATGCTCTCGAACAGGCGGTTTCCAATCAGATATGTGCAAGGTGGGAATTGGTTTTCAAATGGATAACAACCAGTAGAGTTAATCTAAAGCTAAAGTTACTAACTCTAAGATTCTCTAAAATTTACCTTAGCTATTCCCCGTTAAAGCCAGTAGAAAAGGCGGTTTCCAATCAGATCTGTGCAAGGTGGGAATTGGTAATCAAATGGATAACAGCCATTTGATCATTTGGATAACAGTCATTTGATCTAACAACTAACACTAAAATTCTCTAAAATTTACCTTAGCTATTCCCTGTTTACCTAGCTTTTTTTATTTAGAAAACAAGAAAACAAAAATATAAACAAACCAAGTCAGAACTGGATTACGATAGCTTTTTCTAGGCTCATCTTTTAGCAAACAGTGACTAACAATGACTTTGACTAGCAATGACTTTGACTAACAATGACTTTGATTAACAATGACTTTGACTAACAATGATTTGGACTAACATTAATTATTTCTAAAAACTTTAAAGATACAGGAAGAAGGTCGTGGTGTATTCGGTGAGAATCCCCAATTGGAAGTGACCTGTTGCAAGGGAAATTTGTGCAATGCAGCCGTCGGGAAATTCTCCCTTTTTGCCTCATTGATCTCTCTTTTTGTTTTTTATTTGTGGAAACACTAGATTCATTTCAATAGATTGTATATATTGTTAGTGATTTTGAAGGGGTTTTTTTTTTATAAAAGTTTTTAACATTCACTTATTCCAAAGTGTGCTAAAAAAATGTACAGAAAAATAAATGATTTCAAGAAGATTTCTTTAGAAATGCAGAGAGATGAAAAATTTTTATTTACATTAGAAATTAATGGAATTATCGAAGAGATATCGAAGAGATCGTATAAGAGAAGTTTCCTATCAAGATTGTCATTTTTTTTGAGCGAAGCCAGGTCAGGCAAGATCTGGTTTCTGGCTTGGTGCCGGTTTGCCCTACAAAGATCCGCCAAAAGTCATCAGAACTAGCTTCTGACCTTTGCATTACTTTGAGTAAAGCATAAAGTCCTACCTGGCGGCAAAGCGATACGTGGCAATGTAGCTCATTGATAGAGTGTTCGTCCAGCAAGCCAGAAGTGGCGGGTTCAAATCCCGGCGCCGACCATGTTTTGTATTCCCAGCCTTAGCCCATAGAAGGACTTTGCCTTCATGCCTTGCCTTCATGCCTTGCCTTCATGCCTTGCCATCTTGCCTTGCCTTGCCATCTTGTCTTGCCATCTTGCCTTGCCTTCTTGCCTTGCCTTCATGCCTTGCCTTCTTACCTTGCCATCTTGCCTTGCCTTCTTGCCTTGCCATCTTGCCTTGCCTTCTTGCCTTGCCTTCATGCCTTGCCATCTTGCCTTGCCTTGCCATCTTGCCTTGCCATCTTGCCTTGCCTTCTTGCCTTGCCATCTTGCCTTGCCTTCTTGCCTTGCCTTCTTGCCTTGCCTTCTTACCTTGCCATCTTGCCTTGCCTTCTTGCCTTGCCATCTTGCCTTGCCATCTTGCCTTGCCTTCATGCCTTGCCTTCTTACCTTGCCATCTTGCCTTGCCTTCTTGCCTTGCCATCTTGCCTTGCCTTACCTTCATGCCTTGCCATCTTGCTTTGCCTTCTTGCCTTACCAAGTCAAGTCTGATATGTCCTGTGGCCCAGTTAGAACATTTCTCCGCTATGATATGCAAATTGTTCGCCTCTTGTCAGGTTTAAAAGCGACAATTCGTTTTTCGGGTACTTGATTCTGCTTTGATGATTAACTTTTACCCAATGTGTGCCAAGTTTTGAGTTTTTTTTTTGATGCCAAAGCGATTTTCGAGATCAACCGGTTTGACTCATCATTATCAATCCAAACTTTGAATGGTTTTTTTTACAAAATCTTTCAGAACAAGCATAAAATTTTCGACCGCAAATACAAGAAAGGTAAACATTGGGTTGATGTGGAAATTTTTCGGGAACAAAAAAATGACAAATCGGCTTTGAAAAAGTTTGGCATTTAAAGTCTGAGGTCTAAATTTTGCAGCTTCACTTTTAAGGTTTTTTTTTTTATTTTGCGCGGCCGATTTTTGACACTTTCAGAAAAACACGCATTCACAAAATGAGTCAAATCTCGGCACTCACATTTCTCTTTTTATTCTTTTTCTCGACAACAACATCGTTGAAGTGTTACGAAGATGAGAGCACGACAAAGCATCATTCAGATAAGGTTGATTTAAAGCTAGTGATATCGAAAAGATTTCTTGGATTGGAAAAATCAGATCACAAAGCACTTAACATTGTTATAATTTATATATCTAGAAAAAGGAGGTCGAGTGCGCTTGCGGAGATTATTGTGTGAAATTCTATATCGAGGTGAGTTGTTGATGGTTGATATGAGTGTAAATCATCAATCATTCTTCTTTCTTTTTCATTTCATTTCTTTAACCTAAAGATAACCCTTTTGAAAGTTGATAAGCTTTAAGAAAAAACAGAAAAAGTAAAGAAAAAGTAAGTAATAAAGTAAAGATTCTGAATTTCAGCTTGAACTATGCATTTGATCTAAAGCTAGCTATATTGCAAATGAATGCATAAACATATTATCTTAGATCTTAGATCTTAGAACAACTATTTAGAGAAAGGTAGCCAAAAAAAACCTAAATTCCGTAATTTAGGTAAGCCGTTCAAATCCAGACCACATTTTTATGCATTTACTTGCAATATAGCTAGCTTTGAGTGAAGCTACAGGCCTGGCTACTGGCTTGGCTTCACGAATTGAGCTTACAATTAAGTTAACCAGCTTGAAATATCATTGATTATCGTCTTTTCCCTCTCAAAAACCCTGACCGCTTTCGTGTGATGCTCATTCGTGTTCGAATCGACCCAATTCTGAATTTCAGCTTGAACTATGCATTTGATCTAAAGCTAGACGATAATATTGCAAATAAATGCATAAAAATATGGTCTGGATTTTGAACGGTTTACCTAAATTACGGAATTTAGATCTTAGATCTTAGAACTACTATTCAGAGAAAGGTAGCCAAAAAAAAACCCTAAATTCCGTAATTTAGGTAAGCCGTTCAAGTCCAGACCACATTTTTATGCATTTATTTGCAATATAGCTAGCTTTGAGTGAAGCTACAGGCCTGGCTACTGGCTTGGCTTCACGAGAATTGAGCTTACAATTAAGTTACTTACAATACTAATGAGTCAGCAATGTGAAATCTCAAAAATTTCCTTCTAGATTCGTAAAAATCTAAGAATTCTAATGAAATGATGTAATATAGGCAATGGGAAAAGAGGGTTCACAATGGGGATGCGGATGTTATAATGAGGTCGAAGGACAAATCAATATGTGTCAGGTGAGGAAAGGAATTCTATTTTTACGTTGATATTTATGAGAATTGAAAATAGAATGGTACTTGTCGGTTATAAATTCACAAAGACTCATCTCGGTCATCAGCATCTCCATCCGAGTCCTCTCGGTTATCGATTTTCATTCGACTCATCGACTGATCACTTCAGACTAATCACTAATCACTGTTGTCAGCTCCTTGTTTAACCAGAGCTGAGTCTCTGTGGATGTATAACCGACAAGTACCGTAGAAAGTTCGCCTGATAAGCGAAAGGTTGCTGGTTTGAATCCGGAGTCGATGTGCCATTCCCAGCCATTCCCAGCCATCAAAAAACTGATATAACCGACAAGTACCAAAGGCACTTAAACACTGCTAAACTCTGGGCAAAGAGAATGCAAATCACAGTAATCAGTGAGCAAATTCCAAAGCATAAAGGTGATCAGTCAATTGTTAATTTCGAACTGTTTTCAGTACTTTATGAATAAGTTTTCATTTAGCAAAAAGGTCGCGATGTTTGGGGCACCGATCCAGAGATCGAGGTCGACTGCTGCACGGGGAATTTGTGCAATGGATCTGTGACAAGGCAACACTTTTTCCTCGTCTCATTCCTCACATTTGGGTTTTGTTTCTTTTTCTTTGGAAAATAAATAAATAAATGATTCTTTTACAAGTTTGGAAAGATTAATTTGTTGATTTTTTTGATTTTTTGATGAGAAAAAAAGATTTTTTTTGATTTTTTAATGAAAAAAAAAGAAAATAATGACAGCTCATCGCTCAGAAAAATCCGGAAATACATAAAGATTCGTTTTTAGTAAAAAAAATAAAAGATTGAGAGGAAAATTGATAAGAAAAAAAGGACCGTAATGTGGCTTTCTTTGATAGATTTTTTTTAATAGAGAAAATTTTCGAAAGTCCAAGTAAAAAAACAATAAAAGTGATGAGTAAATGATAAAAATTCTTTGTCGATTAAAAAGCTAAATAAAAGGATGATAAGTTTAGCGTTTGGTCAGGTGATTTCACTCATTTTGAGTCGAGTTTTTAGCTGATTTACAATTTGCAAAGCTACCCTAGCTCTAGATCTTGATTCTTTATAGAGACTAGCTTAGTTGATGCTACAATATTCCTTGTGACGACAGTAAACTACTTGATTTTAACGGCTAATTGAGCTGGTGATGATGTTTTAAAGTGTTAAACGAGTTCAAAAAAAAGTTCTTTGTTTTTTGATTGATTGATTGATTCGAATTCATGTTTTCATTTGTTTTGTGGAAAGTTAAATCGTTTAAAAAAGAGTCTACTGAATGAATGAGTTAACAGAAAGGAAAGTGAGTGTAAAGTTAACGTATTTTTTAAGGTAACGATTAGAGTTTGTTCCTCGCGAGTAATGCGTTTTTTAAAACGCACACTTGGGAAAAAATTACCGTATTTTTAGCAAAAATTATTGCAAAAAAATGACGAGCCCCACATTATATAGGACACTTTTTAAAGATACTCAGCCGTTTAACTGATTTGGTGGGAAATTCCCTCCTTCCAATGTAAAAACGATTTTTTTTTTGAAAAACCTGGGGGGTGGGACAAATACGACCTTTTTTTTGCGCACCTGGACATTTGCGCACCTTTTTTTGCTGGAAAAGGCCTTAGGAAAGGTCGTAGAGCTTCAAAAGTGTTTTCATAGGAGGGAATCGTATGTGTAGATTTCGAATTTCGACAAATCAGACCTCGCTGACACGTCAAATTTGGGCTAAAAGGCAAAAACTACGCAACTTAACGCTTTTCCGCAGTTTTTGCCTTTTAGCCCAAATTTGACGTGTCAGCGAGGTCTGATTTGTCGAAATTCGGAATCTACGCATACGATTCCCTTATATGGAAGTATTTTCGAAGCTCTACAGCCTTGCCTAAGGCCTTTTCCAGCAAAAAAAAGGTGCGCAAATGTCCAGGTGCGCACCTTTTTTTCCGCACCTTGCCCATTAGTGCACCTTTTTTCGCGTATTAAAAAAGCTCTAAAAAGCTAATATTAACCAATTTCTATTCCAAAAGTTGTTTTTCTAGGTAATTTTAGGGCGTAGAATCGAAATTTTGACATATCAGAGCTTGTGGAAACAAACGGACGGAGTTATACAAAGAGGAAAATCGACAATTTTCTGTAATTTGATCTAGCCGTTTTGTCTTTGAAATTGGTTCCACAAGCTCTGATATGTCAAAATTTCGATTCTACGCCCTAAAATTACCTAGAAAAACAACTTTTGGAATAGAAATTGGTTAATATTAGCTTTTTAGAGCTTTTTTAAAACGCGAAAAAAGGTGCGCTAATGGGCAAGGTGCGGAAAAAAAGGTGCGCAAATGTGCGGGTGCTCAAAAAAAAGGTCGCATTTGTCCCACTCCCAAAATTATCGCAAAAAATGACGCAAAAATGACGAGCCCCGCATTATATACGACACTTTTTAAAGATACTCAGCCGTTTAACTGATTTGGTCGGAAATCCCATCCAATGTAAAAAGTGATTTTTTTTTTGAAAAACCTGCGCAAAAAATTGCTTTTATATTTTTTTCGCGCAGGCGCACTTTTTAGAAAACGCATTGCTCGACAATTACTCATGCAAATTTACTCGAGTAATTACTTACTCGCGAGGAATACACTCTATTAAAAGTTCCATGTTTGAAAAGTTTAAAAATTGTTCTCTCATTCTGAACAATTCAGTAAATTCAATTCAATAACTCAATCGTTTAGACTAAAAGTGTAAATTTGCTAGCTTTCTAGCGGATAACCAAAAAAAACTGTAGAAATGAACTTTACAATCTAACCAAAAGAAAAATTTTATCAATGATACAACAGCTTTTTAGAATATTTCTTCTTGAAAAACCTTTTAACTAAACATAAGACGACTCAAACGTTGAATTTTTTGACTATTTCTACAGCGATTTCCCTTACTATTGAGATCTTTAATGATTCAGAAAATAAACTAAAACTAAAAACATAAAAATATTTAGATATGAACATTTCAAAAGAATCAGCTATTTGAATCGACTTGAGGAGAAATATTATGAGAATGTGTACGTGATTTCTTTTCTTGATTTGATTTCGTGATTTGATTTCTTCTAAAAACACCAATTTTCTAGAAACAATGGATCTGTGGTTTTCGAGATAAAACATTTTTTGAGTCATTCTCAAGATTTGAATAAACAAATCATTCGCCCATTTTTATCGATGTATTACCTTAGATATCATTACCTTAAGTATCATTACCTTAGATATAATTACCTTAGATATCATTACCTTAGATATAATTACCTTAGATATCATTACCTTAAGTATCATTACCTGCCGTTACCTTAAAGAATATAATAAACTAAACACTTTTCTTTCTGTTATGTGTGATTTCAAATTTGAAACTCTTCTGATGATTTAAAGACTTTCAAAAGAATATTTCTATTGTTCTAGATGAGATCCACAATTGCTTTCTGCTTTGTTTTGTTGCTCGTTTCGGTGGAGGCGCGAAAATGTTGGAGCGATGTTAGTAGCGATGGGAAACACACGAAAAAGGTACATTTCTTGAGTACAAGTTCGGCTTTGTTCTTAAGATTTTAAAATAGAATTCGAGAATATCACAAATTTCAGAAGAAAGCTGTAACGTGCGACTGTGGAGATTATTGTATGAAAGTTGGAACAGACGTGAGTTGGAAAATGAGGAGAACAGTGTAAAGATGCAGATTTAGCTTGGGGGCTATGGCTGGGGCTGCTCGTGTTCAGCTGGAGGCATTGACCTTTGTCCGGTGAGAGTTTTCGAGAATTTCATAGCTTTTCGTTAGAGTTTTTCTTGAATTGGAAATTCCAGCCGGATTCTAGAAACTCAGGCGAATCTAGGGATTTGGCCAAGGCTAGACCAAGTTTTTTATCTATTTAGGTCCGGATCTGGCTTCGTTCTAATGACCTAACAAAAAAATAATCAAATAATCAAATAATCAAATAATCAAAATTTCTAGAATGACCAGAACGCCGTGCCGAACCTTTGGTGCTGCAAGAAAGACAAATGCAATAGCTCGAGTCTCGCCTCTTTCTCTTTCACCATTCTCTTCGTGATCTCAGCTTTCCTCTTAAAGTATTAGTCAATAAATGCAATAAATATCTTTACAAATGTAAAAATAACGGTTACCATCAAGTTCAACGCCAAGAAATCGATCTGGAACAGTGATTTTGGGGGAAAATCGAAAGTATTTCGATCACTTTATCACAAAAAAAACTCGGGATTTCCGGTGGAGAATTTTTCTCCAAACGCCCACGCTTTGCAATTCTTGAATTCTTGAATTTCGTGATAAAACGGAGTACATTCGTGGTTTTCTCTTGAGTGAACAAAGAGATTTCTCATCATTTTCTTTCTCTCTTTTTGGCTTTAAAGAAAAATGACTCACAAAAACACTAGATAAAACTTGGAAAGTTTTGCTGAAAAATGGAAATTGATAAAGGAAACTGATATTGGAAACTGTCTCACTTTTAAGAATTGCTGAATTGAGCACGAATTGCTGAATTGCTAATTTCTCACATTCACCATTTGGCATTTGAATTTTTCAACAAAATTTTCGCTTTTTTTGCAACTGTCTGACGCAAAAATTTCGATTTTGACTCCTAAAACTCAAAAGATTTTTTGAGGGTTTGATTTGATGACAAAAACAGATCGAGAATTGTTCCAAGCAAGCCCTAGAAATGCATAAATTTAGCTCTGCATTTAGTGTTGATATCGCTCAAGCCAGTCAAGTCCAGGCTAGACCTGGACTTGACCTAATCCGGAAGAAATTACCCTAAAGTCGCGAGTGTAAGTTCTGTTTGGTTTTCGCATGCAAATTGACGGCTGTCATGCAAATCGACGGTGTGTCGAGGGTTCGAACCCCGCTGCAGCATAACTTTTTTGCTTTTAAGAACAATAGAAGTAAATTTATTGAGGGTTATAGCAATTTTATGCTGTTATTTGTTGCTCCGGGCGTGGCTCAGCGCGTCCGCCCTGCTCCTCTCCGGTGCTCAGTCTTATGGATCCCTCCCTGGCCTCTTCATCCGGCCAAAGTCCACGTCGACGGTCGAAAGAGATGCTTTCCAGCGTCTTCTTCAACACTATCGTCTGGATGTATCCATGCACATAACAAATAGCAATGGTCATAGGCTGTCACCCTGTAGTATCCCGCGCTCCAAGAACAATAATAAAAGTTTATATAACAATAAAAATGTATAAAAACCTTATACTCGCGACTTTAGGGTACTTTTTTTGGAACAGCCATTACCTTATCTCATCAATATTTTTGACTTGATAGAAGCTAAATTTGTGTAAAAATCTTTTAAGCTATTAGGTGACTTTTAGAAATGAAGATTGCTATTGGTATTTTGATTTCCTTGACACTCATCTCTTCGACGATCGCCTCGAGGAAATGTTGGGCCGATTCGAACACGAATGAGCATCACACGAAAGGGGTCAGGGTTTGAAAAGGGAAAAGACGATAATCAATGGATATTTTAGAAGGAAATTTTTGAGATTTCACATTGCTGACTCATTAGTATTGTAAGTAACTTAATTGTAAGCTCAATTCTCGTGAAGCCAAGCCAGTAGCCAGGCCTGTAGCTTCACTCAAAGCTAGCTATATTGCAAATAAATGCATAAAAATGTGGTCTGGATTTGAACGGTTTACCTAAATTACGGAATTTAGGTTTTTTTTTTGGCTACCTTTCTCTGAATAGTAGTTCTAAGATCAGTTTTAAATCAAATGCATATTTCAGACTGAAATTCAGAATCTTTATTAGACTAAAAGAAGTTCAAATTTTTAGAAACGCGAAGTGACATGCGACTGCGGTGACTACTGTGTGAAGTGGCAGTACATGGTGAGAGTTTTTTTTGCTTTTCAATTCAATAAATTCGATAAGATTGATATTAATCGAAACCCGGAACTTTTACAGGGTGTTTATACGTGGGGTTGCTCGTGTTCGTCGGGTGTGTCGGGTGATCTGTGTCCATCCACTGAAAAGGTAGGTAAACTCTTCAGCTATGCCTCGAAATTTGGAAAGTGAACTAGAAATAGAAATACATAAAATTGCAAAAGGCTTTTGAAAAGCATAGTATAAACTGAAAATTTCAGGCCACTCCTGTCGGCACTTTTTACTGTTGCAAAGGGAATAAATGCAATGGATCGACAAGTGCTTTCAATGTGATGATCATCGCTTTTCTCTCGTCAATCTCTTTGTATTTTTTATGTTATTGAAAATTACATAAATATTAATTATTTTCATAAAAAGCTCTAGAATCAAGTAAATTCCGTAAACGGAGATTTTGTAGAAGAATTTGGATTCAAATCAACGAGTAGATAAGATTTAAAGGGTTAGAAAAAGAGAATACATCTAATATTGAGATCCTTTTCATATTTTATAAAGTTTATTGTATTAAAAGCAATTGGAATTTATTGTTTATAGCTACAGTTTATAACTACAGTTTATAGCTACAGTTTATAGCTACAGTTTATAGCTACTGTTTATAGCTACTGTTTATAGCTACTGTTTATAGCTACTGTTTATAGCTACAGTTTATAGCTACAGTTTATAGCTACTGTTTATAGCTACTGTTTATAGCTGCTGTTTATGTTTATAGTTTATTGTGTTTTTCATTATTAGTTGATTGTTTTTAACGTTTGCTGGGATAATTTTAAAACACTGTTTTTATAGTAATATTTTCACAATGTTTTAAACAAATTAAGCTTTTTATGCAAAAGTATTTTTTGAACCGTAAAATCTAATGGAAAGAGTTGAGAGTTATTGCGAAGATCGAAGCTATCTTAAAAATTGAAAATCAAAAGCTCGAGTGTAGCAACTTTCCTCTTTTTAAGTGTGTTATCTTGGGAATGTAATGATTCGTTTGAAATTCGTTTGAAATTCGTTTGAAATTCGTTTGAAATTCGTTTGAAATTCGTTCGTTCACTTGTCACTTTTCCACTAGATCACCAAGGAAATCGATCTGAAACAGTGATTTTGACTATTTTTTTCATATTTTTTGCAGAAAAAATGAAAAAATGCTGAATTTTGCGAGTCGATTTAGACAGATTTATGTGCATTTCGTTTTTGAGAACTTTGAAAGGAGTGAGTCAACGATGATAAGAAAGGGAAAGCTTGACGTAAGAAGAGAATTATTAGCTATAGCAGAAGAAATACCAGTGAAAATGATTTCACGAGTTTGTGGAAAATGGAAACGTTTTGGTTTTCGGCCTTTAAATATTGATCCATTCAATTGACTACTTTTTTTTATTATTTTTACTATTTTTGTACTAAAAGATGAGTTAAATGTGTGAAAATTCAGATTTCAGCTATGAGCGTTTTAAAATTGGCTTTGATTTTCTTGACGCTTGTTCCAACGCTGGCTACGCGAAAATGCTGGTCGGATTCGAGCACAGATGAGCATCACACGAATTCGGTTCGTTTTTTTTTTGATTTTTCTTTTTTTAATGCAATGTATTTTAAAATCTAACTCTAACGTTGGTATTGAAATCTTTTTTTTTAAAATATGACTATCATTTCAATGACTCAAATAGCCATTTGAAGGGTTTTTTGTTGTGATTTCAAATGAGTTTGATTTGATTTTTTTTGATCAATTTGATTTCTGATTTGCTTATACTTTTGAAAAAGGAGATCTCGATTAATTTACCTGCTAATAATCTTAATTTAAAGTTATTCTTTCAGAAAAAAGAAATCACGTGCTCGTGTGGTGACTATTGCTACAAGTGGAAGAGTCCGGTGAGAAATGTTGAAAGCTTTTCAAATTAAGAGATTTATGTTGATTTGAGTGTACAGATCAGTACAGATCAGCCATTCCTAACACTTGTTTCTTTTGAATTCTTTGAAGTATTGTTCAAAAAAACATTTAGTGACAAGAGAAATTGGTAATAGACAAAATTTTAAAAAAACAATCAAACTCTGATCAAAAAGATTTTTATCGTTAATTGAAGACGGCTGAACAATTGGATTTGAAATCTTTCTTTTTATAGCCATCAAATGGGAAAGAGATTGAATCGAAGAAGTGCTTCGATTGATGAACAAGTAGAAAATTTAAGCCCAAAAACAATACTGTAAAAGAGCTAAATATTGAAATGGAAAGCTGGATTGACATTTATCAAAAAAATACACCGTTTTCTGTTAGTAATAAGTACTGAATTCTGAATCGAAATGTTTATAGATCACTGGATTTTAGACGGCTTTTAAGAGCGCTAAAAAGATGACACTTTGTTCTTCTTTCTCGTGATAATCCCTGTGATTCCTAAAAGAGTTTTTATTGAAGCAATAACTGTAAAGATTTTATGAAGTGATGAGTAAACGAATTGAACTCCTTATCAACTTTTATCTAAAGGATTCCTTCGAGAATGAGTCAATGAGGTGAAGATCACTTTTTTGGTGATCAAAGGGATAAATTTCAGCATTTTTTTTTGTTTACTTTTAAGTGATTTATAAAACAAAGAGATTGTTATACTTTGAAAGTGCCGCCCGCTAGTGTCCCCATTGCCATTGGCAATCTACTGGCAATATTGCCATTTTCTCGCTATCTACTGGATCAATTTTTATGATTTTTGTATAATTTGATGCGTAATTTAATTCTCCATCAAATTATACAAAAATCATAAAAATTATTTCAGTAGATAGCGAGAAAATGGGGAAATATAGTAGGGTTGCCAATGGGAATGAGGAGATTAGGGGGTGGTTTGCTGAATGTATAGAGATTCGACGTTTTCAGATCGGTATTTACACGTGGGGATGCTCGTGTTCGGCTGCTGGCGAAATGTGTCCGGTGCGTTTGAAAATTTCACAAGGCTTTCAAAATTCAAAGTAGTGCAACCCTTTTGAGTAAACCATTTTCGGTACTACCGTATTTTCTCTACTAGTAATGCACCCAAGCGAGCCGATTTAGGCGAAGCTTTGGGTACACTACTACTAGAGAGAAGACGGTATATTATTCCAGGTTAGGCTAGTAGATCAGACTGATCTATTTCCCTAATATTTCCCGATGAACCGAGTTGGTGACTATTTTACGGTTTCCAAGCTTTCGCAGAAGTCCAACACTCAAATCCTCCACTAGATCTCATCGTCAGCTACATTTCCCGACCCCACATCGATAGGTTCTGATAAGCGGTTCTCGAGATTTCGTGGAATTTAGGCGAAGCTTACTGTGCACTACGATTAGAGAGAGGTATTTATACTCTATCATTGCATTGCTAGGGTACTGTTGTCGTTCATAAAGTAGCTATTCAACTAACAAATTGTATCAAGTATCAAGTATCAAGTATTTTACGGTTTCCAAGTTTTCCCAGAAGTCCAACACTCAAATCCTCCACTAGATCTCATCGTCAGCTACATTTCCCGACCCCACATCGATAGGTTCTGATAGGCGGTTCTCGAGATTTCGTGGAATTTAGGCGAAGCTTTGGGTACACTACTATTAGAGAAAATAGGGTAGTTTTTTTTATTCTTCAAAACCACTTTTTCTAGGGGTCCTTTTATGCGTAGTTTCCGAAAAAAACCCGACGAGAGCTTGGGAAAAGGCGTTTTAAGCCAAGTTTCTGGGTTCTTCAAAGTACAAAGCACTCATACAGTGTGATTAGAGCGATACACATAGGCAAGAGGTCTAAAAATCGTCAATCGTCTCAAAAAACATTTTTCGAAGCCAAAAGCACTTTTTCTGACATAATTTAACCTACTGATTACATTTCTGATCAAATTGAAGCAAAATAAAAAGAAATCTTTTTTTTTTTCCAAATTTCGATTATGTGGTCCCCCACATGAGTCAAAATCTCAAACAAAAACAAAATTTTCAATTTCTTTTGCCTCTACCAGTTCATTTAAGTTAGAAAATGAATATTCAGTGGTTAAATAATGGTTTTCGCTTTAGTTTTAACCTTGAAAAGTGCCCAAATAGTCTACAGTTTGGGCTCCATATAGAAGACTAAAGAAGCGCGCACTTTGAAGCCCAGAAACTTGGCTTAAAACGCCTTTTCCCAAGCTCCCGTTGTGTTTTTCGGAATCTATGCATAAGACTACCCCAGCAAAAGTGAATTTAAAGCAAAAAAAAAAGTGCCCCCCCCCCCGTTGTAAACTAGTGCCGGTAAATTGACTCATTTCTTATAACGTGCAACTCGGCTTATATTCACTTTGAAGCCCCGAAACTCGACTTAAAACGCATTTTCCCGGGCTCTCACTGTGTTTTTCGGGATCTACGCATAAAACTAGTCCAGAAAAAGTGGTTTTGAAGAAAAAAAAAAACAATATAGACTATACTAGTCTTAGTAACCGATTTTCTAAAACGGATCACCACAAAAAACTACAGTACTTTCGCAAAGCTACAGTACTTTCTCAAAACTACAGTACTTTCTCAAAACTACAGCACTCTTGACTCGATTTTCCATTCAATTGGCTACTTTTTGATCTGAATTGAAAGATGTAATGAAAGGTGTGAATAGATTCGATAAAAGTTGAGATCAGATTACGGTAGTTGAGAAAGAAGGCACACTTTAGCTTGAAAATCAACTTTAACGAGACAAAAATTTACAGGGTAACGTTCTCGGCACGATCTATTGCTGCAATAAGAACAAATGCAATGGATCGACAAGTGCCTTCAATGTGTCGATGATAGCTTTTCTCTCGTTGATCTCTTTGTATCTTTTCAAAAGTGATTAAATATTTCTGACTAGGGGAGAGGCACAAAAAAAAGCAAAATGAACAGAAATCTGTCTGAATGTCTGAAATTTAGCAATTTTCTGTAAAAATATGAAGAAATGGAGAAATTGTTGACTGTTCCTGATCGATAGAATGAGTTTGACACGGGGAATGATCGCTAGAATGGAATGATTTTCACGGGGAATGATTTTCTGTGGACGTCTCAGTCGCCAGATATTTGGCCGCAAAGTTTTTGCATTGGAATTTAGGACACTCTCTAGCGGAGGCGGAAAATCGATCGGTGGTGTCGAGGTGACGCAGCGGATTCATAGGCACACGATCATGGCTCGAGTCCGGCTAGTCTCAAACGTTCTTGCTTCTTTTCTAAAAGATCCAGGCATTTCTTTAGCTAAGGTGTCTAAACCGCATCATCGAGTTAGCCCTTTTTGACTACCCGACTTCATACTCTCAAGAAAATCCAGGCATTAAATATTTTTAAACCCGTTTTAATGTTATTTTGCAGAAAAATAATTGCTTTTTCTAATGAAATCAACCGTAGTTTAATTCGTGCATTTGTTGGCTTGAAACGGCAGACGAAAAGGAACAAAAACACTTATGCATCAACCTATTAGATTGATTCAAGATGATTTCAAGATGCTAGATTGATTCAAGCTGATTTCAAGATGCTAAGGCAGAAGATCTAGATTCGAGCTATGATATCTGTCCGTTAAGTGAATAAAACCATTTGTGATCCTTTGCGTTCTCAAAAACCGCCGAAACACACCCCCGTCTGGCATAGTCGATACAACGATTTGGTGTATCGAGAAAAGTGGATGGGAAGGATAATGCCAGAAAGGATGCGTTTCTAGATTTGACACGAGTAGATGCATAAAAACGTCTTGAAACTCTCAAAAACTCGGCCTTTTTGAAAATATCGTACATTGACATGTACTTTTGAAATGCTAGAAACACACTCGTTCTGGCGTACCGTTCTGGCGTATTTATTTAGACGAGCAAAGAAATTGATGAATCAGGCTCAATTGAATGGATCAATTGGGTCAATTGTGTTCACCTTGCGCTTTGAAAAATCGATCGAAACATGTATATTTCGATTTTCAAAGCCCAAAGTGAACTTCAAAGCCTTTTTAAATCAATTCTAGTGTACTCATTTTGATATTTATCTTTTCAGAAATACGTTTGAAAAAGGAAAAGTCTAGTCTACTTTTGAAAATGCTAGAAACACACTCGTTCTAGCGTACCACATTTATGTAGACGAGCAAAGAAATTGATCAAGCAGGCTTTTGGGTTTACTTTGCGCTTTGAAAAGTCGATCGAAACATGTATATTTCGATTTTCAAAGCGTAAAGTGATAACTGTAAAGATTTTATGAAGTGATGAGGAAACGAATTGAACTCCTTATCAACTTTTATCCAAAGAATTACCTCAAAGCCTTTTAAAATCAATTCGAGCGTACTCATTTTGATGAATTGTTTGTTATGCTGAAATGCTGAAATGCTGAAATGCTGAAATGCAAAAAAAATGCTGAAATTTATCCCTTTGATCACCAAAAAAGTGATCTTCACCTCATTGACTCATTCTCGAAGGAATCCTTTAGATAAAAGTTGATAAGGAGTTCAATTCGTTTACTCATCACTTCATAAAATCTTTACAGTTATTGCTTCAATAAAAACTCTTTTAGGAATCACAGGGATTATCACGAGAAAGAAGAACAAAGTGTCATCTTTTTAGCGCTCTTAAAAGCCGTCTAAAATCCAGTGATCTATAAACATTTCGATTCAGAATTCAGTACTTATTACTAACAGAAAACGGTGTATTTTTTTGATAAATGTCAATCCAGCTTTCCATTTCAATATTTAGCTCTTTTACAGTATTGTTTTTGGGCTTAAATTTTCTACTTGTTCATCAATCGAAGCACTTTTTCGATTCAATCTCTTTCCCATTTGATGGCTATAAAAAGAAAGATTTCAAATCCAATTGTTTAGCCGTCTTCAATTAACGATAAAAATCTTTTTCAGCTTTCAGAGTTTGATTGTTTTTTGAAAATTTTGTCTATTACCAATTTCTCTTGTCACTAAGTGTTCTTTTGAACAATACTTCAAATAATTCAAATAAACAAACAAACAAACAAATAAACGAATAAACTAACAAACAAACAAACTAACAAACAAACGAATTAACAAACAAACAAACTAACAAACAAACAAACAAACAAACAAACAAACAAACTAACAAACAAATAAACAAACAAACAAACTAACTAACAAACAAATAAACAAACAAACTAACTAACTAACAAACAAACTAACTAACTAACTAACAAACTAACAAACGAATAAACAAACTAACTAACTAACAAACAAACAAACAAACAAACAAATAAACTAACAAACAAATAAAGAAACAATAAATTCCAGAATCCTTTATCAAAATGCGAATCGTCTTTGTGTTTGCTGTTTTCTTTTTGGCGATTGAGTCGGCAAGAACATGTTGGTCAGGCAATAGCTTTACTGACAGTTTGAGTTGGAGTAGCGTGAGTCTTTTTTCTAAAACTTTTCAACTTTAACAAATCTTTTCAATATGATCTTCTCAACTTTCAGCGTAAGAGTCAAACGTGTAGTTGTGGAAAAGGTTGCGCGAAATACTACAATGTGGTGAGAAATGAAAATCATTGACAAAGCATTCAAAAGCTTTAGGATCAACAACAATGGTATTGGGGTTGCTCATGTTTCTACGACTATAATCAACAAAAAGATGTGGAATATTGTCCGAATGGGGTGAGTGAGAGGATAAACGATAAAAACTAAATAAAGGAACTCTAATCTAGACTGAATAATCTAATCTAGACTGAATACCGTAATCTAGACTAAATACGGTGATCTAGCTATTCTAGGCTGAATATCCTATTCTAGATTGAATACCGTAATCCAGACAGTCCAGACTGAATACTCTAATCTAGACGGAATACTCAAACCTAGACTGAATACCCTAATCTAGACTAAATACCGTGACCTAGCTATTCTAGACTGAATATCCTAATCTAGAATGAATAGCGTAATCCCGACAGTCAAGACTGAATACTCAAATCTAGACTGAATACTCTAATCTAGACTAAATACCGCAATCTAGCGATTCTATACTGAATCTACTATTCTAGATTGAATACCGTAGTCCAGACAGCCTAGACTGAATACTCTAATCTAGACCGAATACTCTAATCTAGACTGAATGCTCCAATCTAGATTAAATACCCTAATTCTGCTATTCTAGACTGAATATCCTATTCTAGATTGAATACCGTAGTCCAGACAGCCTAGACTGAATACTCTAATCTAGACCGAATACTCTAATCTAGACTAAATACCGTGAACTAGCTATTCCAGACTGAATATCCTAATCTAGAATGAATAGCGTAATCCCGACAGTCAAGACTGAATACCCTAATCTAGACTAAACACCGCAATCTAGCGATTCTATACTTAATCTACTATTCTAGATTGAATACCACAATCCAAACAGTCTAGACTGAATACTCTAATCTGCTATAAACTAAAGTAAATTCTAGAATCCAATTCGTGATCAAATGTACTGTTGTAGCAAGGATTTGTGCAACTCGACAACACCGAAGCTCGGCTTTCTTTAATTTCTCACGATTTCTCTATTTCTATTTAAAATTCTTTAATAAATTTAATAAATTTAATAAATAAATAACAACAAATAAAAGAAAATCAAATTTATTTTCATAAAAGTGAAAAGAATAAATCTCAAAATGAAAGAAAGAAAGAAAGAAAGAAAAAGAAAGAAAAAAACTGGGATTATTCATCGGGTAATAGGAAACACGTAAAGAAAAAAAAGTAAAAACAAGTAAAAGAAAAGAATTTCTGAGAATTCTGAGAAAGAAAGAAAAGAATTGAGCTGAGGAATCGATAAAATTGAATACAAGAATGAAAGAGAGAGAGTTTCATTGGAAGGAATTTCATTTGATATCTCAAATGAGGATCTCATGAAATACATGAAGGAGAGATGAAATTTGTGGATTTTATTTGATAAATGAAATTTGTGGATTTTATTTGATAAATGAAATTTGAGGATTTTATTTGATAAATGAAATTTGTGGATTTCATTTGATATATCAAATTAAAGGATTTCATTTGATACATCAAATTTGTGGATTTCATTTGATACATGAAATTAAAGGATTTCATTTAATACATCAAATTTGACGCTATCCATTCTCATACGTGGAACTGCATTCATCTTCGAATACCTGAAAGAAAAGGTTTTTTGAAATCATAACAACTCTCAAAAGCTATCGTTATCTTTTAATATCTTAGAGATAAGATTACAATAGTCAAAATGTTACTAACTACAGTCTATAACGGAACGAAAGGGACCAAAAAAATTTTCCGTTAGATAGAGTACCGTTTTTTATAGCTTAGCGTCGGCTGGGACTAAAATTTCATTCCGTTATATAGTAGTTTTCCGCCATATAGAGTTTCATTATAGAGAGAGAGAGTCGATTGTAGTTCTTTATGACAAGTTTTCACCTCTTCCATCGCCAGTGAGACTAATTGAGAGTGATCCTCTTCAGCACTCATGCTACGAGCATCTCTAAAGATTAGAATATAGAAAGACATATAAAACACTAGTACGGTAAATCTGTTAAGGCAATGAAAATCAGCCTTTCTACTCTTTCTAGTTAAACTCACGAAAAGCAACTGGCACTCTGTGGTCGCGGTTTCCCGTATTCGCTAGGGAGTAGACGATCTCGTGGCGTTCGAATCGTTGTCACTAAACAAGAGGTGTTACGACAAATGGATATTGAGACAAATAAATATTAGACGGTAAATCTCTCAAGACAATGGAAATCATTTACCAATCGATCTTGAGCATTCAGCTTTTGGTTGACGCTCGGGTGAGGCATGTGGCGTGGCAGTAGAGGAAACGGTTCTCACCCTTGACTGGGTCATTGGCTTTCTAGAAAAGTATTCGATTATTCAATTTCTAAAATATTACTTGTAACTGAGGAAGAACTTTTTCTTGAACGATCCATTCGGCTCACCACGTGGAGAAGCAAACCATTCGACAAGTCCGCTTGAAGAGTTCCTTCTTCTGCACTCAGCCACAGCACTGTCCTGGAAATGTTCCAGTGCACCAGAAAGAAACCCAGAAAAGATTTCTTTATAATTGTTGAACTCAAAAACAAGTCTCACTTTGCAAAACCTGTGCACAGCTAATCCACAGTCTTTGCACTTGCATCCTTGTCGAAGGAAACCCCAAAGAAGCTTCGAGCAATGACTACAAGTCGTCGGTGTAAGAAATGTCGTTTCCCGGAAATCGTGTTTAAATCCTCTCCGTAAAGCCGTCGACAATTGATTGATTTTGACGAAATAGGCGCTCAACTCGTTCTTGCTGATCTGACCGTCTCTGAAACTTTAGAAATATATTTATATAAACAAATAAGGTACCATTAAGAGCACAATCCCTAAGCCCTAAATTTAGGAAAGAAAATAAAAGAATCAAAAATCAAGCTGCGGTATTGAACCCTTGATCTCACGACTAGGAGACGGGACTCTTAGCCAGTCGGCTACGGCAATCTTGCGTGTGGGTGGTAAAATGGTGACTATCTAGGTTAGTAATCTAACCGATGGCATTAGTTACCGTATTTTCTCTAATAGTAGTGCACCCCGGCGAGCCGAGTTGGTGACTATTTGACGGTTTCCAATTTTTCCCACAAGCTCAACACTCAAATCCCCCACTAGATCTGATCGTCAGCTACATTTTCCGACCCCACATCGATAGGTTCTCACAAGCGGTTCTCGAGATTTCAAGCAATTTAGGCGACGCTCAGGGTGCACTACTATTAGAGAAAATACGGTAGATACATTTCTTAAAGCCGAATCGACAATTGTCGTTAAGTTTTTTGTTTTTAGCTTTCTTAATCAGAATTTCTTAAGCAACTTTCTTAATCTTTCTTAACTTAAGTTGAAAAATTCCAATCTTCTTCAAAGTAAAATCAAAAAAACAGCTTTCACTTTATTATATTTCACAATAATTTATCATTTTCTCTTCCCATCAAAGCTCAAATGATCCAAAATTTCAGTTTATTGCATTAGAAAGTGCGGAGAAAAAAGAAAACAGCTAAACGATTCTTCGCTAAATCGCCAAATTTCTCACTTTCCTTGAAGCGTTTTTTTTTTGTTATGATCTGGTTTCTCTTTTCATCAATTGCCCCACTTTTTCAGTAGAGAATTGGATAAATAGGGTGAACGAAGGGGGAAAAGCTTGATAAGCCGAAGAAATTCCTCTACAAATGTTCACTTTTTGATGCTTTTCTAAAGCATTCATTTGAAAAACCCTCTTAATCTTTGACGAAGGGCTGAACAGCTTCATAAGCCGAGGAAATTCCTTTACAAATGTTCACTTTTTGAGGCTTTTCTAAAGCATTCACTTCACAAACTCTCTTAATCTTTGATTCTTTTCAATTAAACTTTATCTTAAGCAATGATAATTTTAGAAATGATTTCCCTTCAATCGCTATTGCTATTAGCCGTCATTTTGGTCTTCGCTGAGGCTCAATGGGGTGAGTTTTGATTAGGGAAATGATTATGGAAATGATTTCTATCAAGAATCAACAAAAATTTCTTATTTAAGGTTGGGGCCGTCACCGACATGGAGGCGGATACGGGGGAGGATACGGTGGATATCCTGGATATGGTGGTTATGGAGGTGAGATTGCATGAATGAATTGCTTTTCAAAGTCTTCATAAAATCATTAATGATTTTAAGAAACTTTAACATCGAAAGAACGAATTTCTCTATTTTATTGCTCAAAAATCATTTCAGGTTACCCCTACGGAGGCTACGGAGGCTACGGTGGTGGATACGGTGGTGGATACGGCGGTGGATACGGCGGTTATGGAGGATATCCATATTATGGATAAAAAGAATTGACCCCAGAAGAGATAAATTATTACTTTTTTTTGATATTAAATCTATTTTCACTGTTGTACACTTCAATTTGATTTCAATTTGACCTCAATTAGACCTCAATTTCACTTCAATTTCACTTCAATTTCACTCAATTTCACTTCAATTTCCCTTCAATTTCTGGCACCTGTCAACATCGATCGTGCCAAATGGTTCGATGAAGGGGAAATTGCCGGCGATTTGACGAAATTCCGCTTGACTGATGTAGCCATCCTAAAATTGAGAAAAAATAAAGAGTTGAAAGGATATTGATAATAGAAATTGATAGATGATAGTGTAGAAGTAGAGAAAAATTTTAGTAAAGTAGAGAAAGAAAGTAAAAATCACTTTATCATGATCGTAATGCTTGAAAACGGCGTCCACCATAGCGGCCACGTGTTTCTGCACTGTTTCCGGATCAGGAGCCTGAAAAAGTAAATTGTTATCAATTGTTATCAATTGCTATCCCCGTTAGAAACATTGTTATCCCGGTTAGAAACATTGTTATCCCGGTTTCCCCTTCATCGAACCATTTGGCACGATCGATGTTGACATTGTTATCAATTCTTATCAATTCTTATCAATTGTTAAGATCATTGTTCAAACCAAATTCTAGAATATTTAAGCCAGCATTCTGTCGATCAGAAACCACGCTATGTACTTGTTTCTAACCGGGATTTTATAACAACTTGAATAAAACTTATTAGAAAAGGTTTGAATCTTAATAAATAATTGATCTTAGTATAGAAGCACTTATAATTAACTATTAGGTTGGCAACTAAATAATGGCCCTCGCCCTTTTTTGATAAAATCTTTTAATCTTTGCGTTTAATCTACCCTCGCTTGTTGTTAATTGAATATTACTGAATTTCTGGTGCATTATTATACGTTTTTTACTTTCCTTGATTTGATACTTTTCAAATAATTTTGTTTAGAAATGGAAGATCTCAAATATCGAATGCGTGTCTGTCTCTGGTACGACTACAAACAAGACAAAACAGCTGCCGAATCCCACAGAGATTTATTGCGAGTTTTTGGTGATGAAGCTCTTTCCGAAACACAATGTAAGAGATGGTATCGACGGTTCAAGGAAGGGGATGAAAGTCTTGAAGATGAGCCTCGCCAAGGACGACCCGAACTTCTGCAGAACGATATTTTGGAAGCAGCTTTAAAGGAGGATCCAAGTCAAACATCACGCGAGCTAGGGGATCGATTGGGCCTTTCGCATACTGCAATCGAAAAGCGACTTCATGCATTGGGGAAAAGTAACCGCAGTGGAAAGTGGATTCCGCATGAATTGAGCGAAGAAAATAAGGCTACTCGTGTTATCACCGCTGGAATACTACTAAAACTTGCGAAAAAGGGAAGCTTCTTGGATTCCATTGTCACTTCTGATGAAAAATGGATCTTTTATGATAATCGAACGCGAAAACGACAGTGGCTTAGCACAAACGAAGATCCAAAACCAACGCCGAAGCCGGATATTCACTCAAAGAAAACTCTCCTCTGTGTGGTGGAGTTCTCGGGGGTTGGTGCATTTCGAGGTTCTCAAAAGCCGGCAAACGGTTAATTCAGAACTCTATTCGTCTCAACTACATCGTGTAGATCAAGCAATTCACTCTCAAGGACTCGAACCCTCTTCAATTCATTTTCTCCATGATAACGCAAAACCATACACTGCAAACCTTACAATGGAGAAAATCGAGGAGTTGGGTTGGAATGTTCTTCCTCATGCGCCATACAGCCCGGATATGGGGCCTAGTGATTACCATCTTTTTCGATCGATGCAACACTTTCTAGCCGAGAAAAAGTTCAATGACCTTGACGAAGTCCGAATTTCAGTGCAGAAGTTCTTTGACGATCAACCAGAAGAATTTTTCAAGAGAGGTATCCAGTTGCTCCGTCAAAAGTGGAAAGAAGTAATAAAGAATGACGGAGAATACCTTTTGGATTGATGTTGATATTTGTTCATCTTGTTAATAAATTTTTTGTTTTTACTGAAAAGGGCCATTATTTAGTTGCCAACCTGATAGTTAGCTAATTAAAAGCTAAATGAAAAGCTATCAAAAGGGAAACGCACCTGTGACACCCCAGAAGCCCACTCGGCGAACACCACCGACTTTGGAGAGGATTCGAACTGGAAATTCTTTATGGAAATAGTAAATAAGTTGATATAGATTTTATGAAAGTTTACATTTAGCAGGGTTCTCGTTCTAGTTTACATTTAGTAGGGTTCTCGTTCTAGTTTGCATTGAGCAGGGTTCTTGTTCTAGTTTACATTTAGTAGGGTTCTTTTTCAGTTTACATTTAGCAGGGTTTTCGTTCTAGTTTACATTTAGCAGGGTTCTCGTTCTAGTTCACATTTAGTAGGGTTCTTTTTAAGTTTACATTTAGCAGGGTCTTTTTAAGTTTACATTTAGCAGGGTTCTCGGCTCTCGTCTTAGCGACAACTCGTAGATGTCGTCCTCGTTGTAGCGAATGTCAAGAGAAACCTAAGATGGATTTCGATTTGAAATTTGCATTACAATCTTTCTTTATCATTTAACTCACTTTTAAAGTATTGATGAGATCGAGATTTGCGTCGGGGAAATTGTGGGGAGTGTTGTTGAAGATTAAAAAATATGAAAGTAAAGCGGCCATTCTATAGAAAAACTGTTTTTCTTTTATTTTCTTCTATTCACTGACTTAAGAATTTTCCTCCGTGTCGTCACCCGTGATTTGGAGAAATCGCACCCGTTCAGATTATAAGCGATGAGATCCTGCTCTAAATAAAAGCATCAATTTACTTTTTTTTTGGTTTTTGAATAAAGATAACTAACCGCACGAGCACTTGACGATGAGATCCTTTAGATGAACACCCCTAAAGTATTGATTGAGAAAGAAAAGAAAGATCTAGAACCGAATATAAAGTAGTAGATATAGTTGAATGTCTTGTATTAACAAGGAAAGTACAGCTCGTCACCGCCGATCGCCAAAGAGAAGCTAAAGAATTGAAGCTGATCAAAATGCTGCTGATACTCATTTATCGCAAGATAAAAGGCATAAAAGCATAAAAGTGGCATAAAAGTGGCATCTCACTTCGGCGAGGATTCGAACCCGAGCAAAAGATCGATAGCTGGCCTCGCCTACAATCATCTTATCCACTAGGCCACTAGAGCATATTCTCGCCGCCCGAAAAAAGCCTTCTATAACAAATCGCTCGCATTTGCGTGCATATTGAAAGCTACTTTTTGAGGGATTTTGTTCAGCTTAGTCGATTTTATAACTTCTTAAATGGCTGGCGATCGGCAGTGACGAGCTAGGGTACTTCTCTTGTAAGGCCTTGTAATCCACTAGGCCACCAGACCATATTGCCCGCCGCCCGAGAAAAGTCTTCTATACCAAATCGCTCGCATTTGCGTGCATATTGAAAGCTACTTTTTGAGGGATTTTGTTCAGCTTAGTCTATTTTATAACTTCTTAAATGGCTGGCGATCGGCAGTGACGAGCTAGGGTACTTCTTTTGTAAGGTGTAAGGTAAAAACACTCACATAATAGGAATTTTGAATTTATTGCCCGTTTCGGTGAGCGCTTTCCGATATTGGGCGAAATTCGATTGCACCGAGAGGAGTTGCGTGAGTTGGGATAACTCCTGGAAAGGTGAAAATTTGAAATATGAATGCTAAACTGATGTAGACGTTTGTCGACACTTGCATACTGTAGACGGTTAGAGATTTTCTATTTTGCATATCTTTAAATTTAATACGCTAGTTTGGTTTACAAAAAAAAAGAACCAAACTTCTCAATAAGGCTTGTTTTTGTATTTCTTTCTTTTCTTTCAAAAAAAATGTTAACCTTTTTGATTTCAGGAGTGAGCGCGGCATGGGTTTTCGATAAACGACAAAGATTCGAGTGTGTGATCCCGCCAATCACCGCCATTAGAGTGTTAAAGTTATGCAAGCGACGGAGGTGCTGAAATTGATTGATCTTCTCATTTTCGGGGGGTAATTTGGGTAATTTGGCTAGCTTGGCTGTGCTTGGCTGTGCTTGGCTGTGCTTGGCTGTGCTTGGCTGTGCTTGGCTGTGCTTGGCTAGCTTGGCTGTGCTTGGCTAGCTTGGCTGTGCTTGGCTAGCTAGGCTGTGTTAGGCTAGCTTGGCTAGCTTGGCTGTGCTTGGCTAGCTTGGCTGTGCTTGGCTAGCTAGGCTGTGCTAGGCTAGCTAGGCTAGCTAGGCTGTGCTTGGCTGTGCTTGGCTGTGCTTGGCTGTGCTTGGCTGTGCTTGTGTGCTTGGCTTGGCTGTGCTTGGCTAGCTAGGCTGGCCGGCTAGCTAGGCTGTGCTTGGCTAGCTTGGCTGTGCTTGGCTAGCTTGGCTGTGCTTGGCTAGCTTGGCTGTGCTTGGCTAGCTTGGCTGTGCTTGGCTAGCTTGGCTGTGCTTGGCTAGCTTGGCTGTGCTTGGCTAGCTTGGCTGTGCTTGGCTAGCTTGGCTGTGCTTGGCTAGCTTGGCTGTGCTTGGCTAGCTTGGCTGTGCTTGGCTAGCTTGGCTGTGCTTGGCTAGCTTGGCTGTGCTTGGCTAGCTTGGCTGTGCTTGGCTAGCTTGGCTGTGCTTGGCTAGCTTGGCTGTGCTTGGCTGTGCATTCAATCTCCAGTGCAATTAGAAAAGCTTTCTTTTCAACTTTTAACAAAGCTTGATGACTTAATTTCTTTAAAATTACAAAAAAATAAACCTTTCCAACATTAACAAATTTCGTTATGATCTCAGCGCGTTCTTTTGGTGTCGTTTTTGAGAGAACCATACACTGTACCCAATTCGAGAGATTCTAAAAAAGATTGCATAAGAAATGGGCTTTTATAATCTTTATTTAACATACATTGAAAACGGTAATGCTGCGCTCTAAAATCGGTGTGTTACTCAAACTCGACTCTTTCACGTAACGCTTCAGCTCAGCCACCTAGGATTAGAAATTGTCTTTAAAAGAAAGAAAGAAAGAAAGAAAGAAAGAAAGAAAGAAAGAAAGAAAGAAAGAAAGAAAGAAGGAAAACAATTTCAACAATTTCAATCTTTTCTTTTACTTACCGGTACTCTGCATAACATTTTATAGTCAATATGCGAGAGACTCGTCGAGATATCCTCAGGACTCCATTGATCAAAGCTTAATGAGACCTGGAAATCGATTTTCAAGAAATTCTAGTGAACTCTAGTTTCTCTATTTAGAAAAAGTCAAATATAGTCAAATATTTACGTCATTTTTATGGATAAACTCGTTTTCTCACGTTTTCTCATCAAAAAAAGGAATATGGGGAAACCTGTCTAGCGACGGGATTTCGAACGGACATCGAGCGCAACCAAGCGTAAGAGGGTCTGAAAATGTTTTACATTTTAAAAATATATATACGATTATGTAAAGTACAATATATAGTAAGATCTACAATAAGATCTACAACCAGATCTACAACAAGATCTACAGCAAGATCTACAGTAAGATCTACAGTAAGATCTACAGCAAGATCTACAGCAAGATCTACAGTAAGATCTACAGCAAGATCTACAACAAGATCTACAGCAAGATCTACAATAAGTTTACTTATTTTCAATTTAAATTATCCAACCCATGATGAAAACAATCGATTCAAACTTTCAAATGTTCAAATCATGATATTCGATCTTATTAGTTGAATATTTTGACATAATATAGTAAATTATTAAGGTTATATCATAGAGTTCATTTAAATTATTCTGAAAAAGCTTACAATGTTGTGAGATCGAGTCCCTCTGTGCACTCTTGGCCTAGATCTTGAGCCGCATTCTTCAATCGTTCCACCAATTGGCATAACTGAAATGAAAAAAAACAAAAGCTATCTAACTAACCAAAACCATACTTTAGAATACTTTCGAATCACCGTAATTCTAACCTGTTTCTGGCCGTCAAAATGAAAAGGAAAGCGTCGAATCCAAAAGGAAACCGCGTAACAAACCCGTCTTTTGCATAGTGTGTCTGTTGTTTCCTAGAAAAAGGTTTGAGATTGCGGAATTGTTAAATCAAAAAGGCGTAGTAAGTAGAGTGTTTTCCTCACGTTTTTTTGCGTTTTTTTTAAAACGCACACTTAGAAAAAATTACCTTACTTTTAGCGAATAATATTGCAAAAAAATGGCGCAAAAAAAAGCACGAGCGACGAGTTATAAACGACTCTTTTTAAAGATATTCAGCCGTTTAACTGATTTCGTGTGGCGAATTCCCTTCACATGTAAAGATATTCAATTTACTCGACGTGTAAAGAGGATTACTCGTAGTTTATCGACGTGTAAAGAGGATTGCTCGTAGTTACTCGACGTGTAAACAGGATTACTCGTAGTTACTCGACGTGTAAACAGGATTACTCGTAGTTACTCGACGTGTAAACAGGATTACTCGTAGTTACTCGACGTGTAAACAGGATTACTCGTAGTTACTCGACGTGTAAACAGGATTACTCGTAGTTACTCGACGTGTAAACAGGATTACTCGTAGTTACTCGACGTGTAAACAGGATTACTCGTAGTTACTCGACGTGTAAACAGGATTACTCGTAGTTACTCGACGTGTAAACAGGATTACTCGTAGTTACTCGACGTGTAAACAGGATTACTCGTAGTTACTCGACGTGTAAACAGGATTACTCGTAGTTACTCGACGTGTAAACAGGATTACTCGTAGTTTATCGATGAAAAAACATCGATTAATCGAGTAAAAATGACTCATGCGAATGTTACTCGAGTAATTACTTATTCGCAAAGGAGCACACTCTAGTTTTTAGGCTGGGAGGTGTATGACGCGTGGCGACGTCATTGTTATGGAGAGGAACACACTCTAGTAGTAAGACAAAGCACCATATAGGGGGTAGGCTACTTTGGGCCAAATTTTTTACGCAACTGGGTCATTTGCGCAACTCGCCATAACTTTCTTCTAAGTCGGTCAATCTTTATGGTTTTGGTTTCGTTTTGTAGATCTCAATAAGTGTAACAAAATGACACCAAAATCATAAAGATTGACCGACTTAGAAGAAAGTTATGGCGAGTTGCGCCCAAGGAAGGCCTTCCAGAGTCGACGATGATCTTAAAGCAATTAAAGCAATAACCCTGTTGCGCAAAAAATTTGGCGCAAAGTAGCCTACCCCCATATAGCCAATTTTTGGAAACAAACCTGAAAGAGATTGATGAGTAACGCGAGCAACTCAGTGCTATCCATAATCCATGGATGTGACATGAAGAGTGTCTCCGGGAAGATGTCCTCCGTCTCTCCATCGTGATCTTAAAGCAATTCTTTGACTTTTTAATGACATAATTTGAATTCTAACTTGATGAATTCTATGACGAAATTCTGGCTGACTTTTTTTTGTTAAATTCTCTATCTTTTCTTTAAATCAGTAAGAAGCTAGAAAAAAAAGCTAGAAATTGTAATTTTCACTTCATAATCTATTTTTCAACAATCTTATTTCAAAGTTATCTTTCAAAAAGAAGAAACTATTTCTTTGCAATAGTTTTTTCTTTTTAAAACTCTTTTAAACTTTCATTATTTGAAAGATTAGGCTTTTCGAAAAGCTTTAACTTGCTTGTTTTTCAAGCTGTTTCAAGTTGATAGCATATGTTTTCGAGCAAATTCCCTGAATCTGAATTTCCCTCATTCCAGATGTACTTAATTTAGATGAAAAAAAAGAACAAAATCAGTCACAAAAAGGGATACGGTAGTTCTAAAGGAAAATTTTTATTTAAAAAACTCTCACAAGAGGCTATAGGAATCCCCGAAAATTCTACAGATTTACATTTTCTTTTATGCAAAAAGTGTAAATCTTTTCTAGTTAATTAATTTTGAAAAAAGAGCTTAAGATTATCGTTTTTTTTTGCTAAAATTAAAAGACAAATGAGGTAATATAAGGCAAATTTCCCTCACTAATCCTCCGAATTTTGCAATGCAATTTTCAGGAATTTTGGTAGCTGATCACTTTCACCAATGGGAATTCTAATCTAGAAGATTTGTGGGTTTTTTTGAAAGTGAAAGTATAAGGGATTGGCGGCTGAGTGGGTGTCAAAATGAAGATCCGAAAATGTTACTCAAAATTATTTACAGGAAATGGTGAAAGGAAAGGCGAGTGGGGTGACCAGGGTTCTTCGGTCTTTGTCTGGGGTTTTGTGCCAGCCTAAAAAGTATAAGTATAAGTCGAAAGTGAAAGTATAAGGGATTTGCGGCTGAGTGGATGTCAAAATGAAGATCAGAAAGTGTTACTCAAAATTATTTACAGGAAATGGTGAAAGGAAAGGCGAGTGGGGTGATCAGGGTTCTTCGGTCTTTTTCTGGGGCTTTGTGCGAGTCTAAGAAAAGGGGCTAAGAAAATGTGTAAACACAGCTTTTCTGGTGTTCTTTTCAATTCTTTTTTTTTCTTTTCCAAGAAAACTGAACGATTTGTATGATTTTTAAGAGCACAAAGCGCACCTTTGAAATGAAATAAACCACCTACATTTGAAAATGTTTTTTGATCATTTCCAAATTCGTCTACATCTATTTTTAATCGATTTCATTTGACAGCTTGCTTGCTCTCAATGAAATGCTAAATCATTTGTGCTAAATCATAAATCTAAATCATCATTTGTGCTAAATCATAAATCATACTTGCTAAATCATTTTTTTGTTGTTATCGGCGCCAAAATTCAATTTGAAGGTCATTTTTTCTTTTGTGAAGACGCCTACATTCCTGTTTTATCAACATAGCTGTTCACTTTCATTAATGAGAATTTTGGTTATTCCAACTCGAAATTTGATTAGTTTATTGATAAGATTTTTTAATGAATAGATTGATTAAAAAGTTTTTGCGATATTCAATAGAAACTTATTGCTGAAAAGATGAAATCTAGAATGAAGAAGAAAAGTTGACTTTGGAATAGCAATTAGATAACAGAATTTGATCAATTTTGTGATAAGACAAGACAAGATTACGGTAGTTTTCGTCAAAAGGAAAGGAGAAAACTCTAGCTACGATAAACATTCGAAATTCTCATTCAAAAAAAACATTTTAAACTTTTGATTTTTTTTTCTACTTTGTTCACCAAGAGAAAGGAATTGAAAAGGTTTTGAAATTAGAAGAGAAATCCTGAGAAATTCCCCACTAATCCTGCGAATTTTTAAGGGATTTTGGTAGCTGATCACTTTCACCAATGGGAATTCTAATCTAGAAGATTTGTGGGGTTTTTTCAAAGTGAAAGTATAAGGGATTGGCGGTTCGGTGGGTGTCAAATTGGAGATCAGAAAATGTTACTCAAAATTATTTACAGGAAATGGTGAAAGGAAAGGCGAGTGGGGTGATCAGGGTTCTTCGGTCTTTGTCTGGGGTTTTGTGCGAGCCTAAAAAGTATAAGTATAAGTCGAAAGTGAAAGTATAAGGGATTGGCGGCTCGGTGGGTGCCAAAATGAAGATCAGAAACTGTTACTCAAAATTCTTTACAGGAAATGGTGAAAGGAAAGGCCATTAATTAATTTTGAAAGAAGAGCTTAAGATTATCGTTTTTTTTGCTAAAATTAAAAGACAAATGAGGTAGTATAAGGCAAATTTCCCTCACTAATCCTGCGAATTTTTGAAGGAATTTTGGTAGCTGATCACTTTCACCAATGGGGAATTCTAATCTAGAAGATTTGTGGGTTTTTTGAAAGTGAAAGTATTAAGGGATTGACGATTGATTGAGTGTCAAAATGAAGATCAGAAACTGTTACGCAAAATTTCCATTTTTTTTTCTTATTTCAATCCATTTAGATTTATCAAAGTCAAAAAAATCGTTTTCTTTTCCGAAAATGTTTTCAAATGTTTCCTGTTTTTAAATTATTCCGATTTCCTTTTTCTTTTCTTTCTTTCTTTCTTTCTTTCCTTCTTTCCTTTTCTTTCTTTCCTTTTCTTTTTTTCCTTCCTTCCTTCTTTCTTTCTTTCCTTCTTTTCTTTTCATCAATCCATACCAAAATTTCACTCGTTCACATCTCATTAACACAAAAAAATAGATAAAGAAGAAACTCAAATCAAAAACTAATCAAAGTTTATTGAAAAATCATTATTTAAAAGATTCAGGCGCTAGAAAGGGTGTGTTTACAGATTTTTTCTAAGATCATAAAGTATAAGCAAGTTACCGGGGCGTTGCACGCTGTTTCTGTTTTTTTTTCTTTTGTCCTCAAAATATCAAGATCGAAAATTTTTGGCGAATCTAGGCAACGAGGGGGAAACAGGAGTTGTTTTGATCGATTACACGTAAAAAAAAAAATAGTGTGCAAGAAAATAGCAAAAAAAAATGGAAACTTGGAAACTGTAAAATCGTTATCAACTCGGTTCACCGGGAAATATTAGGGAAATAGATCAGTCTGATCTACTAGCCTAACCTAGAATAATATACCGTCTTCTCTCTAATAGTAGTGTACCCAAAGCTTCGCCTAAATTCCTCGAAATCTCGAGAACCGCTTATCAGAACCTATCGATGTGGGGTCGGAAAATGTAGCTGACGATCAGATCTTGTGGGGGATTAGAGTGTTGGACTTCTGCAAAAGCTTGGAAACCGTAAAATAGTCATCAACGCGGCTCGGTACCGTGCACTACTATTAGAGAAAATCTTTCTACTCACCAAAACAATTGGCAACATGTAGCGCGAGCCCATCGGGGTTCAGCGGCTGATCGCGGAATGATGTAGCTGCACGCTCAATGGCATGTCCCAACGCGTGATGTCTCGACGAGCCAGATGGAGTCGACGAGCATGAAGGCGCAACGGTGCTGCTCATTCGCTTCGCCTCGCCTAGAGTTTCGCAATTTCGCGATCAAGAAAGAAAGCACATATAGTTAAACTTTTTCCTTAGCATTTCCACTTACCACTCGACGATCGTCTCACGTCATGCATCTGGATGGAATTAATTACGAGTTTCAATAGGGCAAAAACGCTCTTGCTTATTTCCACTTCATCTCTCCTCCATACTGCTGCTGCTACTGAAAAAAAAATAAGTATAAATGTGGATGAAAGTCGGATAGAAATACAAAAGTAATGTTTTAAAAGAAGTAATTGCACTATACAAAGATTCTCAACAAACAAACAACAAAATAGACTAAAGCAAATGTATAAAATTATGGCATTAAATTTTGTTCAACAAGAACTTGTTTCGGAATTGAAATGGACGTGAGTTGAGGAGTGTCAGATCAGACCTCAGGCTTAGGCCCAAGCAAGATCAAGGTAAACTTTGAAAGTAAAGTGGTAAAAGTCATCAAAAAGTAAGAGTTGATTGTTATAGAATGTCGATTAAAGTCGATGTCGATTATAGAATGTCGGTTAAAAAAACAGAACTGTGGTTAATAGGTAAAAAGAAAATGTAAAAAAAGAGCCGGATATGAAGACCGTTAGTGAAAAGGAGAGATTTCAAGGGAAGGGACAGGAGGGGAAATGAGAAAATTGGAGAATTTGGGGGAAAGTCGAGAATGGGAAAGATAAAAAGAGCTCAAAATGGAATGTGGAAAGATTTAAGGGGAATGTTGTGCAGGAAGAGAAAAGATGGTGAATGTAAAATCATGTAGTGAAAAAAAACTCGTGAAATAGTGATGTAAACGATTAGCAAGAGGGATGCAGGTGGATTTTTGGAGGGGGAAATTGGGGAATTGGGCAATTTTGACGGGTCGAAAGTTAAAGAGTGAGAGTTGGCATTGAAAAAGAAGAAAAACGTTGAAAAAAAGATTGAAATGCAGAGATTGGAGAGTGGTAAAGAAACAGAAAAGTTTCTGAGGAGCTCGAGCTTTTCGGAAGAGGGGAGAATTTTGCAAGAATTTAGAGATAAAGCGGTTGGGTGACAATGGAAGAGAAGTGACAATTCGTTGGTTGGAGGTGGAGGAGGAGGAGGAGATGTGGATGGAGAGTTGAATTTCGAAGAAGTAAAGGAGAGAAAAGAAATTCAGCAAAGAAGCAGATGAGAAAATTGTAGCCAAGCGAGACAAAGCTGAAGTTTGGAGAGAAGTTTGGAGAGAAGTTCGCAAAGAAATTGGAGAGTTGATTTTGAAAAGAAGTTTGAGAAAGAGTTGAGCAAAAGATTTAGAGAAAAGAAGTAGAAAAGAAGTAGAAAAGAAGGAATCAAAAATTTGGAGAGTTGATTGGAGTGAGAAGAACGAGAAAGGGAAGCTTCGAGAATCATCAAAATTGTTGGCAGATGATTGAATAGAGGATGGGAGTAGAGAACGAGAAAAACAGGAGAGATTTTCGAAAACAGAAAGAATGAGAAGTGAGAAGAAGTGGAGAAAAATGTGTAGAGGTGGCAGAAGTGAAATGCATCGAAAAAGAGAATTCAGCGAGAGAAATGCGATGGGGCTTCTGCCAAAAAAGGAGGTGAAGAGGGAGGGGAGAAGCCAGAGCCGGCACCCAGCCGCTTTTCTCTTTTTTTTGTGTCAGGGGATCGATGTCGGATTCCGGGGCACGAGGCGGCAACCCGGTGTGTGCCCGTTTCCCCTGGATGGACGAGACCAAGGCAAAGCCAGACCAAGGGGGAAAGCAAGGCCCCGCCCCACTTCCTCCTTCACGCGATGAGCACCAAGATCATGCCCGCCTCTCTCCCACCGCACATTTGGCTAATTGGTTGGAGATGTAAAAGCACGGGAGAAATTCCCCCGGCACACACACACAACAGCACCACCGCCGCCCCTCATCGCCAAAGATTGTCCCCTCGGATTACTTGAGAGAGAGAGAGAGAGAGAATTTACATTTTGAAAGGGGTTTTGATATTTTAATAGGATGTTTACTTTACTGTTGTTTACCACAGTACCGAACTGTGGTACTGTTTCGGTATCACAGTTCTAACTACTAACGACAATGAAACCCTGGAGTCAACACCTTGAATTAAGCAATGGAATAATTAAAATTAAAAGCTCTAGTAAAGAAAATTCCCGAAATTGATTGAATGTGTGTAGCTTTTTTTTTTACGCATTTTACAGCACCGAGAGCTCCCAGTTTCCTATTCGTGAAACCGAGTGCGACACTTGAAAAGTTGATCCCCTACTTGAGACAAGAAACTTCTGGCATCTTCTGAAACAAACTTTCCGAAAAAAAAAGTTTAGGATCTTTGGCATAAAGATGTGTACTATCACTTTATCCTACACCAATTCTCCACCCCGAAATAATTCTCATTTTCCATTTCTTAAACTGTTAAGAACTACATTTTGCCCTTGATCAAGCTAAATTTATGCAATAAAACTTACCAAAGATACCAAACTTCTATTACACTTTATTCCATTTCAGATTTGCAGTTTAAAAAATTTCATTGTAAAACCTGCCAAAAAAAAAATGTAAACTTTATTCTGTGAAAACACTTTCCTATAACAGATCTTTGTAAATCTTCGGCTTAATTGTAAAAGAAGATAAAAGAAGATAACTTGCTGTGACTAGAAATGAAACAAATCAAATGAAAAAGAAGAACAAACGGGGTTAATGGTCAACACAAAATAGAGAACCTAATCAATCTAGAACTTCTCGGAAGCGAGAGAGACTACAATAACAATCTCAAAAAAAGAAATTAACTGGGCCAAAAAAAGGAAAACGATACGTTGCACAAAAATGGGCCTTGAACTGAGGGGAATTCTCTTAAAAACAAACAGAAAAACAAAAGCAAGAAGCTCACGTAGCACTGGTGTAAAAATCGCGCGGTTTTGATTATGGCAGCAAAAAGACACAAAGAGGCGGCAAATGTACAAATAAATGAAGTCATTGGGTGCACCAAAATACTTGTAGTATTTTTAGACTGTGAAAAGCAAGTTTGTCTGCACAAAAGCGCCACACCAAAAAAGACAATCATATCACGAGAAGCGTTCAATTTCAGGCAAGAAAGGCAAGGGGAACCAGAAGAAACATAAAAGACACCAATTTTATATACAAATCGAGAAATGAAAGAGTTCTGTGGACTTGAAAAAAAGATTAAAATTATCTACGACAGCCAACTGGAGGCGAAATTGCGCAGTGATGAGTATTGCGGGGCGCCTCGTTGAGATGATCCTGATGATCTGAAAAATCCATATGAATATAAGGACTAAAACGGTAGTTTGCTAGGTAAAACTTTGAAAAAAATTCGAAAGTTTTGTTAATTTTAAAGCGTGAACTAAACTTTACATACAAAACTCTTCAAAAATCTACCCTTCAGGCGGATTCCTTCGAATCAGTGTCGACGAGTTGCGAGCCGCCTCCCCACGCAGCAATTCAGCGCGCTCTTCACTAAAGATTCAACGTCAACTTTGCTTGATGTATAAATATCAGCTTGTTTAACACTACTCACATCATCTCTTCGTGGTCCATCACTTTTAAGATCAAGTTGTTCTTCCTTGAAAGAGCCTCAATGAGCTGTTGCATCAGTTGATCCGTGTGTTCTTTCTCTTCGGCAGTCCGGTAATGGCCTAAAGCAAAGTAATCAAATCAGCAGCAAAATGATCAACGTTTATTACTCTCAAATTAGTCAGCCCAGCTATCTCAGATCTTAACACACTGCCTTAAACAGTCGATTTGTCTACCGGATAGTTTAATCTTCCAAACAACTAACCTCCGTCATCTCGTTGTCCCAATTCCCCTTGCAGATCTTGTATCTCCATTATCGTATTGCGAATCTTCTCAATGATATTGTAGTACTCTTGCTTGTTGACGAGTCGATCCTAAAAATTTGCTCCTAAAGCAAGGGTTAAACAACAAACAAACCTTTTCAATGTTACAAAACTGCAGCGTCTCCACCAACATCGGCTCTTCATCGTCACCAATGCCTAAGATTTTAAAATAAAATGAATTAATGAGGCTTTGAGTAGATGAATCAAAAAGCCCAAAGCGCTACCTGGTTCTCCCATCTTTGTCCTGATTTGTTCAGCCTGCGCATCAAGGTCCTTCATTTTCCCGGTAATCTCCACCAGTTCACGAGCCGTCGATTGTGGGTCAGCGACATCATTCTAAAAAGCAAATAATTACACAAATAAAAGTTCATACAAACCTCCCATTTTGAAGTGATCTTTGTTCGAGTCGGTGTTGAAAAAGTGTCTAAAAAGAAAATGAAAATCAGCAAGAAAATAAATTTGACTCACAATCATTGGAGCCACTCGGCGCCGGCGTTTCGGAGAACTAAAATTTGAATGTAGCTAGCTTCGAACTGATTGCAAAATGTGCTGACAGATATTTTCGGGACAAGATGAAATTGTGATGTGTTATCGAGAATGATGCAAAGAATATTTCACTGAATCACGTGCATCTGATAAATAACACTATCCAAAAAACACTTTGATCGTTTACATAGATAAATATTGACAATCACATGCTTGCCACCCAATAAAGAATCCTTTACGAAAATCCCAATCATCGTGCAATTGTGCTGATAAACCTCCACGAAACAAATGTGCGTTGACACCAAGAAAAATGCCCTTGCAATACCATGCCAAATTACCCCGTATTGATTAAAGAGTTGACTGATCGAATCTCTCAACTCCGATCCTCTCATGCTCCCGAAGCGGCGTACCCGGTCAAAAGTCGACCTCGGTGTCGATTCAACCGACGTGCGGCCATTCAAAGTTGGGGTCACATTTTCACTACTCTGAACAACAACACTACGGCTTAACAAAAGTGCTAATTTCTCTACCACGAATGGGTGTGGATTGCTTTGGAAAGAAAGGCAACGATTTGTTGTTGAAAGCTTGGAAAGCAAACCCGTTGATAAAAAATGAATAACCGTTAGGGCAAATAAGTTTTAAGGCAAAAAAGAAACGCGTACCCGCTCCACAAGATTTTGCGTGGTCCGGCCCATTGGCGGAATGATTGGAGTTCCATCTAAATGAATCATAAAGTATCTGAAAAGTTAGATGTTCAATTGTTGAAATAATAATAAATTTGATAGACGTAGTGAAATTGAGGAACTAAATAACCACCACAACACGTACAATCTTTTCTCGGCAACACCGGCGATGGATCCTGCTTGCGGAAGCTACGAATTGTCACATTTAACGGCACAGCCCCTACAAAAAAGAAAACGACAACATAGGGTTATTGACAATGAAAAAGAAAGATTGTATATAGCTTGACAAGCAGCTGGTTTATGAAACTACCACACAAAAGCACGCACCTACTCTCCTCAAATCCGTGTTTGATCCCAAACGACTTCCGTTTGATTGAATCGATTCGCTTCGACGAAAATCGGACACCATCGAGCCTATATAGCAACACAAAACTATAGGCAGAACTAACTTGAAGTTGCTTTAAAGCTAATACGATTTAGAACTCGAATAGGTACAACTAATCAGACAACTATAATGTCTGTGATTGAAAATTTGTCTCACTACACAACAAGGCTCAAGAACAGTTCAGTTTGAGCATGCATTGAGAGAAAAACTACAAAACAATGTTTACAAATTTACCATCTGGTTGTATCCTGTGCGTGGCACCGTTCTGAACAGCCTCATCAATGATATGTCGTGCCCGTTCGCGAACTTCTGTGCTGGCTGGGACCTTAAACAAAGATTTGTATTTATTAAATAAGTCAAGACTGCAATTGAAGAGCAAACTTACCTGGTTTTGAGTCAAAAATGGTGCTGGATTGTTGAGCATCTTCCGTGCTTTTTCTTGCAGAACCTCGCGGCGAGCTGGACTAGCAGCTCGTCCCTGAAACATTAACCTTTTTATTTGCCCAAAGTTTCAAAGCGATAGCCTCGGGCTTAAGAAAACAACTCTACCTTCATTGATGGAGATGCTAATGATTCTGAATATCGGCTTGCCAAATCAACCACATCGTTCCCACTATAATTCTCTTCATATTCATACAAATTAAAGCTGCCCACTTTTCTTGATGTCCATTATGAGCAGATCCTTTCCTCGAATTGTGTTGAGTAGTTAGCGGTGGCTGTGCCGAGAATTTGGATTCATTCTTTGGTGCCTAACAATAAGCAAAAATTTGTTATGGTCAGTAACACGGTTTTACCTTTTCTGTAGAGTATTCATCATCGATCACACTTTTCATCTCTTCCAATTCTTGCATCATCTAAACAGAAAGCATTTTATGATAAATGTACAGATGCTTACCTTCTTTTCCGATTCAGAAAATCCGTAAATTGTTGAAAGGCGATAATCTGAACCACTCGCCAAGTTTGCGCCATCAAGAGATCCCTCAAAGACTCCTCTGAAACGCATAATGAGAAAAAGTTGAAAAATTACTGTACCACTAACCTTAATTTCTCCAGTAGCAAGCGTACATCCTTCTCATCGGGCGTCAAAATGTCATATTCATCGGGCAAATTTGTCAAGCCCATTGCATGAGCGCTGAGAAGAGCCTGAAACAAAAACTTGTAGGCAGAACTAATCTACGTGACTTACCTTTGTCACATTTGACTTTCTTCCACTTAACGTATCTGAGAAGTCGAGCGCATCAAAATCCCCGATCAAATCCGGTCGATATGCGTGAATGAGAGCGCAGAGGGTCACTCCCGATCGCCACGATTTTCTAAAGGAAACAATTAAAGGTCCACATAATAAAATTTTAATCGTTAAAGTAATTCTATTTTTGTATCTAACAAAACCAAAGACTTACGTAAAATCCTGCACTTTGACTCCTTGATAGTCCTTTGTGACCCGTTGTGCCCAAGCCAGTAATGTTTCCCCTTCAATCTTCTCGGGTGGTGGCTGTGATGGAGCACGAGATGGAGTTCTAGAACAATTTCGGTGGGTAAGTCAACTCTAAAAAGCATTCCCACCTTGTCGATGCCCGACCCAACCCATGTCGAAGTGGCGGTGATGAAACGAGAACCGGTCGAGATTTATCGTCAACCTAAACACATGAATCATTAATCTGCCATCATGAATTATCCCTAGAGTCTGACTTTAGCTTTAGACCCCTAAAGATATGATTTAAGGTTTAGTCAGGCAATTGTAGCCACCTCAAACACCAGCTCAGTGCTCTTCCTCTTTGCATTGGCAATCGGATCGGGTGTCGTGGTCAACGATCGACCTGGAGCTTCACGCCAAGACGGGCGAACAGGTGATGCTGGACCTAAAAGTAACATATTTTACTATTAGATAAAGTGCCATTTTTAATACCTTCGCTTGACACCGCCTTTGCATCATGAATATCAACTTCTATTGGCAGCAAATCCCTTGTCAATGTGGAAGCTTGCGAAGAATCATCACGCCTAAAGAATTTTTTTAATCTGCACGAGTGAGTTATGTTTGGTTGAAAAATTTAAACCCAACCAACCTTCCTTCACTCAAAAATTGACTTGAAAGCACGAGAACAATGATCGCCGACTGTAGATTGGGCACAAGTGGGCGCATTTTGAGCTAAATTTGAGAATTACCTATGCACCTTTCTTTGAAATCTTTTCTTGTTTATTCTTTTAGGTATTTTACGCAGAACATCCAATATCACCATGTCCTTTCAATAATGACTTTGGTAGATCCGAATATTCACCTTCATATGTGACTTCTGATCGGGCGTCTCGTTAACGAAAAGACGCATGTTGAGAGGAACGGCGGCGATCGGCTTCTTCTTTCCTTTCGGGGTGAAACTCTCGATCACGATCGTCCACTCCTAAAGAAAAGAAATTAAACAAGTGTTTTTCATTTATAAAACCAAAAACTTAAACTAAAAACAAACACAAACCTTATCATCATAATGCTCATCGTTGACTCCTTTGTAAAGCGTTGTTAGAATTTCAATGTTCTCCTAAAAAAGGACAAAATGAATCTAGTTTCACATTTTATCATTTCTACATTTTATGTTCAATATTTAAGAATTGCATACCGGTGTTTGTGCGGGCCAAACGATGATTGACTGCTCGGGCTTTGAGTAGGACGTTTCCCATTGGCGTTTACCCGACGAGATCTTTCGTCGTCTAGAAGGAAAACATATAAATGATAAGAAATAACTAATTAAGCAAGTCAAACTATAAAAGAACCTTAAAAAAAGCTTGAAAATTTACCTGTGCATAAACGAAACCGTCATCAAATGTGGGTGCCATTCGGGCGTGGCAACAAGTTGAAGCTCCTAAACAAATTCTTATTTCAAGATTTTAAACAAACTAGATCCTGATATCTAAGTAGTTACTTCCAGAGCAAAAATTGTGGATCAAAGATCTTAAAAAGCTAATTATTAAAATCTCACCTGTAGTCCGATGGTAAACTTGAACTTTGAGGGTTTCTTGTGTGACCGCTGTATGCGCTTCCACATCTCTGAAACGAAAAAAACACACATTAAACTTAATTAAAACGTAAGGACAAACAAAGAAAAATGAGATAAAACGTTTAAAATACGATTTTGCAAGATAATTCACGAAAAAGTAGTCAATTTAGTCGATTTTTGTGCTACAACTGTTCTATTAGTCATTCTTGTAATATTTTATTATAATTTTACAGAGATTGACTAAGAAATCGAAATCGTTGCAAAATCCTTAACCAAATTTTTTAAAATTGCATAAATTTAAAAAAGATTTGCTAACTTTCCGCTAATTTCTCCACAATTCTCACGATATTCAATTAAATAACTCAATAGGATTTTGTAAAATGCAAATTTATGCTTAATAAAGGGGAAATTTTACTAGCGTTTAAGGCAACAAATGCATTGAAAATGAATGAGAAAATTGTCATCAAAAATTTTTTTTTTGCTTACTAAAGTCAGTTGTTATTCTTGGGGCCACATCAGAAAGAGTCTTGGGTGTCAGGGAGAGAAATTCTTTTTTCCAATTTTCTCCCAAAAAAAGCGCTAACAGAACCGCGATCAACAACGGGGAAAATGGGGAGAAAAGAGAAAAAAAAAGGATGAGTGTAAGGTTAAAAAGGAAAAAGAGACAACACCCATTATTTTAGCGGCATCAATTTCTCTCTTCACTTGTTGCTCAAAAGTACCGTAGTCGGGGGAATCCGAGCGGGACCTGGCGCGGGTTTGATGGCGTAAATAGCTGTGATTTTCTTGGTTGTGATTTAGAGAATTTTCTAGATTTCTAGATTTCTTCAAAATGTTATTTTCTTTTTTATTACTATTCTTTTTTTTTCGTATCGCTGATGGAGCAAAATTTCGAGCCGAGAAAATGAGTTACATTTATGAGAAAGCTATGCAAAAGATCGATGACAGGAAAAGATTGGGAAAATTCGAGGTGCGACTTTTGCTTAGGCTCTAGTTTTAATTTAAAGAGACTTTTTTAAAAGTGCTCTTAGAAAAGCACCTTTTCTGATATTAGGAAAGAACCGCCGTTTCAGACAGAACTCGAGAAATTCGACAAGCTTTATATGGACACAAAAGCAAAAGATGGCGATGGACATGACGTGCGAAAGGGTGAGAAAACTCATAGAGTCATAGATAAATGTAATTAAAGAAACAAATCTTTAGACTTCATTCAACTCGACGACAAACTTCGTTCACTCCTCGAAAAGTACGAGTTAGCCTCAGTGTTGGACGCGTTCAAAATGGTAACCATTTAAAAGATAAAGAGAGAAATTTTAGAGCCAACGATCGTCAACTAATGACCGCTTTGAGAAACGAGTTCAAGGTTTTCGAAAAGTTGTCGTTTTTGTTTGGCGAGAGATTTTCAACATAACTCTGTCCCAAAGCTTATACAGTGGCGGACAATTAACTTCAATTAACAATTGTCCGCCACTGTATGTTTTAAAAAAGATGTATAATAAGTAAAATTTGAAATTTTTTGCAGAAAAGAAAGCTTCGAAACGAGCAAGAGATGGCGAATTCAAATTTGGTATTGTCTGCGGAGAAGTTCGCGGATCCGAAATTGCAAAAGCTTTGGGATGGGGCACTCATAGCAAAGTTTGGACCAGAGGAATTAACGGGTATTGTAATTACCGTAAATACTGTAATAGTACCCCACCCCCATAATGACGGTGCGGAGTGTTGCGTAGTCTAGCTTTGAACGAGTTTTTCTCGACACTGGTTTATGCTACAATGCGGGCTTAGGTATCAAAAAATAGCCCTAAATTTCAGCTATTTTTTGATACCAAAGACGCATTTTTTGAAAGTACTAAAAAACTTTTGCGACTACGCGACTGTACGAGGGTGGTGGGGTACTATTACAGTATTTACGATAGTTTATTGTCGAGTAGTGTCTCTTTTAAAAGACGATTTTTTTTAAAAAAAAACATAAAATCGGGGAAAAAAGCGTTTTCAGCCCTACACGGTGATTTGAAAGAGGCAGAGAGAAAGATTGCCGAGTATCACGATGCATTGCAAGACTTCAATAAGGTAACAACTTTAAAAACGTCTAGATATTGATTAGTATTTACTTACTTACAAATGTTGATAACAAATTTAACAATCTTATTCTTAGGTACCACACGAGAACTCGATTCATTTCGATCGAGACGAGATCATCGATCAAAAGGTATGAGTCAGAAGTTTCCTAGTTCCTAGTTTTATTAAAATATCCCAAAATAGTGAGAGTATTCATTTTAAATAAAATATTCAACTAAAAAAGATTGAATATGTTTATTTTTAGAATATGTAGTCCTTTTCGGCATACTGTATAATTTATTTTATGTAGGGGATTTATTGTATTATTCTGTAGCGACGCAAAGATCAAAGCTTAGCTGGAATTTTAGAATTTTTAGAATAGAAAAAGAAGAAAAGAATTTTCGTTTCTAAATAAAGCGATACTAATGTTAAAAAGTAATAAAAGATAGTACTAAAGATAATCAAAAACTTTCCAGAATCAACGTCTAAAAGATGCGCACAAAAAGATGTCCACCCATTTGGAGGAAGTGCATCAGAGGGTAACAAACGAGAAATATTCACCGTTTGAGGATACAAAAGTGAAGAAACTGTGGAATACGGTAATAGGATTATTATTATTGATTTTATTATTGAATACAAATTTCTAGGCACAAGCCAACGCCAATCTCACCGCACACGATTTAGAAATTCTCCAACAAGAACTCCTCCATTTCGAACAACAAATCAAAAAGCTCAACTTTCACAAAGTAGTAGAAAATTTTATGATAAAAGTTCAAGAATTTAGGAAGAATTGAAAGCTATTCGAGAGATCACCGAGCACACAGGAAAAGCCACAGTGCAGGTTTGTGAGATGCGAATAGGTAGATCACAAAACGACTCTCGTACACCAATTAGGTGAATACGCATTGAGTGTGCTACGCAATACGCAATACGCAATACGCAATACGCAATACGCAATACGCAATACGCAATACGCAATACGGTGAATACGCAATACGCATTGAGTGTGCTATAAAATCGTTTATTTACAGAAAATCATGTTTACTTTTTTTTTTTCCTTAGAATCTCGAGCACGGTGAATTGGAGGCAAAACACGAGCGGATGAGTCGAAAGTTGAAGAAACTCGAGACGTACATCGAGGGGAAAGTTCGACACTCGGAATTGTAGAAAAGGCATAACATTTATAATAAAATATAATTGTAAAATATCTAATATAAAAGTTATTTACAACTTTTGACTGTGATTTTTGTTTCATTGAAGGGTATTTAGGGAGTGGGACAAATGCGACCTTTTGTCAATCGCATTTGTCCCACTCCCGGGTATTTATTTTGTCACTCATTTCCCAAAGACATTTTGTGATTCTACTTTTAACAACTGAATATCTTTAGCTATTAAAACAAATATGAAAGATATTCAGTTAAGCCAAATTTCTTCAATTTTTATCTAATCCAGTTGTGGGGTAGGCTAATTTCTGCAATGCGCAACTAGATCTTTTGCGCAACTCGCCATAACCTTTCTTCTAAGTCGGTCAATCTTTATAATTTTGGTTTCATTTTGTAGCACTTATTGAGATCTACAAATTGAAACCAAAATCATAAAGATTGACCGACTTAGAAGAAAGTTATGGCGAGTTGCGCAAATGACCCTGTTGCGCAAAAAAAAATTTGCGGAAATTAGCCTACCCCCAGTTGTGTGTAAAGTCCAAGGGTTTTTCCAAAAAAATGTGCTACATTTTGGTGCTTTGTTTGAAGCTTAAATATTGTTAAAAATAGATCTTCTTGAAAAAGAATAACATAAAATTCGAGTAAACAATTTTGAACGCAAAAAAAAGCAGGTCAATAAATATTGTGATCGAAAAAAAGAGAGGGAAACGGGGGAAACAAAGGATTTTTCTCTTTCCAAAACAGATATCTTGCAATTTTTTTCTCAAATTCTTACAGTTTTACAGTTTCTGCGAACTTTTGTTCACTCAAAGATTTTGTTTTTTTTTTATTTTTTTTTGATTGTTTGACTTAAGACCTCAATTTTGTTTTGTTTTTTTCTTTTATTGGGTTGGTGAATTGAAAACTGCGGGCTATTGTCATATGTGACAGTTTGAGGACTTTCTTCAAAAGAAACCCATTTTGGTGTCAATGGAAAAGTTGTAGAGAATCAAAAATCAAGCTTATATCCAAATTTTCAGAACGATTCAAAAACGGGTTTTGAAGAGATGCGAAATTTACGAATTTTCACAAAACTTGCATTTTAAGCGAAACTACTAAGTGTATCTTTTTGGAAATTTGGCTATAAGCCTCATTTTTGATTCTCTACAACTTTTCCATTGACACCAAAATGGGTTTCTTTTGAAGAAAGTGCTCAAACTGGCTCAAACTGGGACATCTCCAGTCCTCCATTTTTGAGTCTCACACTTGTCTCACACACAAACCAAAATCCTACCACGAAAGAGGAATCCGCAAATTGCCTGTAAAATGGGCAGAAGTCGTCAATAATAATGGAAATTATTTGGAATGAATTGATGGTTTTATGTTGAATAAATTTTAGTTCAAAATCTGGCAGTTTTCAATTCACCAACCTAATAGGTTTGGAAGAGAATTTAAAAACATTTCAGATGCACAGACTTAAGGCCTCAATTTTGTTTTGTTTTTTTCTTTTATTCACCGATTCTTCAATGAATTCAAACGGTCAATTTCAGTGTTTTTCTTCCAAATTAATTTCTCTATTTCGAGCTATTTCCGAGTCTACAATTTCAACGTCAAAAATAATAATATCCAGGATTATTGTAGACAAAATAGTTATTCTTTTTTGACTAAACTGATCAGAGGAAGTCTGGGAAAGGCAAGACTGAGTGCTGATCAGTTTTTTTAAAGCTTGAGAGAAAAAAGAACTTGAAAAACATGAATCCATGAATCAAATGATACCCAAAATAATACCAAAATGTAATCAGCTCGATTACAGTAGTTATCTAAAAATAATTGCCTTTTAGAAAGTGCATTCTTCAAGAGGAAACATTCACAACACGATTCTTCAACAGCAAGAACAACAATTCTTCAAGAGCATTCACAACACACTCTAATCGTGTTGGTACACGATTAGAGTGTGTTGTGAATGCTTTGAATTTGAATAGCAATTTGGAAAATGCAAAATTGCTGAACCTGAGCTCAGTATTGCCTTTCCCCAGACTTTCCCTGATCCCTTGTCCATTTCCTTTCTCTATCCACACCACTCTTTTCCCCTTTTCCCCCACTTTCCTCCACATTTCTCTCTTTCCTCTCTCCCATTCAGTTGTCTCTTTTTGTTCCCAAGCCATTCCTTTCCCGTCTTTTCCCCTTTCACCCCAAAAAAAAGCAGCATCGGCTCTCGTTCTTTTTCAAAAATTTCTCTAACTTTTCGTAGTCAACATTAGACGTTTAAACCTTTAAAATTTTCAAAAATTCTTTTCTGCTTACATCTTATCTTGTTATCTATGCTTATCTCCATCATCTTCAGCTTATCCTTCAGAACAAAGTTACTATATTATGCCTTTCAAATCGGTTTCTTTGCATTTTTTAGTCAATGATCAAAGAAACTAATTTATTATCTAAATTTGCTATTAGTCTCAATTTGGACTAAATTCAAAAAGCAATCCCATAATACTTCTAATAGTAGCGCCGTTTAGTAAAACCCGAATTCCCGCAGTTCGATTAAGGGTTGGCAACTTTCCAACCCTCAATTCTAAAATGCACCTAGACTACCGTACTCGAGACGGCGTCTCCTTCTCCGCCTATAAAATGAATTTTCATCCCTTTAAATTTCATTCTTTTTGAAGAATCGTCGCCCGGTCCGGTATGTCTTCTGCGCGTATAGGTTCCCCTTTCCGTATTATGTTATAAAATTCTGTCTATTGTTAAAATTTCCCCTCCTTCTCTCATTGTTCCCACCCCTCGTTCTCTGTATCTTTTAAAATTTGTTAAAGTTTTAATGTTTTTGTACTTTTCTCGGTTATTTTCACTTTGTTGATCTTCGGACCCGTAAAGTTATTAAAACCTAAACATTTTTTCTCTATAATCTCTCTATAAACACCAGTCAATCCAACCCAGCCGCGAATCGTCTTGTTATTCTTCTAGTTTTGGCGAATCATTTAGAATTCATGCTTCTGGGTTAAAAGATTTAGCAGTTTGGGTAAAATTTGGAGATGTTTGAAATCGCACGACGCTATTCCTTAAATGAATATCTTCATTTCTAAATATGCCTGGGGAACGATAAAGTTTGCTCCGCCTGCTGACGTAGCTGATATAGCTGGCATCTTTTAAGGCGCACATTCGGCAACAATACAAAGAATGGATTTTTTTAAAATTTCGCTCCCGATCTGACAAGATCACGGAAGGATGGATCTGGCGACGGAAACCGAAAGCCATCTTCAATGGGTACGTATTTGACATGGATCGTTCAAGCCTGGGATAAGCTTTCTAGGGAGATGATTCAAAATCTATTTCGCAATTGATTAATCAAAATTGTTTCCTTTCAAAATCCACACAGAGAAAGGCTTGGCATTCCCTAAAAATTCCCTTGCATCATTGGCATTCCCTAAAATTCAACAATCGTTGTTTTTAAGTCAAAAAATGACTCCATTGTCATTACCTCATAGTTTCTCATTGGGTTTCTGTCTATTTTCGTGTCTGTTTGCATAAAAAAGAACCGTCAAAAAGTATGCCGGATGGGGTCGGAGAGATTGATAAGGCAAAGAGGGGAATGGGGTGCTTTTCGAAATCATCAGGAATCTTTTTTTGGCACACGAAATGCCTATTGTCTGAAGAAGAGAGTCAAGATTGGGAATGCTTTGTTTGCGGATCACCTCAATATTCCCTTTTTTTGAGCTTTCTTTGAAGCAAGGAACAAAGCAATGAAAAGCTGTGACCCGAAAAGTCAAAACGTGATTAAGTGATTGCCTGATTGAATCCTTGATATCTATAAATGTCTAGGGTTACGTGCGATTGATTTTGCCTTGAGCCTATTCCTTGTTAAATTCGTTTTCTAAAAGATAAGCAATTGGAAAGCCTATCGTAGTTCTTTATTCAGTTTTTATCCAGTTTAATTCAATTTAATTCAATTTAATTCAATTTAATTAATTTTGATCCCATTCAATTCCAGCTTGTTTCCATCAGAGAATTAAGAAATCTGTGAAAGAATTAGCGTAGTTTTCCAAGCTATCTTTTAGAAAGAAAGATCATCTTGTCTAGTTTCCATCCTCTGAGTGTACTTTGTGCTCGTAGAAGTACACCTTTTCTGGTACACCCGGTTTCTTACGTTTAAGGTACGGTTAAGATACGAAAATGAATAACGATTCTCTTTAACCTCAAGGGATCAATTTTTCAAGATTCTCAAAAGCTTCAGCGTAATAACAATCATTTTTTTAATCTCTCCTGGGAGTTGCTTCAAAGTTTTCAACTTTTTGAGATCATTCCGGCCTTTGATACTCGTTATGCAATCATTCAAAGCTCTTGATAAGATAAGAATATTTTCATTTAGACAATCATTTCTTGATTATCTTATTTCTTATGATTTTTCGACACATTTATCTTAGAAAATATTAACAAAAGATCAATTTTCTAGATGTTCGAGAGCGTCTGTAATTGGATGTCGACAAGGAAGCGGCCATTTGAACAAGCGCCCCAAACATCTCAAGTATTCGCTCAGGTAAATAATAATTCTTCTTAACTTACCTTGACATCGAAAATTGCAATACGGTTCCAATACGGTTCTTTTTTTTGATCTAATACGGTTCCAATACGGTTCCTCTGATGCACAAAAAATCGTAAAATTTCAGAAAATCCAATCAAATCGTGGGATCAGCACTGACGACGAGGAAAACGTTCACAGTCCATTGGGTGAGTCTTATTCATCTAAAAAACTAACAAAGAATCTTTGAAATAGCTTTGATCTTTTCTTTTCGAAACTTTTCAACTAATCTCATTTTCTTTTCAAAATCTTAAACAATTTTTTTTTCGACTAGTAAACAAAACCTTTCAAAAAGCAGCTAGCAAAATAAAGTAAGAATTTAAAAAAAAAAAAAAAAAAAAATTTTTTTTAAAAAACAAAAGATCCAAAAAAAATCACACAAAGCTTCAAATCATTAGCAACACAAAGCAGTCAGTTTAAATCAATCAATCCTTTGATCCATTAAAGTCAAAACCTTTGGTACACTACTGGACAATGAAATATGATATTTGAAAAACGATCGTCACTTTCGCGCGCCTGTAACTCTCTTGTCTTTACCGTCTTTCTAAATATTAATATTACCATTGTGTAGCCCTTGAAAAGAGCTTTCAGAAAATGTATAACACTAATAGTTTAAACGGAAAGACAAGGGAGTTACAGACGCGCGAAAGTGATGATCGTTTTTCAAATATGATATTTCATTGTCCAGTACTGTACTTCAGTGAAAACCTTCAACATCTTTACCCTTTCTGTTCATTAGAATAATTTCCCTTCATCCCTTCATCTTCATCTTTCTGTTCATTAGAATAATTTCCCCTAATTGATCATTTGAGGGGAAATCTTATAAATAGATTTATTCGCTTTATGAGTTCATCAAAAGGTATAAAACTCAGAAATTGTCTAAGGATGCGAAAATGAAATGTTTCCAGAGAAACGCTCTCGTACCCAAGCTCGTCCTCGTGTCTGCTTGAAATGTCTTGCTGGTGAGGGTGGCCATATCACGCATATTCTACAAGAGATGCCCATTTAAGAAACAAAGGAATATGTGCTTTAAAAGTATCATTTTTTTCTTAAAATCTTTGCATACTCTATTTATAAATGCTTTTCAAATGAAAAGAGACTTAAAAAAGTTAACTCGAACTTATTAAATTGATTTGTAAGATTTTATATTTTTATGTTATTTCTTGTTTTTGTCTTTTAAAAATAAACCAAAGTTTTTTTGTTTAGGTTTAAATGTACTTTGTACTTTTGTAGAACAAGTACTTCTGTAGAACAAGTACTTTTGTAGAACAAGTTCTTTTGTAGAACAAGTTTTTTATAATTTTTTACTTTTAATACTTCTGTAGAACAAGTACTTTTGTAGAACAAGTTCTTTTGTAATTTCTTTTTTTATCAATTGTACTTTTTCTATCAATTTTACTTTTCTTTTTCAGTAATTTTATTGTCAACTTGTTATTCAACTGTTATCTGATAGCTTTTTCATCATTCATCGACCAAAATCACAATTACTTTGATCACTTTTTTGTACATATTTTGTTTGTTAATAATAAATCGTTCAGTGAAATTAAAGATATTAAAGACTTGACGAAAAAAGCGACACATTCGCGTTGCTTTATTTGTTTAATTGAAAAGTACACTCAAAAATCTGAAGAGAAGAGGCTGGGTGGAAAAGAGATCTCTTCAAGAGTCATTTGCTTTTCGCTTTATCGTCGAACTATGAAGATTCGATTTTTTTTGCTTTTCCCTCTTGTTTTATGTAGCTCTATAGTGAGTTTTGTTGATTAGAAGTAGTTGTTGTTCGTAGCTTTGCTGCAGCCCTGGTGAACAAAAGAGCAAGTGGTTTAATCCCTAGACCCCGATTGGAATATCCTTATTCCACTCAAAGAAACCCATTTCTGGCGACTTACTTCGAACTTCGCATTTTTTATAATTAGCTGCAATTAGAGATAGAAATGCTAGAAGTCGCTAGAGAAAAAAATGCTAAAATGCTAAGAAAAATGAAAATAAAAAGCTTTATCAGGAACTGAACCCCGATCTTGTGGTCGAGAGGCCCAATCTGTTATCCACTAGGCCTCCAAAGTGCATTTGCTGAGCTGGAGAAGGAGACTTTTAAAGCATTTTCGCCAAATTTTCGATTGAAGTTTTACACGCCTGGAAAGTTATTTGACAGATTTTGATTTCAGATTCGGATTCCTCATACCAGATTCCATAGGTTTTTCAGACAAAAGCTCGTACCTTTCCCTAGTTAGTTTTTCGTTTATCACTCAATTCCAATCCTGAGAATTTGATTAATTGTTTAAGATTTCCTATTGAATATCGTCTAACAGACTATTGGGTTATAAATCTGGCAATAAATTGCTTAAAAGATTGTTACGCGAAAAATCTCTTTGATGCGTCTGGAGCCTTTTTGACCGAGCAAGATTTTAGGAGGGAAAGAAGGGGAAGAGACGGGGGGACAATCAGGGCCACCAGGGTAAGCAAACAATCGGAATGTGGTAGAGAAAGGGAACTATGCATAGAAGAGAAAGGGGGAGGTAGAGAAGAAAGAGATAGAAAAGAGACATAAATGGTCATCCTTTCATTTCTTTTCCTTCACACCTCTTCTTTTTACATGTTCAAGGGTCCTCGCTTTGTTAAAGGGTCTTTTTGGTGTTTGTTTTGCGCCGCTCGTCTTTTCCCGTACAAGACTTTCTCTTAAAAAAGACAAGAACCTTTGATCTCTTTCATTTAATGGTTATCTCTTTTCATTTATTTCTATCTATTTAAATCAAATGTTTGCTTTAAAATTAAAAGTTACCTAACTCTGACAGGCTAAAAATTGGTAAAGTATTGCGAAATCCGTGCGCCTTCATTCGGTCGCGAATTTCGCGTCCCAAATCATTTATTGCTTTGTAGCTTATTAGCTGAATATCTTGTGTTAAAGCCTATACAGTGCGTTTCAAATTCTTAAACACCCTCTAAATAGCAATTTTGCTTTGACCACCTCTAATGACTAATCTTTTTTCTATTAGAAGGCATGTCGTAAAACCTAAATAACACGAAAAATAGCATACTGTAAAAAAGAAAATTTTCAAAATAGAAACTTTTTGCTAATAATTTCAAATTCTTAAACGTACTATGAAATATTTTTATTTATCGACATAGATTAAATCAGGTAAAAAATCAAAACTAATAATCTGTACACACCAGAACGATTAATTACCTGAAAAATGCGGTCTGGCGGTTGAAGTTGATGAGGTTTTGGAAGAGCAGGGACGTCGGGACCGCTCTAGGCCGAAAAAATTGCTGCTTCAAGTGAAGAAACGTCTTGAAACGGACGATGATTCTTGTTGTTAGCTCGAACGGGTATTCCCCATACCTATCGGTTGAGGTCAGGAGCTGGCAGCCAGTCCAGTTTCAATGTTGTTATTTTTCACCAGTCTCGGGTATCTCCGGCTCGATAAACGACGCGTTGTCCGTTTGAAACAAATCGGGGAACGGCTGGATTTAGGAGTGAAAAGGCGACAAGCAATTGTCCAAGTATCTATTAGTCATCCGATTCGAAACCATCTTCAGAGCGACCGTTCCATCAGCACAAATCAGCCCAAACCATCGGGAACCACCGCCAAGTTTCGAGTCCCAAACACCATGATCACGTCGGCTCCCTCCAATGGGGCTAACGCCATCGGGGCCTTCTAAATTCCATTTCTTCTCATCGGAAAAGATCACTAAACGCAAAAATAATAAAACATAATCGGCTTTCAACCGACCAATCCTGATTCATATGAGCCTTGGCGAACCCTAATCGAACTTCCCTTGCCACAAGCGTCGGGCGGTTGCTTGTTCAACAGTGTCGATCGATATGTGGAGATTTTCCGTGAGCTCGCCAAATTGTCGACTTCGAAGCGTCGATTTTCAGTTCCGTTTTCACTTCATTGATCGTTTTTCCGTGGATGTTGTTCACAATATGACGTCAGCTCGCCGGTGTAAGCTTTGGTTTTGTCCTGGCTTCTTTGGTGCAGAACGAACTCGGACTTTATATAATTTCGCGCGCAGTCGGATCAGCCCATTTTTCCGATTTTCCTTATTGAGTCGCCAATCCTTAAGCGGATCAATCTGGCCTTTCTCATAATCGTGAGCAGCTTTCCGTATGCCATTTATCTGAAGTAACAAAATTATAAATTTAATAAAAAATATGCTAACTAACGAAAATTTCAAATAACAACAACAACGGGTGCGTTTAAGAATTTGAAAGCTTGACTTAGCAAAGTTTCTATTTTGAAAATTTTAGTTTTGTAGGCATGCTTATTTCGTGTTATTTACGTTTCAAGACATCACTCCTTTCTAATAGAAAAAGATTAATGTTGTAGAATTGGTCAAATGCAAATTGCTATTTTGGGGTGCGTTTAATTTGAACACTATATAAGGCAACTGTTATTCATTTGATTTTATGCGTTTTACCTTTTTTTCTGCTTTCCTTTCATCGTGTGAAAGTTTTGTCTTAATTAGGACGAAATTGTTTCTGTTTTTATCGTCGCTTTTCATTCAATTGTCGATTTTGTGTGAAAAATGATCAAGTGAGAGCCCGCAATTGATTAATCTCTTTCGATTTATATAAATTTCTATCTATTTAAATCAGATGTTTGCTTTAAAATGAAAACCTTCCTGCAAAAGGTGAACCCAAAACTTGAATTTCAAGAATTTCTCTTCTTTTTCTTTTAATTCTCGAAGCGTTATCAAAAAAAAATGTGTCAAACACTTTCAAGCTTCTGATCAAAGAAAAGGTATTACGATATTCATTCTTTAAACGCTACTGTTAGAGGTATTACGGTATTCATTCTTTAAACCAAAAGTTTCACTATTTATTTGCGAAATTAGATTTTACTTTTTCATTGATGCTTTTTGAGTTTTCTTTTTTTTTTCACAATTAATTAATCAAAATCAAAATCGCTTTCGCAATTGATTAATCAAACTTGTTTCCTTTCTTAAATCCACACAAAGAAAGTCTTTCATCAGTGACATTCCCTAAAAATCAACAATGGTTGTTTTTAAGTCAAAAAATGACTCCATTCTCATTACCTCATAGTTTCTCATTGGGTTTTTGTCTTTTTCCGTACAAGACTTTTTCTTAAAAAGACAAGAAACTTTGATCTCTTTTGATTTAATGGTTATCTCTTTCGATTTATATAAATTTTATACCTACTGTAAATACTGTAATAGTACCCCACCCGCATAATGACGGTGCGGAGTGTTGCGTAGCCTAGCTTTGAACGAGTTTTTCTCGACACTGGTTTATGCTACAATGCGGGCTTAGCTATCAAAAAATAGGCCTGAATTTCAGCTATTTTTTGATACCAAAGACACATTTTGTGAAAGTACGGGTGCTTTGAAAAAAATGAAATACTAAAAAACCTTTGCGACGACGACGCGACTGTACGAGGGGGTGGGGTACTATTACAGTATTTACGGTATTTACAGTATTTACAATTAAAATCTTCCTGCAAAAGGTGAACTCAAAACTTGAAGTTCAAGAATTTCTCTTCTTTTCTTTTAATTCTCGAAGCGTTATCAAAAAAAAGTGTCGAACACCCAGCTTCTGATCAAAGAAAAAGAGGAAAAACTTCGATTTTCGATCAATTTTTCCAATGAATCCAAATAAATTCTAGTCTTTGTTTTGTTGTTTCTTTTTTTTGTTATAAAAAACCTTTTTTGAATTTTTCAAATGTTTAAATACATCAGAAATGGTTTATTTCCAAGCCTCAAGTACTAGAATTTTGTTTTTAAGTCAAAAAAATGAAAAAATGACTATTTCCGGCAATTCTTGAATAGTTTCATTCGAAAGATCATCGTTTCTTTAATCTTTTTCTTCTCAAGTCGTTCCCTCAGCCGTCCGATCACTTTTTTTTTCTGGGGCATTATTGAGAACACGTGTGCAAGGGAATGTTTGTCCTTGGAAACTATCCGCTTTTTAGCATCAAGCTTTAGTTTCGATTTCTGTACGATATTTCGATTTCCACTTTTCGTTGGCTATCAAAGTTTTGAATTTCA